GAGATGTCGCAGCAAGTCGGCATCGCCTTGAGGGATGCTCAGCGCTTCCAGGAGCAGAAGGAGGGCACCGAGGCGGAGATGGACAAGCTCGAGGGCGTCAATGACGTCCTTGAGCACCGTCTGAAGTATTGGGAGAGGAGTGAGAGTTCGCAAGAGATTCCCAAGCGCCGTACGGGCGACTTGGGGTCTCTTGCGACGGCCCTGGACTCGTCCAGGGTCGAAATCTCCAGGCAGCAGACGGAGATAAACCGTCTGCATGCCCTCCTCCGTCAAGCTCAGACGGAGTCCGCCGCCTCAGCCCCCTCTGCTCCCTCCGACCAGGCCCTTCGAGACAGCGTCAACCGCCTGCGCCAGGCCTTGGAGGCCGAGAAAAGACAGCGAACCGAGGAGCAGGTTCGCTGGGGCCGGCGGGTGCGTGAGTTGGAGGAGGAAACCCAGAGGCTGCGGGTTTCCTCCTCCAACGCCGGCCTCGGTCGCGGTCGTGGCCGTGGCGGAGGCGGTTGACGCTGTCGCCTGTCTTCGGGGCCTCTTTGGCGCCCACGTTCCTTCAGGCCCCATCATCTTCGAATCGGCTTCCCTTGTGTGAGAGTGAGTGAGTGAGTGAGTGGGAGAGGGGGAGAGGGGTAGAGAGAGAGAGAGAGAGAGAAAAAAAAGGAAAAATAAAAAAAAAGAGAGAGAAAGATGCTAATGATAACTGAACCCAAAGGACTCCGAGTTGCGACCGGCCTCGCCAGTATTCTGGCAAGAAAACTCAGGATACTGGCAGCCTGCTATATACAGGCTACTACCACTACCACTACTAAACCAGCGGCGCAATGATCGGATTTCAATCATCATCGGCAGGGACACAGGGAACGATCGACCATCCAGAAAAAGAGCATAAGGCAGAGCAATTGGAAGTTTAAATCGGTGGAGGTGTTCGTGAGATGGCTATCTACTCCGTATAGAGGGAGTGAGTCGTCCATGAACAATCATCCATACTATGGAGCAAAAGGAAGCGAAAAGTGGATCACGGGGTCGGTTGGGGTTGAAGGTCCGTGACGGGCAGCGATAACGGAATCTCTTCCCTTTTCATCATCTTCAACTTCGACTTCTCATCATCATCATCATCATCCGTCAAGAACCACAATTTCAACGGCCGGCTGGCATTAATTTGGGGCACCTGCGTTCGGGACAGGATCCTATCAGATCCACGCAGCGAGTAAGTACCTTTCCCTCCTGGGCTGATATGGGCGACCATGACCAATGGATGGGGAAATTGATCCGAACTAATACTCAATAGTGGCCAGTAGTTCTCAGCAAGCGCCGCGCTGTTTCATTCCCTCCCCTCCGTGCGTGTTTCACCTGGAGCCACCAAACCATGGGTGACCCCGTTCTTCATTCCACCAATTGCTCCACATTCTTCCATGCAAGCCCCCTCCATCATCATACTATCCCGCGGGCCTTCCTTTTCTCTCGCGTGGATTGCTCGGCTTCGGCCTTCAAGGGGTTCGCCTTTTTTCGTGTGAACAGTCGTTCGTTTCTTCTCCCAACTATTTCGTCCTTCCTTGTTCCCATTGTGGCCGATATTTCGTCTCTTTCTCTCTCTCTTTTTTTTCTCTCTCTCTCCCTCTCCCGTGCTTATCAGCAATTGCGATCGCTGTTGCAACCGCAGCGGCACGCGCCAGGACCTCCCTTCCCCTATCTTGGCACGTTCGCCCTACCCACTGAGGCTAGCCGCCAACGTCGCAGTTCAAGCGTCACCATAACCTTTTTACACCAATTCAATGGCTATTCGAAATGGATCCGCAATGATTGACAGGTCCTTCGTTTGACCTCGGACACCAGCAATCTCTCAGCGGTTATGCGTGATTGTTGTCGATAGTCGCTGGCTGAACCGCCGACGCTTCCTCTCTTTTCTTGGCGCGGTCTCGTACATAACGATTTCGAGATCCTGGCTTCTCTCACTCTCACTCTCATTACTCTTCGCTCCCGTTGCGACCTCGACTTCGCCCGGCTGGACCGACGAAGTATCCCTCTTTTTTTTTTTTTTTTCCCATTGAATCTCATCCTCCTTCACCTTCGTTCTCTCATTGTGTACTGGCGACACCGCATTGATTATCGGCATGTTTTGCTCTGGAGACAGGGAGAAAGGGCCCGTGGCCTTGGAGGAACAGTGGGACTACATTGTGAGCTCGATTCATGACATTGGTTTTGTTCATGGGAATGCCGTTGACGCTGACTGTTTACAGAACCTCGATGACTTCAAATCAGAGTCCTGTCTATCCCCGTTCTCATACTTCTTTCTCTACGTCTTCCTTATTATCTCCATAGCCGTCTACGGAGTCGACACTTTTACCGCCGTCAATCTTCTTGCCTTTTCCCGATGGGCGGGCCAAATCGAGCCTGCAATTCCTTTTAAAATTTCGCGATGGATCTTCGCCGTTTGTATCATCATCTCTTTCGCCCTCTTGATCTACCGATGGATGCGCGCCATTCGTGCAATTCGCTCCGGGAGTATCGCTCAGAGCTACCTCGACTCTCTCGCTGTGCGAGTCCAAAGTATCCGAATGGGAAGCAATGGTCGCGGGTGGAGGCGATTCCTCGTGTTCGGCGAGCTCACCAAAAGTAAGAAGGGCGCTGAATACGTTGCCCTCTTCGCATACTTTGCTTTTGAATGTGAGTTCACCACTGCTCTTATTGCAAGCACATGTTGACCGATCTAGCTTGGCTGAGCACCCTTTTTGCCGACGGCCCACGACAAGTCGTTAACGCCATCACCCTATACTCAGTGATGCAGATGGACCTTCTTCCTGGAGGCAGCAACACCACCGACGAGGGCGGGTCCACAGCTTCCCAATTGTTTTACAACATCAAAATGCTGGCGGAGGATAACACTGAACGTGCTGTCGTCCTGATCGGTATGCTATTTACCTTGGTCATTTGGGTCTTGTCAATGCTCAAATTGATCTTGGCTATCGTACTCTACCTTATCTTTCTTTTCCACCATATCCCCTCCGAGGATGGATCATTGAAGGCATATTGCAAACGGAAAATCAACACTCGGCTCACCCGTATTGTCCGGAGGAAGGTCAACAAAGCCTTGGCTAAAGGCGTGGCCTTGCAAGATCGGAAACCTACCAATCCAAACATGGGTCTAGACAAACGGCCGACTTTGCCCTCACTGGGAGCCGGTGATGACGATAAGACACCTATTGTCACCACGATCTCGCGCACTACGACGCAAACTACTCTCCCGGCTTACTCTTCTCGTCCTGGGACAGCTGCTCCGGATCGCAAGCCTACCTTGCCAGATGTTGGCGCATTCCATGATAAGCCTGCCCTGAGCCGAACCATGACTGAATCTTCAGCATATTCTGATGCGGCCTCGTTGTCTGGAAGCACCGCTGTCTCAGGATACAGTCCACTGGATCGGCACGGTACGCCGGCGCCACCAGTGCCACCACTCCCGAAGCAAGGGCCTGCCCCGATGCCACGCTCACAAACCCCAAGGATGCCACAACATTTCAACCAAGCGCCTCCACTAGCGGGTTACAATAGTCCAATGGAGCGGTCATCACCGGCGCCATCTATGTCGCGTACCCAGACACCAATGTCGCGTTCGGAATTCACACCAACGCCTCGTCTGCCCGGTCAGCAGCCGGGACCTGTACCGCGTTTGCAGACTCCAGTATCGCGGCAAGGGTTTACGCCCACACCTTCGGCGCCTGGATATGGGCCGACTGACAGAGCGTCGCCAGCGCCACAAATGCCACGAACACAAACACCTGTCTCAAACTACACCCCAGGCCCAGGTTACAGCCAGATTGATCACGCCTCGCCGGCACCGCAAATTCTGCGCAATCAAACACCCGTGTCGCGTTCCAATTATACACCAGCTCCTGGGTATGGGCCAACGGTCCCCGAACCACGAGGTCCTAGCGAAGGCTACAGGCCATATGAAACATATCAGCCTCATTACGATCCTTATGGCCCTCCATCTAGCACTCCTTTCCGTTCATACAGTCCGGCAATTGATCCAAACACTCGTTCTTTGACTCCAGCGTCTGCCTTCCCTGGTGATAGAGCAGCAGCCCGAACATTCTCACCTTTCAGCCAGCCTGACGCAGCCCCCTATCCAGCTCAAGAAAACGAATACCCACTGCGATCGTTCAGTCCAGCTATTCCTAATGGTCTTCGCTCTCACCAAGCCGCTGCCCCCGCCGACGCCATGGGTAGGACGTTTTCACCAGTCAGTTCGGCCAATGGGGACGGCTATGTGGCGTTCAGTCCTGCAACCAATGCTTCCCCCTCGCCTTTTGCTAGTCACGCTATTTCGGCACACGATGAATCCAGCCATGAGCATCGTGAACCTCAGGACTATGATATGCCGCACAGCTCCTATAACTCACATGAAGAGCCTGAGAGTGGTTATGTGGCGTTCAGTCCTGCAGCCAATGTGTCAACCTCGCCCTTTGCTAGTGACGCGATTTCGGCACACGATGACTCTAGACATGAGCATCCGGAGCCTCTGGACCATGACAGGCCACATGACTCATATAGCTCACATGAAGAGCGCGAGACTGGCTGTGTTGCATTCAACCCTGCTGCTAAATCACCCGTGTCCTCCGACTTCAACCATTTCTCTCCATTCGAAGATCATGATGAGCCGCATATCGCCCATGAGTCCACAGTGAGATCAACCTCGGAGTCTCACGAAGGGTCGCAAACACATGACGATTATGTTGCTTATAATCCTTCCGCTGGAAATGAAGCCCCTCTCGAGGGACATGCTGAGAACCATGAGGACCATACCGAAATGCATACCGATGCTGACGTCAACTCGGACAGACACCGTGTGTCGAATGATTCGCATGATGTGCTACAGTCTCATTACAATCATGATGATCCTACCACCTCGTCCAGAAAGTCATCCGAGTCCAAGGCTTCTCTTTCTTCGCAAGGACATCACGAACAATCGAGTGCCGAGCAGATGCATGGATTAGAGGTCAGGCCTGTTTCGCCGCTAAGCTTTGGCGAATTAACGCATGCCAACGATGGCTATGCAGCTTTCAATCCCTCAGTCAGCTCGCCTGCGCGAACAGAGACCGAACGCAGACCTTCAAATGACCACATCCAAACGAGTGCAACTGTCGAGAACCCATTCGAGAGCGCCGACCACGAAGAAAAGAGGCCCTCAGAAGGGTATGTGGCCTTTAGTCCTTCCGTGAGGTCACCGGCTACACCCACACTACCAAACATCGCGCCATATGAACGCAATGGTCAATCACCTGCAAGGACAATGTCCCCTCAAGGCGAGACTTCGCACGTGAAGCCATATCGGCCAGATTACTTTTAGTTTCGTTCTAATCTTTCGTTTCCCAACTGGACTTCTTTATGACACAGCGCTGGCTGTACTTTCTGTTATGATTGCATTCTACCCAGGAGCTAATGCTCACGAGCTGTTAAATACCCTTTGTTTTTCCAATATTTCATGTTTTTATGCTTACTCTTGAAATGGGTACTCAGATAAGAGACCCAAGAGACTTTTCTTCAAGCCCACTGGCTAACCAACTTTGTACATACCAAGATGAATTTACTCACATACATGTCCACATCACATTTCCGTAGCCCCTACAAAGTCTCATCTCAAATCCATGGTCACAACCACCAGAAACAATACAATAACATAATCATTAACCCAACCCAACCCAACACTACCAAAGCCCAAACTACATACATCCCAAACCGCCCTCATCACACTTAATAAAACAATAAAACCAAACCATCTACCTCCAAGTATCAACCACCGTCTCCCCACTCCCACACTCTGGCACTGTATACTCCCGATTCGGATCACTCTCCCAAGTAACACTCCCATCCGACTCCACCTTAATAAACTTATACTCAAAGGTTGTCCCCACCGGCAACGTCACAGTAACCGACCACTCCGGATTACTCGACGTATAATCATCCGCCGACATCTTCACCGCATCACTCGTATCCCAGTCCCCAAGCTGGGAGATCGATCCGCTCAGGTAGATTTCCTCCCCATAGGTAGTCGTGACGAGCTCTTCGAACGTGATCGCAAGGGAGGTAGAGGTAGCTGTGCATGCCGTCGACGTAGACGAGGTTGATGCGGATTTGGATGTAGCAGTGGAAGATGAGGTAGCTGTTGTTGTGGTTGTAGTTGAGGAATTACTTCCGCTCCCGCCACAGAGTGAAGAGCTATCGACGACGGACGCGGGCAGAAGAACCCTCGGTAATCCCGACGCCATCGGCACGGGGATATCGCCGCTCGAGTCCACGGTCACGGACGTGCATGTATACGCTTCGATCAGCTTCGTGCCGGATGTGTAGCCGCTTCCGCTGAGGGTCAGGGTGTAGCTGCTTCCTGAGGAGCCTTTGTTGGAGAGGACGGTGATGACTTGGCTCCCTGAGGTGCCTTTGCGCATTGCGATGGTGTTGCTGTCTGTGTAGAATGCGTCATTCTATTTCATTATTGAGATGTTGTTAGTATGTGGGGGTGTTTGTAGGGTGGGGGGAGGGAAGGACGAACCGCGTAGGTAATGTAAGCCGAGTCAGCTGAGATGGCTAGTTTGCGGATCGCGTTCGTGGTGGCTATCCAGGTGTAGAGCTCTGCGGAGGTGTCGTAGCCTGAGAGCCAGGTCGCTTCGCGGTTGTATGGCACCTTGCCGCCGGAGTAGTGCTGTTCTTCGCCGGCGTAGACGATGGGGATGCCGTCGGAGAGGAAGATGTAGCTGAGGACGTTTTTGGCTTGCGAGTAGTCGGATGTGTAGCTGTTAGATGTATTAGTGAGTGTGATTGTAGGGAGGGGAGGGGATGGAGGGGGGTGGGACATACGAGGCGAAACGGGGATTGTCGTGGTTTTCGATGAAGTTGCCGAGTAGTGTGGGATCGGAGCAGTCGCTTGCGACGGATTTGATCATGTTGTAGAGGTCGCTGATGCTGCCGCTGGAGGATTCGAAGGCGTAGAGGAGTTGCCAGTAGCTGGTTGGAGTTAGCGAAGATCTAATGAACAATGTATAGGGGGATGTACATCGGATAGTTGAGGACGCCGTCCAGGACCTTCTGGTATGGGCAGTCGAGGGCAGGGTTGCCGTTGTCGACTTCGCCGACGCAGTAGACACCTGCTGCTTCCTGGTAGCCCGGGAAGAAGTCTGGTTCGACTTCGAGGACACTGTCGATGCGGAGTCCGTCGACTGATGATTTCATTTAGTATACGATTATTTTATAATGGGTTGGAATTCGCACCTGAGTAATTAGATACCAGGTCGGCTACCCAGTCATACCAGATTGTTCTCACGGCAGTTTCGGTGGTGTTTAGGTCTGGCAGAGATACGATGGTGTCACCCTCCCAACAATCTTGGACCATGGTCAAGTTGTCCCAATCTGTGATCAGGCAGTATGGGTGGAAGTAGGAGGAGGAATCGAAGGGGTCGAAGACGCTGTAGTCTACATCGTTGCCGTTGCCGGCGTAGCCCTGGTACAGTTAGCGTTGGCACTTGGAATTCACTGATAAGGATGCTGAAGCAGCACTTACCATGTGGTTAGGCACGACGTCCACCATGAGGTACATTCCGCGGGCATGGAGAGCATCTGAGAGGGACTTGAGGTCATCTGCAGTGCCGAAGTTGGAGTTCACGTCGTATCTGTCGAGTCAGTTGCCGTCTGAGAGTAAGCATACGGTATGGGAAAGATGAGTGCATACATCTTCTGCTGCCAATATCCATGGTAGGCTTCACCATCAGCAGTATCCTGGGGCAGCTGTTCAGTGATAGGCGAGATCCAGATGGCCGTGAAACCCATGCCCTGGATATAATCCAGCTGCAGCAAATAAAGTCAGACACGCGCACAGCAGATAGTATGGAGCGGTTACAAACATGGTTGATGATCCCTTGCCAACTACCACCACAATAGATCTATTCAAGTCAGTAGATGAATGATGGAAGTCCTGCAATACCAACGTACTTGGTCACCGGTATCGCATGTAGCTGTCGTCGAATTGTCCGTCCTACCGAACCGATCCGTCAATAGGAAGTAAATCGACTGAGTGCGCCATTCTGCAGCCGACAGCCCGAGGGCCAGCTTCCCCAGCAGAGACACGGAAAGAAAGAGACTTGAAGTCGATAATCTCATCGCTGCGAATTTATGTTCTGGCAGAACGACAGAACAGCGTCCCAAGCACAGCTTGACTATCCAGAGAACGCTGTCCCTGACGACGATTCTTAAATATTTGCGTTCAGCATGACTCCAGAGCCTTGAGCACCTTGCACGGCAGATCAACCCACGAACTACCCTTCTAATCCCGTATGATGCTTGATGGATGCCAAATGGAGCCGGCAATTAATCCATCAGCCAGGAACGGGCGTATACAACATCTCTCATTGGCCGAAACTCCGATCAGTTCGGGGGCCAGGATTTAACCCCGGTCCCCTTTAATTGTTGCAGAACAACAAATCTCCGACACGGGACTACTGACTGTTAACTGAATATGTCTCTTAGTGGGGGTAAGAAACAACGTCCGAACCTTGTTATGACTCGTGGAGGACGCGACGGATTGCTCGGGGGGTGGTGAGCCGGGGTTAACAGGGTAAGCTGCAGGCTGCCCGTTAGGGCGCCTCGCTTGGCGAAGCGAGATGAAATCCTGCAGAATGCCCTGGTTGACACCATACGACCCTATGGGTGTGGAGAGGATAGATTAAACTTATATCTACGAAAAGTTAAAGCCCGTCCCATGTTGCACTTCAGCTGCAAGGTGATGGAGCGTTCAGCGGGAATTCCTGGCTAGTGGCTTGAGCGCACCCATAGTCTAATAGGGCTTTTAAGCCGAGAGGGTTCTAAATAGCCGACAATTCTCCCTGGAATGTGAATATCACATGCATTCAGCTCAGGATATCGTCTGCTGCTCCAGTCATCAACCCGACCGGAGGACGACCCGCGGACGGGATCTTGGACGCATTCCACGCTGCTCGGGAGGCCGCCAGAGATGCCCGCCACTCGGCTATTAGGCTGACACAAGCGTGTTTTCATTTATTAATCAAAAAGGATTGTCATATTGCAAGACTAGTTGTCTATAGTTCTTTCTTCTACCGAATGCCAGCCTCGATGAAGCAATTTGCAGCTTTCAGATACTATCAGCTGCCGTGCTGGTTCCTCATAGTTGGTGTTTTCGTACAGTCCAAGCGAGGACCGATCCAAGGAGCGAAAGAATGAGGGAAAACACTGGCACCAAGTTAATAAGGTGGATGGTGGATGCATGATCCAGGCGACTTACAGTAAGTGTAGCGGAGACCAGTCACATATCCTTTTACCACCACATCCCGGACATGACCCTGCAAACCGTTGATATAGCTCGTGTCGGACAGCGCGCGCTCGATGATCTTCATAAATTCGTTAGTAAGTGACGCAGAAAAGGTGCGGGGATACCGACCTTCTTGGCTCCTGGACCCGTCAGGTGCTGTTCCATCTGGCGCTTGAAAACCGTCCCCAGCAGACTGTTAGTGACAGTCACACCGGCCGTCATGGCGAAGCTGAATAATAGGAAGTAACCTCCTGTTGCCATGGCCACTTCCTGCGGCATCAAAAACGCCGTCATACTGACAAAAGCAGCTGCAGAGCAGAAACCAGTACCCATACCACCGGGAATAATGTACAAGGACTCCCAGAATCCAGTATGACCGTTCCAGCGAAGGATGAGGAGTAGATAGGCGACGGACGCAACGAGACCGGCAAGGATCAAGAGGACCTTGAATTGGCCGGTGCGACGGATAAAGGCTCCCGCGATTAAGCCGCCAAGCGTGTTTCCGATCACTGCAGGAACCAGATGCCCTCCAGCTACGGTGGCAGAGGCTTTCGATGTCACCTGAAAATATAACGGCACGGAGAACATCATTCCAACTTGGGCGGTGATCTGCAGCGATCCGATCAGGTAACTGGGCGTCACATTCGGCTTCCGCAACATGCGAAGTTCGAAAATCGGTTCAGGGGCTACGTAGAGTTCAACAAGGACGAAGGCGACGAATGCTGATAGACTGAGAGTTGCGAGGATTGCTGTTGACAATGATGCCCATGCGAAGGACTGCCCTGCTTGGTCCATGATAACGGTGATTGTAACAATACCGACGGCCAGGAGGAACGTTCCGAGAAAATCGACACGGCGGATGCTCTTCTCAGTGACTGGATTGGCGAGTTTGAGCTTCCATATCACCAACAAAGCTGCCACAGCGGCTAAGGGGCCCTGGATAATAAACGACCTTGGCCATAAGTTAGTGAGAGAAGCGGTCACAAAGGCGCAAAGCATACCATCTCCATCCGATTGTATCGGTTAGCCATCCGCCGATTGGGCCTCCTGCGCTACGACCCAGAGTCATCGCGATGTTAATGTACGCCCGCCAATGGGCGACATCTCGACGGGGAACAATATCTGCCTAAGTTCAGTGACAGTTCTATCAACCTGATAAGCTGCTAGCCTACCTGTGATAATGATAGAGCCCATCGCCATTGTTCCAGCACCCCCAATTCCGCTGATTGCACGCCCCAATATGACAGTCGCCATGTCTCGACCAATACCGCTAGGGAAACAGCTGTCAGCACGAACCAGCAAACCAGCGTATAAGAAAAAGGGAGTATCTACCTGATAATGCATCCCACGCCAAAGAAAACATATGCCCAAAGAAGCAGTGGCTTGCGACCGTAGATGTCACTCAGCTTGCCGTACTATAATGTCACCGTCAGTATAGCCCGATCTTCCCAAATTTTGTTTGATAGCTGACCATCGGTTGAGCAGCGCATAATCCCAAGGTGTACGCCGTTGCTAGCCAACTTGCATCGCGCAGTCGATTGAATTCGGAAGATATTCTGCCTGTTGCCGCCATGACTAGTGTTGTGTCTGCGTTGGAGATGAACTCGCCTTGAAGATTGTCAGTCTGGCTGAGAAACGAGGGGAATAAGACAGCAAACGGGACATACCCAGCAACAACACGCCAATAACGGTACTTATACTGGTTAAAGCCTTCACATCGTTACCAGGCGACTCAGGTGGACTGATCAACGGCCGTTCCTCATCGCTACCGTGGCTGCTGTGCACGTCGCTAGTGAGCCCTTTTGTTATGCTGCTGTAGTCCGGTGTGTTTGCGCTGGGAGTCGCATGCTGCGCCGAAGAATTCAGGGGTGTTCTTTCATCGACATTCGTGTCCAGCGGATCCGGACCAGAAGCTGTGACGGCCATTATATTCGGGGTCTCTGGCTTGTTCGGAGGGTGTTGAGGACGTCACAAAGCCGGGGATTGGAACCTTGCGTCTGCGGCATGGAAGTTCGGTGAGAGATAGAGTTACGGGCAGCAGGAGCTGATATGTTTTCTTTTTTCCCGGACCCTGCTTCGGCTACGGGGAAAAGAATTAATCTGTCCACGCAGTCATCCATTCCGATATTTCCGCTTATCTGGGGAATCTGGCCCCTCGTGGAGCGAATTCGAAGCATCAGTATTGGCTGCTGAAAGTGTCACTCAAAGAATAAGCGATGACACCATCGGGGGCAGATATACGATCGAGGGCTGCTAAACTCCATAGGGAAAAGCGAGTGCACGGATGGGTCAACCAGCTTGGACTATAATAGGGGAAGAGGCAGAAGCGCAAATGATGTGGTGGAAGAACCAAAGTTGAGCTCATTGAAGTGGAGCAGCACGCCATGGCTGCTCCCGATGGCGAACCCATGGTGGGTGGGTGGCCTTAGCGCCTGGCCGTCAGGGACACCCGACATACGGCTGTAAGTCATTCCACCTCAACCTTGGAGCATGTCAAAACAAGGTTATAAGCTTCAATGAGATTCAATGAGAGAAGGGATAAGTCATTTCAAAGCCGGTGAAACAGATGGAGGTGCGACCGATGGCGAAAATTCCACTCGGGTCACGTGTATCCGCTTGGTACTGCTAGCAAGCCTTCCGTATGAGCCCAAATCATCAGCATAACATTCTGCCATGACTTTGTGAATTCTATTCTCATATTCTCGTTCCGTTTGACTTGTAGTTATATATTTACTGGGGCAAGACTTTATGGACCAAGTCTACCAAGCGCCAGCCTAAAATGAACTGTCATATCAATTTAGTCTGACATTCTGCTGTGACTCCGTCTCAGGGATATGGAAGGGTTGGGAAGAGCTCCCATAATTTCGCCGTTTCTTTCTTTCATTTGGTTCTCCCCTCTTTGTCCTCTATTTTTTCCCCCCCCCCCCCCTTCATTGGACATCTGGAAAACAATAATGTAGAACATATAGCTTATATATGCATTTTCAAACCACCTTAAACAGTCATCATTTGCTTTTGTCGCTAAATTCACCCAAGCCTGATAAACTATAGAAGGCCCGCTAGGCATGATTCTGTGTGACCCAGCAATTGTGTCCACCCAAACTCGCACATTGTCCAGAACTCGAGTAGAAGAAGATTGATTGACCGTCGGTCTACTTTACATGATACACTATTGAATCTTCAATCCCGACCAAGTCGCCTACGACATTCCAACTGGTCCTCTTTGCACCCCACCCAGAGCTTAAATGAAAGACGCTCGGCTTTTTGCGGAGCTCCCTTCAACTGTCAGTTTCAAACCTTATTCTGTCTTCAACAATAAATCATCATAAGTGAAGGACTGATGATGCCGAGTTAGTCTGCACTATATTAACTGGATCGTCTACCGGAATCCCGTCTTGGCCAGGCCGTTGATCTTCCCCCTCGTCTGTTTCAGATGGAGAAACCTTATCTCTCCATTGGATATTCATGAGTCATGATACTAGCTGGACTTATAGAAAGCCTCACCAGACAAAGCGGATTAAGCGCAACACTCTATGCTCGCAATTCATGGGGGAGAATGGACGTATCGTAGTATGTATGCGATATACAGTCCCTTCGGGAAGTGAGGAGTAGTTTCAGAATATCATTCGTTGATGCTGATGGGCGGGGGCACTGGAATTGGATAGTAATGTAGATGGCTTGTTAATTAAGCCGAGGATCTTGGAAATTATGGGAATTGTTGAAGAGTAGCCCCTAGATTTATCGGATAGCGGGATCCACGAGCGGTTGGTTGCAGCGTCTCAGACAAAGATGGATGGGGCTGAGTCGATCCCCTCAGAACCACGTCAGAGACTTTTCTAAGAAATCACTGTGGCAAATGCTTACGCCCAAGGCCATGCCCAGGTGCTCTGTGAGCTCTGTTCCTTATCAGATGGATCTCAGAAATGGTTCTTGCGTACGGAGTTGACCCACCGAGTACCCGCCAGCTTGTCACATTGGGTGCTGACGCTGTAGGCAGTGTTATAGCCAGTATGGCCAGTCCCCGCTGACACAGGGCGGCAGGTTAGCCTGCTAATGACCTCATGGGAGTGTCACCTGCTCGGATTTTAGTAAAGTTGCTATGCAGCGTCTTGGAATGACTGGCAAACGACAATGGAGGGCGTTGAGGATGGACGCCTCAGGCGACCAGATGCCATTCTTGGCGGTGTCTGTGCTCGCGCGTCGATCTCTGCCTTTTTCCTTTCACCCCCAATAATTCAGCCGAGGTCTTTCTTCAACCTTGCAACTATCGAGTTCATGCGACTTCCCTTCATTGCACCAACTTGAATTTCATCGACTTCCCCATCCTGTCTCAATATCGCCTCTCATTGTAAAATGGCAGACATCACGATAACAGAGAGTGAATTTAAACTCGCGGACGGAACCGTCCTTTACCAGAAGACCTGGTCGGTAAGAACACCCTCAAATCACATGTCAATCATCACAGTAATCCACCGACATCCTAACCTCTTCACCAGCCCGCTGCTCCCAAGGCCAAACTAGTACACTTTCATGGTTTCAGCGATCATATCAACAGCTACAATAACTTCTTTCCGTTACTAGCACGCCGTGGTATCTACTGCTCTGGTATCGACGAGCGTGGCTGGGGCCGATCGGCCCCGGCAAAGTCCGACCGGGGAAACACAGGGCCAACCTCCTTGGTCTTGGCCGATATGGCCGCCTTCATCAAGGTCCAGCAGACCAACGTCTTCCCTGAGCTCCCCTTGTTTATCAACGGTCACTCCATGGGTGGTGGAATGGTGGCTACTCTCGCCTCGACCAAGGAGTATCAGCCGCTTGTGTCCTCCCTCCGCGGGATTATGCTCTCAGCTCCGTTGATGGGGCTCACTCCCGAGCAGACTCCCAGCTGGGTCACTGTATTCGTGGGCCGGCTGGCAGGCAAGCTTCTCCCCCGCTTCCAGCTCGTGCAGAAAATGCGGGTGGAGACGCTGGTGCGCGATCCCGCAGTGCAAAAGAGCCTCAAAGAGGACCAGTTGAACCATGCCACGGGAACGCTGGAGATGTTTGCCAACATGCTAGATCGTATGATGGCGCTGGATGAGGGCAAGTTGAACCTTGTTGATGGAGTGCAGTCGGTCTTCCTGGCCCACGGAACCGGGGATAACTGTACCAGTTACGATGCGAGTAAGAGATGGTTTGAGCGGGAGACAGCTCGGTTCCCTGAAACAGCGAAGATGCACAAGTCCTACGATGGATGGAGTCACGTTTTACATGCCGACCTGCCCGAGACTTACCCGATATATGCGGAGGATATGGCTACCTGGATCCTCGACAAGTCTGAGGCTTAGACAACCACTTCTGAGGAGATGGCGTACATGCCTTTGTTCGCGGGGCTAATCCGCGCTCGCCGGTCGGGCAGTATTAAATGCCAGTTACGATCGCTCGCATATTAATGATTGTTTCTGCCGCTATCGTCGCTTGATCTTGTTTCTCGTTTCGGGAATATAGTATATATTGTTCTGTTCATTGGGCCGGTATCATTTGGTTGAGATTGTTTTCATTTCCGGGTTATGGTACGATATATCATGATTTCGTATTTTGGGCCATGGATCATTAGTGCACCTTACAGATTCGAGTTGTCAGAGGTCTAGAACGCAGCTGAAGCTGAAAATGGCATGTCAAGAACTGATAAAAATCAGCGAGCGGTGTAGAGCCATGTGGCTGTGCCTGGTTAGAGGACAAAGAGAGCGTAGATCCCTCTTTCACGACGGTTTCACAACACGAGGCCAGAGACAGACTAACAGCATGATCCCGTCAAAAACGAGGCGAAGGATGCAGGCTAGAGTGAATGTGGTAAGAAAGACCCTTGGGAACGGGGCCGAAACGCTTCTTAACTGCTTTGGGCCAAGCTTTGGCCCCCAACGCGTCCCCTGGATCAGCCTCGACCCATCTTCTTTCTAAAAAATGCCAGACTCTGAATTGTTTCCTCTCAACAATCAGTTGTTCCCAATCACTGGGTTGTAGAATTCTTCCATTCTCACGATGCCTGTTCACAACCCATTTCCCTCATCTTTGCGAAGTACGTATGGTCTTCGATGTAGACCGTCCTGGCTTATGACCATCTACAATGCAGCGTTGATCGCGTACCTCAACACTAACATTAGCTTCATCAAAAAACAGGCGAATGCGACAAAGCAGCTCAGATTATCAACTCTTTCACAGATCCTGATGCCTTCAATAGCCCGGGGCGCACCATCCCCCGAAAAGTACTCGCCAGCGCCAAGGTATGCTCTGAATATATATACTCGTTGCTACTACCTTGACTCACAATCAAAGGGCCTCGCCATTCTCACAGTTGCCAAAGCCGCCTTCCTAGGGTCGGTGCGCCTTGGTTCTGGTATCCTCGTTGCACGTCTACCCGATGGATCCTGGTCCGCCCCCTCAGCTATCGCGTCCGTGGGAGGTGGCTTCGGTGGACAGATTGGTGTCGAATTAACAGATTTCGTGTTCATTTTGCAGAGCGATCATGCAGTGCAAACGTTTGCAAAGCTGGGAAGCTTAACTCTGGGTCTCAATCTCTCGCTGGCAGTGGGACCAGTCGGACGCAGTGGAGAAATTGCGAGCGTCGCAAGCACTGGTGGTGTCATGGGAATATTCTCGTTCGCGCAAACCAGGGGCTTTTTTGGAGGCGTGAGTGCAGAATTGGGCATGATAATTGAAAACAGGCTCGTCAATCGGAAACTGTATGGGGATATTGTCAAGGCACAAGAGTTGCTGAGCGGCGACATCTCTCCGCCTGACGAGGCCAACAGGCTTATGCAAGCGTTGCAGGCCGATGTGTTTCATGCTCCTAGGACAAACATCGATTGTGAGCAGGCACCGAAAGAGCCACCCGCGGAAGTTACCGTTGCCATGCCACCGCAGTCACCGTCGTCCGAGGTGGCTGAACGAGTTGCTGCGGTGTCGCCTGTGACGCCTAGCGAAGTCCACGAGGCACCGCCATCAGAGCTATCTCCCGCTGTGTCACCGTCCATAGCAGTGACACCACAGATGCCTGCTGAGCTGCCTGGTTCAGTTCAAGAGCTGGACTCCACGCCTGCACAACCTAAACCTACGGATCAGCACAGCCCCGTTTCTGCTATCTCCACCACTCACAATACTTGATACCCTTGAGTGGCACCAGGAGAGTGGACTCCACAGAGGCTTTATGAATAGTGTCGCGCCATGCATGACCGCAACAAAGTTAGGCTGTCTTTGCTGTCGGAAGCCAATGATGCAAGAGCGCTCAATTATCGGAAATAGCAGGCACGACCAGGTATTCGCGTCGATCACAGCTGGTTAGCAACGGCTTTGCGCCATCTAATGGACAGATACGAGAATGGGAACTGAATGATTAGCAGGTTGCAGATTCCAATACTTGAAGATATAATGTTTATTCTACCTTGATTTCACACGGGTCCTTTGTATGCTGAAATTCAATGCCCCCTACCCTAATGCAGTAACTTTTTGGCCTTATTCTGACGCTCGATTGTATAAAGTCGTAGCAAGGGATAGAGAGGGGGGCTTTTGCAGCTTCGCCACGAAATAAAATATGCGCGTGCTGAATGTTCAGCTGTGCCACAGATAGTGTAGATCTTGCCGATCTCGGTTCGATGGTTATAGATCGTATAGGACGGCATACTGCGTCCCACTTCTAGACTTTGTTTGTACATTCTGACTCGTTGCAGTGCATACGGGTGGGTTGTGCCAAGTAGCTAGCTGCTGTCTTCGATAAGACTTATTGTCAGCCAATGATCATTGTATAGCTGTTCAGCTGGTCGCGCTGAAGAATCCTCGGGGCTGCGATTGCGTCCACTAGCAGGCTACACCGATTGGGTCTCGATATGGCCAGGTTGGAGTATACGGAACATTTCGGTCTCGGCAGCTGGCGTCCAAAACTATGCGGGGTCATTCCTTCAACGATATTAGGTTACTGCCATCAAAGACCTAGTAACAAGCTTTGTTCAGGTTTCTGGTTGACTTTAACGAAGATGAGCGTTATGGAGGATAAACCTTTTTAAAATTATTTTTTGTTCTTTTCTTATTATTATTTATTTATTTTTTTACCCCCTTCTATTTTTTCCCTTCTTGAGTCACACGGCTTCAGTATTGTCAGTTAGTATTGGGGAATATATAATTCGGCTGGTGATGATAAGCTTCCGCTTCAGCTTTCCAAGGGCAAAAGCCGGGATAAGCCAACCAAATGTCCAAGACCAAAATATTAGTCCCGGAAAATATACTGCATCAGGTAGGTCAGGAAAGGAATCAGAGTAGTATGACAGCAAGAATTGCGAGGCTCAAGTCTAAGTTCAGGAACACTTCTCTTGGCTGGTTGGGTCAACCCAATAAAATCAACGGGAGACGTTACTCTGTCCCACCAACGGATATCACACCGTTTCACTAACCCTACCCGACGCAACATGCCGATTCGACGTCCTGGTTGCAACGTGCCGAAATGGCTGGGATAGACTCCCTCAATGATGGTAGAGTAAAGTTAGTTTTGGTCGGTGTTTCGAAGACAAAGAAATATCGGGTTCTTCCTGTCTCATTGATCGGAAGGCGACTCACCTCTGCTGGCTCTTTCATTTCTCCTTCACTCGCCATCTCAAAATCTCACACTGTGCTCTACAAACGGGTTTGAAGGTTACTGGAATGGATAGTGTACCGACTGTGCCTATTCATTTTATCAATCAGGTGCCATCTACTTTGCTCCATAGCCAGGCTAATTACATGACGCATTGATACCACCACGTGAGGTTTGCTTCCTGTCAGTGCTGGATCATTGTTGAAAGGGGATAGTAACACCAGTAATTGACTACACAGTAGCTTTTATTATCATTCACCTCCAAGGTCACGTCATTTTACGATTGTGAGGGAGCTGGCAGACACTGCCGTCAATACCAGGGCTCACAAGAGCTCCAATTCTCCCCTCCATAAGAATCAGAAGCTCATGTAAACGTCTCGACCATATATTCGGCATCATGGGCTCTATCGCAAAGGAAAACATGTATCTCCCGATTGTCGTTGTGGACGAAATCCTCGAGTATCTCGATCTGGAAACCATCAAATCCCTCCGATTAACCGACAGAACATGGAGTGAACTATGCTTGGGTCCACGCTTCAAATCATTCATGCGGCACCAATCTACTGATCTGACACCACAGAGCCTGGAGTCCCTCAGTGCTCTCTCCTGCCATGCCATCCTGCGCCCAGCTGTCAAGGATCTGACCATAGTCGCAGCGGTCTACGACTCTTCTCTCCTCCAGAGAGTTCTCAGGACCAGTCGATGTGAAAATGAAAATAGTACTTTATGGATAGCAGCAAGGGATTGCACACTGGATGAGGTGGTCCAAGCGGAGGCAGATCTAGCATGGCTGGAGGAACAGTCTTCAAAACACCAGCTCAAACAAGAAAATCACATTGTGTCGACTCTCGCAGCTATTTTAAACAACTTTGGAAGACTTGATTGGGTTTCTATGGAAGCCAAAGTTACTCATTCACCACGTCCCGAGGTCTTCAGGTCCCGAGGTGACTGGCACGCCATTTGGCTTAAAGCAACCCAAGTCTACCACATAGCCATGTCTGCTATTGCAAAAAGCACCATCTCACTCAATAGCCTCACTATATTCCGGAACCCAATACGCTCTGCCATTCCATCCAACGAAATCACCACCCATATGCGTACACTCGACGCAGGCGCTTGTACTTTCGCCTCCGGCCAGTCGATCAAAAACTTTTCAATAGACCTATCAACACGAATAGATACCGACCGAGAAAGGCTATCAAAGCGGAGAGGCGATATAGTAATATGGGAGCTTGAAACCCGCCGAAGTTGGCACGGACTGAGCCCAGGAACTCTTCTTGCGAGTCTTGAACCCGAAGTGAACTCTGAGGACAACTATCCCGGCGTCGCCCGATTGCTGCAGAAAATGCCGAATCTGGAAGCCTTGACCCTCAGACTTCGTTGTACTGTGATTGGGGACGTCAGTCTATACCATCGGCTGTTTGAAGAAATTGCTAGCAAGGTCCATCTTCCACAACTGAAGAGGCTCCGTCTGCTCGGCATCTACGCTACTTCAGACTCGCTGCAATGCTTCCTACGCAAACATCCCGATATCGAAATACTGGGGCTTGAGAAAGTAAACCTTGTCTTTGGAACTTGGCAGCCTGTCTTTGAGGAGATAAGGAAGATGCCGGCTTTGACGAGGGTTGTTTTGGCGAGTATTTCTGGGGAAGGACGGACTCTGAATCTAAGGCCTGCTGAGGACAAAGATGACCGCAGTGACCCGAGTAATACAGATTACTATTTGTGTACAAGAGGCGTCTTTGTTCACAGGCGTGAGTTTGACGCTCGTGACATCCAGAAGGGATTTCAATTCAACACAGATAATCAGGGTGCACCGCAGGGAACACATGGATTCACTTCGTTTCTTGTATTTGACCAAGAACATTATGGACTTCCCTAACTAGGTTTTAGTGCTTGGACAATATTACTTGTACGCAAAAACCCAAGCAATCCTTGATATTACCACCTTTCTGTTATCTTGCCTTACCCTTCATTGATCGTACCTGGGCCTACCTCTCGCTAACCTCAGAATGCCCTTGACTATAGTGTAACTACATTACACCACGTATTGATTGTCTTATTTTTTTGCTTACCAGTATCGCCAGTATCTCATAAACAAAATAACGGGATCCATTCTGAAAGAAAAACCGTGGGGTGGAGTGCAAAAAAGAAAAAAGATCGGGCCCGAACCGCGATTCGAACGCGGGGCCTCCTGCATTTCAAATCCCGAAGCAGGAATCATACCACTAGACCATCCGGGCTGATCTGAAAATTTATAAGCTAGGTATGCTCTATACGCAGATTCAGAAAGCAGTTACTTAGTACTTTGAAGCTTGCCTGGCAGCAATATACAAAAACGGGTAATTGACTGAGTGAGTGATCTTTGGCGTGGACAGACCTGATCACCCCAAAAACTATGCCCAAGGGTAGGAATCAAATCTGAAGGTAAAACTTATCAGATGCGTACATCGTATTATTTTCTACAGAATGCGCGACACGATGTCGGCATATATTCTCAGCTACAGCAACTACGTTCCTTGATGGGTAAGTTGCCGTTGTTTTAGTTGTGACATATGATGAAAGTATCAGTCAAGGTGACGTTCCACATGACCATTACACCTGCAATGTATGGTGTAATTTTCTCTTCATTATGCCAGAATGACATGGTTGAGTGTGCATTCTGACCTTGGGGTCGATTCATGTCTCGCGGCAACATGAGACATTCACCAAAGCTGTTATCGGTAATTAACTGCACGCCAACAGCTCTCCTCAACCAATAGTTTTCGGTCGAAAATCTTGTACTACCCAATTCCCTTGAGCCCTCATTAACCTTCACCAAGTGCATGAATACCGATACTTCCAGTGATATTCACGGCTTCCCGTGTGCGCAGCTGTCACTCAAACTCATAAGACAGCGCTGCGATCGGCACATCCCATTTACTCCTACCCAGTATGCCAGGCGACTGCATTCAAGAAGATGAAGCAGCTTTGCAGACATTAGAGAGTGCTCGGACATATAATCCCAGACGAGGTCTGCGATCAACCTCTGCAGATATCTCTACCCTAATCCAACATTCTGAAGTCGTGCACAGCCAGCATCGTGGTCTGCCTCTAGAGCCCAAGAACGACGACTTCATCTTCTACTTCCAAAATGAATTACTCTTCTTCAGTAGCAATAACACCGGAGCCTTCTTTATCCTCCTCTTTTTCTACAAATGATACACTACCGACAGCAATGTCGACACTTTCACTAGAGGAGAAGAGTGGTCAGAGTGCTTCAGAAGCCATCGACCAGAAAGCCTTACTAAAAAGGCTTCAGGCAAAATGCCACTCACCGGCTCGTCTTAGGACTGAGGGTTTAATCACATCCCCATGCCCAAAATCAGATAGCCCACAGTGGAAAGGGATAATCCGCTTGGACCTGTTCAAGCGCACACCGGGTCTCCATCATCATCACCAACACGGCAAATCTGGCCATCACAAAGCCAGAGATGCAGTAGTCATCGACTGCGAAATGGTGCAAGCAGAAAAGGGCCGGAGAGTTATCGCCTACCTCGCCGCGGTGGACTTCCTAACCGGTGAAGTCCTCATCAACAGTTACGTTGATCCCCAGAGGAGAATATACAACTGGTGCACCCGCTACAGTGGAATTACGCCCAAAGCTATGAAAAAGGCCGTAGCCAACGGCGACGCCCTACGAGGGTGGATGGGAGCGAGACGTGCCCTATGGGACTTCATCGATAATGACACGGTGCTTATTGGGCACGATATTAAGAACGATCTCAATTGTATGGGGATAATACACCCTAGGATAGTCGACTCGACTATCCTCACAGCGGAAGCTGTGTTTAGGCCTAGGTGGGAAACCCAGCGGTTTCGGAGGACTTGGTCGTTGAAGACGCTGTCGAGTGTTTTCCTTGACAGGTTTATCCAAGGTGGATCAAATGGGCACAGTGCATTGCAAGATGCAGTTGCCACGAAGGATGTCGTTATTTTCTGCCTCGAGCAGCCTGAGTGCTTGAAGATATGGGCGGAATTTACGAGAGGAGGATGGAATGATCTGGATGACTTTGAGACACTGAAATCTCTTATAACAGATAGTATACAAGTCTCTGATTACCTCTGAGGTAGAGTTCTCTACTATATACTCTACTTCTGCGGTACGAGATGTTGTTGGCATAGTTGATGTTGCTGTCATGCATGGTATTGATTACAATATTGGTCAGATTTGCGTTTGTTTTTCTGACTAATAATTGCTCATGTCTTATTAACTTCTTGTTTGGTTCTTCAGCGGTGCATGCTAGAATATTCACAAAAAGGTGGCTTGGGCTATTGTTTTGCAGTTTATATTTCGGACTTACATCCTGGACAAAAGTGTTTTCCTATTGACAAACACCAACTGATAGAATACGAAAGACAAAAGAACAAACAACGATCCAACATAAAATCCCCAACGGTCCATCACGATCCGATGTATTCATGTAGCCTCCCATTACTATTTCCGTGACTCCAATTAAATCGTAATGTAAATAGATGATGCTATCAAAGAAAGTGGTATGTTCATAACTGTAGTGGATGATCTGCTTTTTTCTTGTCTGGGTTAGGTGGACTCTGATGGCTTGCGCAAATTCCCATATCTTCCTTGCTATATCTGGGCCCGGGATATCGAATTGTTTTTCTGTTTACCCCACTCGTTTGCTTAATTTGGCTTCGATTCTTCCTCATTTGGTACACTGCCCCGCTTAGGAGGTATGCTAGAATGGTCTAATCAGTTGTTAAACCAGATCGCTTGGTCAGATCACGTTGGCCATCAGGTTTGTTGCTCTTTTCCCCTCCCAGCCAAGTAACGGAGATGGCAACGATCAACCGACGCTTTGACCTCACAACTCCTATCTAACTTCCAGGCGTTGAAATTGGCAATCTTATCTTCTGGTACGTTTTTATAGCGGTTTTTTATTTATTTATTTATTTATTTTCTATTTTTGTAATATTGCTGGGCATGCACGAATCTTGACTCGTACTCCGTATTAATTTCAAAGCCCGACATTCCCAGTTAAGCTGAAGAATCGAACGCCACCTCTGAGAGATGGCTGACGACCGACCTCCCTGCCACCAATGACATGTCGAGGGATGATAATCCCGCGGCCATTGTTTCACTCAAGCTGCAGTAGCTCAGGGCGCTATTTCGGTAGTGGCTCATCTAAATCCCGAGCATCCAATTATCCCTGCAGAAATGTGTTGGACATGCAGCAGCAAGAACTAAAGATTGTCCCCAATTTCCCCGCCTGGTTGCCCTGCTTCGCCTTCAGCTTCAGCCATCGCTGCAGAAACATGTTCTCAATGCATCTCCCACTCCGTAGTTTCTCTCTACTCTTCTTCTCCAACCTTCATAGCTATAGCTTTGGACCACAACCATGTTGTCCATAGCTAGCCTTCTTGTCGGACTTGCATCCATCTACGTTCTTTATGTCTTTCTTGGACCTAAGAGGACATCAGCACCACTGCCCCCAGGGCCTCCTCCAAAACCCATTATCGGCAATCTCAAAGATCTCCCGCCTCCCGGTTCCAAGGATTGGCAGCATTGGTTGGATCATAAGGAAAAATATGGTATATCCTCCTTTTATCCTACCCTTAGAACGGCATCTTTCATTTTAGTAACCTTCGACTCTAGGCCCAATCAGCTCCATCACTGTATTCGGACAAACTCTCGTTGTTCTTAATGACCCCGACATGGCCCTGGAGATGTTGGAGAAGCGTTCGGCAAAACACTCCTCCCGACCCCATCTTCCCATCGCAGATCTGTTAGTTCCACACTAATCTCACTCGTTACTAGTGACATAATATACTAATCTGCACCCCTAGGTCGGGATGGGACAAGACATTAGGCCTTCTCCCCTATAACAACCGGTTCCGCGCCTATCGGAAAGCCACGTACCGCGAAATCGGCTCGGCCAACGCAGTAGCTAAATTCGATGGAATCGTGGATAAAGAAGTTACCCGGTTTCTTCTGCGCGTTATTCGGTCACCGAACGACTTGATTGATCATCTTCGCAAGTAAGTCCTGCAGCTTGCAACAAAGTTGCTCGATACCTAATCGTTCACAGAGAGTCCGGAGCAATCATCCTCCGGATCGGATACGGATACACCATTGAGCCAAATGCGCGAGATCCCCTGGTGGACCTGGTCGACAAGGCCATGGATGACTTTTCTCAGATAGTTCTCCCAGGAGCCTGGCTGGTTAACTTTATTCCTTTCTGTAAGTCTGCCAACCTCCCTTGGATGATTTGGACGCTGACTTTGCAGTGAAATACCTTCCCACCTGGTTGCCCGGAGGAAAGGAAAACCAGATAGCCAAGGAGTACAAAGAGCGACTGACCATCATGCACGACAAAACATACGACTTCGTGAAGAAACAAATGGCCCGAGGTGTCCAACAGCCATCGTACGTCTCTGGTCTGCTTGAGAAGGACACTGTCCTTCCAGGTTCTGAAGAGGAAATTGTGGTCAAATACTCGGCTGGTGCTCTGTATGGCGGTGGTGCTGATACGGTGCGTTTTGATCACCACAATCATCACCATTTTTCCGCTAACCGCGCATAGACCGTCTCCGCTCTATCCTGCTTTTTTATGGCCATGGCCCTCAACCCATCCGTGCAAAAGAAAGCCAAAGAAGAAATCGACCGGGTCATAGGAACTTCCCGACTACCCGACCTCTCCGACCAGAACAACCTCCCGTACATCAACGCCGTAGTCCAAGAAGTGTTCAGATGGCACCCCGTCACCCCTCTCAGCGTATCCCACGCCTCCAGCGAAGAAGACATCTTCAACGGCTATCTAATCCCCAAGGGTGCCATCATCGTTCCCAACGTCTGGTATGCGTCCCCCTTCCTTCCTCAAACTCACCAACTCATACCTAACCCAAAACCAGGGCCTTCACGCACGACCCAACCAACTACCGCAACCCTGAGACATTCAACCCCGACCGCTTTCTCGGGGCAGCCCCTGAGCCAGACCCACGACTATACGCCTTCGGATTCGGCCGACGCATCTGTCCTGGTCGCTTGCTTGCCGAGAAGAGCATTTTCCTTACTGTCGCGCGGGCACTTGCGGTACTGGATATCCGGAAGAAGGTACGAGACGGCAAGGAAGTTCCGATCCGGGTCGAATTTTCTTCAGGGACTATTAGCCATCCTGTTCCTTTCGAGGTGGATTTGAAACCGAGGAGTAAGGGGCATGAGGAGTTGGTGAGGGCAGTGGAGAGAGAGTTTCCGTGGGAGGAGAGTCATGCGAAGGAGCTGGGGATCTGAGGACATAGACGACTGGTATAATAGAGGGAGATATTGGAATGTGTCGAGTTGTGAGGAGAATGTTCTCTGTTTGCTGGGGTGAGGCACATAGCGAGATGAGTAGGATCAGTTCAACGCGATCAGGTCAGGCTGGCCAAAATCATGATGAGACGCCACGAATAAACACGGTCGCATGTATCTGCGAGTTAGAACCCGTGTTCCACATCCTGTTGCACAAGATCATGCAAGCATGAACAAGATGGCTAGTAGACTAATTGCAGGGTCTGCTTGCTTGCTGTCCTAAAGGTTCCATCGGATTCGGTCTCCGATACAACGGGACGGTCCGACCGGATCCATTCTCCGTGCGAGCCAATGGCTGCTTTGTGGGGAAATGATTGAACAGCGGACGCGAGGGATTCTCTGAAGAAATTTTGTAGCTCAGGCAAATTAATGCAAACTGTAATCAGCAAATTAGGCTTAAAATGAAAGAAACAGTAGAGTGAGGGACGAGAAAAGAGATATCTGGTAGGAGCAAAAAAAGCCGGGGCAAAAAAGAATGCCCCCACGCGGGATTGAACCACGGACCTCTTGATACCGTAGAGGATACAAGTCAAGCGCTCTACCACTGAGCTATAAGGGCGATTCTTACAAATCTCAAGCAAACTAAATGTCTATGTAGGGAAGATTATGTGGTACCTATTATCGGTTGGTTGGTCTTCCAAAAATATGCTTGATGCTATTGTGTTACATTATCTTTTGTTATAGTTGTCTTCTCTACTACAAGTACAATACATAGAGTAGGTGGAACAGCATGTTGCTGTACCTCGACCCTGGTCCTGTTGCTTAGGCGTTCAAAGACTCAGTCTTACTATCTCATAGTATATTGTCCACTTCGATGAAGGATCGTAATGTCTTACTCCAAATATAGGTATGAATATCAGCCTTGATAGATGTCAGCAACCATGGTAGGAAGTCAAAACCTGGAAGGTTCGACATACACTTGAAGATGACTTCATCTAACGCACAGTAATGCATCGGCTACGGCTCTACTGACAGCCCGGGTATGTTACACACAAGAGCGTTTATTCGTCTGCGCCAACACCTTTTAGGCTTGAAGCAGCGACTGACAAATAAATTGGACTTAAGAGCCATAATAGCATGTTCAATCTGCACCCAGGGTCCAAGGGCAGCACAAGATAGGTCTTGCCCGTCAGCTTACTAGGGTCCGGGATGGCTGCCTTGCATACAGGCCAGGTCATATGAGAAGTACCGACATATGACTTAGCATAAAATAAGCTTTCAACTAAGCTCATCGCATTTATGTAAGATATTTCACGGCGTCGATCATGGCATGACCCCGGTCTTTTCAATTCTACTTTGTCTCGTCGTTTCTCTCGTCTGGAGATATGTCCGCTGCTCACCACCTCAGGAAGTACCTTATATCCAGCGAGACTATACGCAGTCCAGCTCCAATGAACTAAATCTTCCTAATAACAAACCTCAAGTAGTACTTAGCATGTAAATCCCCTCCATGTACCCAACACTCTTATGTCACACACTCTTATTGGTCGCAAATACGAATGGGACGCCTGATGTCTCAGAGCCGCAGCGGAACGCTACCAACGATATGCCGCGACTCTATTTACGGTGGCTGAGTGAGGTGCCTGAAAAAAGCAAGTACTACAAGCATGTGTCCCCTGTCTAATTCCCCTGAATGAGTCGTTCTACTCAAGCAGTGGGAAATACTTAGTACTAGCGACTGTGAATATATATTGACCCTTTTCCCCAGCCGAATTCAGGTACCATCAGACCTTCCAAGATCACATCTCATTCGAGTTTCTATTCAGATACTAGCCAAGCAACCATCCACCATGATGAAGTCCATCCTCTCTCTCGCACTCTACACAGCTACCGCCCTAGCTCAGGGCATCTACATCAACTCCCCTGCCGCCGGCGCGGAGCTCCAAGCCGGAGAAACAGTAACAGTGCAGCTTGTCCGTCCGGTACGTCCATCCCACTCTCCACCTCTATATTCTTTTACATCTACCTCACAACTACACCAGATTCACTCTCACACTAACCCCTTTCTCGAAATAGGTCTTCAGCGAAAATGTCGCCGAAATCGGCATCGCCATCGGCATCGAATCCTGCTCTGGTTCCTCAGGGTGCCCCAACCCGGACTCGGAGATCGGAAACCTCCTCTACAGCGGTCCCTATGACCCGCAGTCCAACGGACCTCCTGACCCGTATGAGAACTTCACTATCACGGTGCCGGATGTGACGGGGCCTGCGCAGATCGGTGTTGTCAGGCCGTTTTTGGTTGGGGTGAGTTCGCTTTCTTTTTGATTAGCTGGTAGTGTTTTGCTGGGGGTTTGCTGATGCGTGGTAGCTATCGTATGAGTTTGTGGTGGGGACTGCAGTGTCGAATGTTACGATTGTTTGAGGGGTGGAGTAGTGGGATGGGTATGTGGTAGGGTGGAGGTACATGGGATGGAAGGAGATAGAGCAGAAATAATAGTGGTGTCTTTTTATAAAACGTTGCAATATTGCTACGCGTACAGGAAAGAAGGAGAGCACATATGCTCATCCAGTGCGATATATAGAATTGCCTTACCTACATAATATTGATTTGTTTAGGCCTGTACACGATGCTCAGTGTGAGTGGAGTTTTTGCGACAGTTGGACTACCTGACGAGATGGGTTTTATGAAGATCGACAAAGGAAAGAAGAGAAGACAGAGAGAACAAAGAAGATATAATCGAAGGAGATCCGGATAGAACAAAGCGGAATAGAGACTAAATACAAATGAATGAATGATAGTGTCTCATTCTACCAAGCTGGAGGAGCCTTATCTTTTTGGGGGTCAATCAGCATATCACATCTCTCATCGCAACTGGATCAAACCAAATGAAAAGAACACGGCCGGAATCACACCCAACCACGAGAGTATTTTCTCGAACTGCCCATGATGAGTCTTTCGCCATCGAAAAATGCTGGTATTCTGGAGGTAACCAGATGCTCTTCTTTCCATTAACAATAACCCACTCCTTTTCGACAGAGATATCATATTCGGCCCCTTTGCACTGGATTGAGGAATTGCCTCGAAACACATTTGGCATGTGAGCCTCATGGTCGTGCGAATCAACCTGCTCAAGGTGTCCTGTTTCTGTATTCCATACTCGACCTTCGTCATCCGAGGACGCTGCAGCCCACAGTTTGTTCTCTGCGAAGAAGTTCATCACTTCTATCATTATCCCACCGCCATCAAATTTCCATTTCTGTTCCCCGTTCTCGGTATTCCAGATTCTGACCGTATTATCGTATGCCCACGATGCGAGTAGCTTGCTGTTTGGCGAGAAGGCAGCTACATCAACGAAGGCCTTGTGGCCTTCGAGGGTTTGCGCTAGCTTTCCATTCTCTAGAATCCATACTTTAATTGAGAGATCCATTGAGTACGTTGCTGCCAACAGCCCATCGGGTGAGAGTATCACTCCCATTACAGCAGATACGTGATGACCCTCACTTTCCTCCCGCCTCCCTAGGATGACTCTCCATAGCCTGACTGCGCGAAACGGTGATATTAAGGCCATCAACTGACCGTTAGGCGAGAATACAACACCAGTGTTGCGTTTGCTCTCCAGTAGTGTTTGTTCCACGGTTTCAGTATTTGTATTCCATAGTTGAACGGTCCCATCGCGCCGCCGTAGAGTAAGGAGCTTGCCATCAGGAGAAAAGGTAGGAGCGCTTGGATATCGGTAATGGACTGTGCGTTTGGTATCCCATGTCGCAGTATCCCATAGGGTGAGAGTGTTATTCACTAAAGCACAGGCCACCAGCCGGTTGTCTGGAGAGAATGCCACTTTCACAACATTGTTGGTGTGAGAAAGTTCCCGCACTATGCTACCTGTTTTCATATCAATTAGGGTTACTATTTCAGAGTTATCAGGGGGATCTGTTGCTGCTGCCAATAATTGAGTATCTGGAGAAAGGGCCATGGGCTTGAGTGGGGATGTTGGCTTCGTGTTCCGCCGTTCCCACGTCACACTCCCTGTCCCCTTCTCCCACAGCTTAACATCATTATCAATTGAGGCAGAAGCTAATACCCTGCTATCTGGAGAGAAAGCCAGATGAGTGGTAAACTTTGAGTACTCCAGCCTCTCTGTTTCACGCCATGTGACTGTATCCCATATCCTGATTAAACGATCATCTGACCCAGAAGCTAGTAGCTTGTTGTCTGGGGAGAATGCCACATTATAAACCGTAGCTGAATGATAGAGTATCTTTCGTAGACTGCCTGTTGCCGTATCCCATATTTTGACTGTTTGATCGCTAGAGCCTGATGCCACCAGCTTTCCATTGGGAGAGAATGCAGCACAGTACACCGTTGCTGAGTGCTCAAGGGTCTGAAGCAGTGCACCCCATTCCTTATCAGTGCCAGATGTTTGCCGGATCCATTTGCAGACTTCCTTTATAAACATGCACCTCACCCGACTTGTTTCGGGCGAGAAGATCAAACAAGAAACATAGAGCTGAAGAGGTGCTCTGGTCGCAACTGGCAGGCTGTGCAAGATGAACCTTTCGGCATCCATTAGGAAGTCAGAGAGGGTGGGTTCATTCTTAGACCGAGTCAACATCAGCTCAGATACATGCTCGTTTATACCCACTGGCTTACCTCTGAGTTGGACTTCAATTGACCAACGAGCCCCACAATATCTGGAAATCTCCCCAGCAAACTCATTGCCTCGAGCCAATGAAGAAAGTGTGTGTTAAAGAACGAAAGGATATCCTCCATATCTGTGGACGTGGAGCCACTTTGTTCTAAGTGATAGACCCAGTAGCGGCATGCATACCGGACAGAGATTAACGGGTCTGGATTGGGAACTTGCACTTCTTCTGTCGTAATTTCATAATGAGGCAATCCATATATATTTTCCTTCAAGGCTTTTCTCAAGCCATTGAGCGCTCTTTGATACATTCGGTGATGAAGCGTAGCCCGAGGGACACTGTAGAGTCTTTGATAGTGTTTTTGCAGATAATCTTGCGCTGACTGATGGATCAGGTAGACGGTACCGTTTCGAATGGTCAGGAACGACCGACATTCCTGAACGACTGCTTCCGCTGCATCCTCGCCCTCTGGAAGCTCTGCGAGAATTTCGATCTCGGACAAGGAAAGGGGATCTCGTGCAAGCATAGCGGCATTTAGGACGTTCTTGCAGCACGACGACATAATTTCGGAGTCTAGATTGGCCAATCTATCGAGCAGGTAGCCATAGAGGTCTTCCAATTTTTTTGGTATTTTGTCGACAATCTCAGTCCACATGAACTCATGCGCGTGAAGAAGCTCTCTGCAGACCAATGATACCCAGATGTAAGTGTTGCTTGCTCGGGCTTTCAATTTATCAGCTATTTCTTCAACACGGCCCTTCTTACGTGCCTTTTGTCTGAGCTGAACCATCTTGATATCGATATATCTGTTGATGGAGTCCGACAAGTCGTGTTCATCGAGCTTCAGAAGACTGTGTGTTGGCAGAGTGACGTCCTGCACACTTGGTGGTATTTCTGGCAGTGGCCGACTGGAGACGAGCCACTTTATATTGAATAGCTCTCGTGCAGAGGACGCATCGTCGATGAAGCTAGTCAGTAGTTCTCTGCTTGTTTCTTCGCATTCATCCATGGCATCAATGATAATGGTGGCTCGTTTCAGGGATTTATCCTCCAGCATCTTCCTGAAAATGTCACGTAGAGTTGTGAACGCATTTTTATCCGTGAGCAGCCTGTTTGCGGAATGAAAGTATTCCTTCTGAATGTGTGAAACCAAGTGAGGTTGTTCTAGAAGTAGCAGCCATATTAGACTGCGGAGAACCGCAACGCCGTTGTTGGCTTGATCATTTGTGGCTTGACAGAAAAAAATATAAAACCAGCGGACGTTCGGTATCGGGAAGTCCACGAGCAATCAAATCTTTTATGATACCGATCAGGAGCATCGTCTTTCCAGTTCCAGCTTGCCCACTGATCCACAAGCGTGCAGGAGTGGAGTGGTCCCACTTGCTGAATTGTCTGTATTCATCCGTGAGAAGAATCCATGTAAACAGCTCTTCTAAGATGTTCTCATTTCGGGCTTGAATATCCCCGATTTCAGCTCGCGGGTCAATCCAGCGGAGGGACTGCAGACAGTTGCGGTATTCGTCTAATTCTTCCTGGTGCTCGCTGGTTATAGTAATCTGTCTGATCTGGTCCTTGATGTGTTCCTGATTGTAGAGGATGAGGTCGTTCTGGAGTGCATTTTCAGCGTTTTTCACGGCATCCAAATTTCCGCTCCAATCATCCAAATCGAGAAAGCCTCGGAGAAGGACAAGAAGCTGGCTTTTGTAGCAGAAACAGACACTCTTGATCTGGTAGAAGAGCATTGACTGATAGAGATCCACAATGCCAGTTTTGAGATCGTGATTCATCTCTTCCAATGATGTATTGTCCTTGATATTCTGCTCGCTCAAAAGCTTGTCTACAGCTTTCGAATACCAGCTCATCCGAGAGACAACGTACGCCACCCCATTATAAAGGTCTGCTGCTGCTCTGGCTGGTTTTACCAGGATCTGCACAGTCAGCATGGCACCCATACAAAAATTCAATATACTCACATCAAATGTGGAGGAAATCACAGCCCACGGAAGCGCGGTCTGTGGGACGTTTTTTAACGGAATGTCAAGGAACGCTTTTACTTGCGTGAGAACACCCGAAACATGATCTACTGTCTCCATGACCTTTTTAGAATCTTCAATTCTTTCTAGGCCCTTCGCGACTATCGCCTTCATCCTCTCCTCTCCCAAGGCTGTCCGAGAACCATTACCTTCGCCAGCTGCATCTGACATAGGCGTTTCCAGAAAGACCGCCAACACTAGTTTTTCGTATGCTTCCACATACTTTGCCTTCTTTAAATCCTGCTTGAGATTATTGTAAGCCTCATTCCAAAGGGCATTGTGAATGGTGGTTGACCATTCTGTCAGTGTCACGTTTTGGTTGGAAGGATCAAAGGCTTGGCCGTTCATTTGAGGACTTTCTTGCTGAATGGCTTCGGTTGAAGAGACATGCTCATCCTCTTCCGAAGTTTTGACAGTATAAGCATGTTCATTGTCATCTCGAGCTGGGGTTTCGGAAGAGTCGTGTCTGGCCGATGAAATCGAGTCATGCCTTGTGCTGTAACCTTCAGCCTGATTACTTTGCTTTGTCGGATTTCCGCCTCGAAATTCTACCAATTTCTGACGGAACCTTGCTCGAAACCTGTTGCCCCGGGACCCTTTTATCGGATGAACTGTTTGGTGGACATTATTCTTGCCATTTGGAGATTTATATCAGAATATTTCCGTACATTTTGTTCATTAAGAACTAATGTTATTTCTCTAAATCTCTGTTTTCCTGACTTCTCTCATTCATGTATCTTAGCTCGTTTATTGAATATCTATCTTTGCTCTTATCCAATGATTTAAGATATTATTATTCGTAAAGATTCATGTTTCAATCGAGTAGTTTGCTTTTCATTTTTTCTTTTCTTTTCTTCTCTCCTTTTCTATTCCCCACCATTGTTAGTCTCTTAGACACTATGATAATTTTATCGCTTTCCATATATTAGAATATTCATTCCAGCATGTATTCACATCTATTTGCCCATCACATTTCACACCAACACATATACAAGTAACAAACAAGCACAAACCCTCATCCACAACCCACACAAACACGTTATTCCGCCCTCTCACTAAACACAACCCTAAACTCCCCCAAACTTGCCACAAACGTATCCCTCGTCTCCTCCCTAAACCTCCTCCCATCCTCCCCCTCCGCCAACCGTACATTAAACTTCCCAAACAACATCGCCACCACAACCCTCAACTCAATATACGCCAACCCCTTTCCAACACAACTATATGCACCACCTACAAAGGGGAAATATGCCGCTCTGTTCATAATCCAATCGGGCTTTTTGTCCGTCCAGCGCTCGGGGACATACTCCTCCGGGTTCCTATAGTACCGGGGGTCATTCTGGACGGGTAGGATCGGCACACTGACCAGTGTATCTCCCGGGATGAAGGTGGAGGTGCCTTTCTCGTTGGGGATGTGGATTCCTTCTGGTGGAGTTTTGCGCTGAATTCCACCTTGCACTGGGGGTTGGATGCGGAGGGCTTCGCTGACGCAGCCGTTAAGGTAAGGGAGGGAGGATATGGAGCGGTAGTAGGTGTCCTCGGGGGCCTCGGTGGGGGGTACTGGGTCTTTTTGGCGCTTTGCTGCTGCGGAGTCGAGTTCGGCTTGAAGTCTGCGTTGGAGAGATGGGTTACGGGCGAGATGGTATATAATAACGCTCATTGTGACGGAGCTGGTGTCTCTGCTCATTGTCAGATGTGTAAGATTAGTTGAGCGGTGGGACCTACCCTCCCGCAATAACAAGCAATTCCCCCTCACTATACAACGCCTTCTTAGATAGACCGCGCATGGACGGGAGCATCCTCGTCATGATATCTTCCCCAGACACCTCATTTCGTTCCTCTTGTTGCCGTTTTTCTTGGATACGATCCTGGATCCAATTTCCATACTCTCGAATTGCACTACCAGCACCCGGCAGGCTCATTAACAAGCTGATGAGCCACGGCGTATGAACCATGACATGCTGACCGGCCCTCATGTTCTTGATGAAATGCAGACTCGGGTTCAGCTCCCACGTCTCTATGTTGTTGAAGGAGTGGCCCCAGCCGACGACTCCCATGAGATCGTAGCTGAGGAGTGACATGGTACTGGGAACAGAAAGCGGTTTATTGACGCGCTGAGCCACAGCATCGAGGAACTGCTCCGTTGTGCGGATGACCATTGGTTGATAGGATTTCAGCGCTGTCGTTAAAGTGAGTACAACGTAACTCGTCCCAGGGGTTATGGTAACCAACCTCTCCCACTAAACACCTTATCCCAAAGAGCCTTCCTCCGCTGAGAATGCACAGCCGGATCCCGCATATGAAACACCGCATAATCATGTGTGAAGTCACCCGAGCCCTTCAGGCGATCATACCATGGGCCACGGGTACATTTGCTTGAAGGACCGTAGATGACATCGATGGCTTCAGCCGACAAGATGCTGAGTTCCTGGGGACCTGTGCGGACGATGTCTCCGTATTGTTTGTGGAGGTTCCATACGCGTTCGAAATTTCGGTTTTTCTCGAGGTTCTCGTATCCGGTTACAAACTTAGACAGCTTGAGAGAGAATGGGCCTGGGAAGTGATGCAGACGGTGAAAGAATGCGCGGTAGGTCAGCACTGAGGCGAAGAGGGAGAAATAGAAGCAGATGTTCAGTACGGAGACGGTGCTGATGCCCAGGGACCATGCATAGATGCTTGTCCAGCTTCCGTGGTTGTTGATGGTGGTGAGTAGGGCTAAGGTGTTCACAATCAGATTGGCATAGACCCAGGCGCGACCCTCCTTGGCGCCGCGTTCCCCGCGAGACCAATAGAAAATATGGGCACTGATGCCGGCAGCTGCCAGGAGAGGGCCTTTCTGCTTTGCGATGTCGAGGAGGTCGAAGAACAAGGCCATTTTTGTCTACTCTGTAAGTTTCGGGGCCATCGTGATTTCTACTTATATATGCCTATGCTCTTGGCAGGATGTGGGGTCTATAAGCACTAAGAGAAACATGCCAATAGGGTCCCTTCATTGTGATTTCGCTTCAAGACCCTTCTCGGCATTTGCGAGACAGATGATCGATCCATATTAACGGTGAGGATCCTATACCGTTTCTGGAATCGGTTCCAACATTGCTGATTGGCTCCTCCGCCTAATCTAGTATCCACCTTCCTTAAGTCAGTGCACTAATGCCGGCAGAGTCGGATTTTTCCCTACTTTCCACAACAGGTGATTCGTTCTAATACCCTGCAGACGGTTGGCAAATTTTAGGGAATCAACGCCCATGCTGTCAGGACTTCAATGGGCTCAATCTGCCGTACTGTGTACGCTGACAAATGCGTCATGACTTGACTAGCCAAGGACTCACTGCTTCATGGTGAAGGCTGGATCAGTGAGGGCTGAGTACAATGAAAGATACTGTAAAGATGAGAACATCCTCTCACACTTCCTGTATTGCAACATGGAAAAGAATATATATATTTAGATTGAGTCTCGTAGAATTATACTTCCATTACTAGAAGACTTTCAATTATTATATTTGCACGTGCGATAAGTGGGAACTTCCATATGCCTCGGAAGAAGATCTGTCATATATTGTAAGGTTTGCAGAAATAATAAGCAGTGATTAGTAATTCCACGACTTAGATGATGAGAGGAATAAGGCTGGTCCAGTGAGACCCAAAGGGAAGAGTGAGACTGTTTCCCTTGCAACCTACAATGGGCAGTTGTCCTTGCATTACGGGTTACGCTTTGACCGGTTCTTGTTCGAGTGTTAGTGGTCAGGAAAGTCAGCAATGGCCCCAAATTCACACATTGTGTATTTATTCAAAATTCAGATGCCGCGGATAAAGTTATGCGCAAGGAAATATATATCAAGAGCACAGAGACTTTGAAATGGAATATGGTAGGTGTTGGTTTCTCGCATCAACGCTGGCATACCTGCGACATAATGCGCCATCGCTCGTCCGGACTCGGTGACTACACAATAATATTACTCTATTTAGATAGACTAGTTATGTTGATAATATATAGTCAAACATTACCGCAGCTGCCAAGTTATCATGAAATTCAAACCTAACGCCGCTGAACGTCTGAGACAGGGAGAACGATGCACCCCAACCATGATATATACATCCCGACGTTCAATTTCGTCTCCGATTCCGCAAAAAGACAACAAAACTCCAATATTACAATAGAATGGAGAGAATAGTGAAGTAGATGAGGAACGGTTGAGTATGCGGTCAGCTTGCGTCCAATCGATTGATGAGGACATACAACTGTCCGATTTCTACATTATGATAATATTATAAGGAAATATAGATTTGCTACTCTATTATGCTTCTGTAATCTGCTGCACTCTATTTACTAATATAACAACTAAACTAATCTACTCCAACAACCCCCCAATCAACTCCTCTCTCCACCTCTCAAACACACCCTCTACGAAGCTTCTCTCATAAAACGCCTCATTCCAATGCACTGACAGCACCAACTCCCCATTAAACGTCCACACCTGGGTCAACAACAACCGATTAATGACCTCAATAGCCACCCACCACTCCTCCACCTTCACCGTCCACTCCTTTCCCTTCACCTCCGTCTTGAGCAACTGACTCACCCTCCCCATAGAACTCAACTCCGGGTGTGCTGGAGCGAGCAGCGGATCCGGCGGCGCAGCGCCCAACACCTGCATAACACGACCCACATATGTAGGCAAAAAATCGAACAAGTTCTGTGGCGCCTCTTTAGCCAGATTCCTCTTGTAGAGTGATGTAAATTCCTGGGCAAGGCGAATAAATTCTTCCCGTTTCTCAACCTGCGCTGGGTAGAGTGGGATGCGGAACGGCAGGCCAGTATGGTAGAGCGAGACGGCCGCTGCAGAGCCGTTCCACGGTTCGGGGAGATAGCGACGTAGATCGAGGGGGTTGAACCCGACGTAATCTGGTTTCTTTTCCGGGTGAAGGGCGAATTGGAGGCCGGTTAGGGCGAGGGCAGCGTGGGTGGCGGCCGTGATTGTGATTTTGTGGGCGGAGCATGCATCCAGGAGACGGGCGGTAGTAGCGCTGTCAATGTGGCGGAGGATGCGTTTGGGGGTGCTGGGGAGGACGTTGGGGAGAGTTGGAAGCATGAGATTGCCATTCTCGGTTTGGGTGAGGCATGGTTGGAGTTCTTTGTTGGAGGCAGCTGTGGCGGTGGCTTCGTCTAGAGGGATTGCCTTGGGGAGATCGGAGTCCGCGATGGCTTGGTCCACAGCGGGACAGAGACGCGAGGGTTCGGTCCCGTCGATGGGATGAACGGTTCCGTCTGCGAGGAGTTGCAGGAAGGCGGATTGCATGTGATGCAGGCCGATGCCGTCGATGCGCCAGTGGGGGGTGCGGAAGACCACCTCAGAGGTACTGGGAAGGTAGTAGAGGTGGACGCGCGGTGATGGTGTCAGCTGCTCATAGAGGTCATTGGCAGTTCGATCGGTGTCGACATGGAAAGTCTCTTTGGCCCAGCTGTCGAGCTGGGTGCTGCTGGTGATTGCCTCATAGACAAAGCGATCGCTGCCGTTGCTGTCTGTTTCTGGTTCAGCGGCCAATTGGGGGTAGACATGGCGGAGGGCTTTCCAGGCTTGTTCAACTGCAGTGGCGGGAGGCAGAGGCGATAGTTGGAGAGTGCAGGTAATCAGGTAGTGTTCTTTGTTCAGTGGGGCACCGGCAGCAGCAACGGCACGATAAAAAGTTTCGATTGAGTCGAAAGGACGCTCGTATCGGTTTGGGGAGACTTCTGTCCAGGACATCTTGGATGCTGAGTTTGATAGTTGTCTGGGGTCAGGTGGGCGGCGTTATCTGCGCATTTCTGGAGTGTAGTTAATTTAAAATAAGCCAGAGGAGAGTAGTCAGATTGTGGAATGATCGAGGGGTAAATTTAATTGCGGAAGAAGCGGGGTAATAAGAGAGCTGGCGAGGAACTGTATACGTAGCAAGACAAGTGGATCCCAGGAACAATATCAAAGTAGGCTGACAGTAAGCACTAGATATGCTCGAATCAAGGCTAGTGGCAGGCAACCCAGTTTCAGAAATTAGTACAATAGTGTCAGAACAGAGCTGGAAAAAAATAATCCAGTCAGAATCAGAAAAATCTTGATATTAAATTCTCTTATACTTGCGATATAATAGTATTTCTAATAGTGAATTAGCTATGCATATGACTTGAAATTCTTTTTTATAGATAAAATAGAAATCTATAAAAATTCCTGATATACTAAATATTTTGATAATCTCCAAAAAGACCCTATAATATTCCAGAAATATTGATATAAGAGTTGATTTAATTCAAAAAAGCTAGTAGTATAATATCAGAAAAACTGGTATCGAGTTCGAAAAATTCCAGTCTGATGTCAAGTAAGTACATTTACACGTGATAAAGCTTATTCAGTATCAGGATCTCTCTGAACCTGATACACTAATTTCTGACCCCTTCGCAACTGGGACCCTGCTATTGGCCCCCAGTAGATCGCCTGCAATACAAGTGCCACGCCAAGCAAAACTAGTCCAAGCTTAGCGCGAAAGGATGAGGCTTTTGCACTTGCAGACCAAAACATAGGCCACAAAATGGCTGGGCACTGACAGCAGCAAGCTTACCTCCTCCTGCCACTCCCCCACTTATTAATTTTTCTCTTCTTCCCCTCCTCAGAATCTCGTCTGGTTCTCTCGATTGCATTTTCTTCTTCTCCTCTTTCTGTATACGACATTTTAGATACCCTATATATACAATGTCCAGCCAACCTCTTACCTGGGTCGTCACCGGCTGCTCCTCTGGCATCGGCGAAGCCCTAGTCCGCGCCATCCTCGCCCAGGTGAGCACCCCCCACATTTGACCCATCCGGAGATCTCGCTCACACAGGCCAATAAACAAACAGGGTGACAAAGTCATCGCAACAGCTCGCGCCCGCAACAATGTCAGCGGAGCCGACCGTCTCTCAGCTCTGAAAGAAGCCGGAGCCGCAGTGTTCGAGCTCGACGTGAGCCGGCCCCAGGAAGAATTAGACGCCAAGGCACGCGAAATCTGGGAGATCTACGGAAAAGTCGACGTACTAGTCAACAATGCGGGCTACATCGACGCAGGACTTGTCGAAGAAATTACGTCAGTCCTCCCTCCCTCATATAGCGCACTCACTGTACTAACAGACCACCCAGCGAGCCCTTTTTGATTGACGCCCTCCGCGCCAACGCCTTCGGTCCCCTCAACGTATCCCGCGCCTTCCTGCCTCTCATGCGCGCCCAGAAATCTGGAACCGTGCTGTTTGCCAGCAGCCTCGGAGTCTACTTCGGTGCGCCCGGTGCATCCTGCTACACCGGAGGCAAGGGTCTCCTGGAGGCGGTGGTACCCAATCTGGCCCTGGAGCTGGCGGCATTCGGGATCCGCACTTCGCTACTCACCTACGGCTACTACCGTACGGAGGTAATGAACCCTGGGAACTTCCACAGCCGGGCGCCTCGCCCACTGCCGGAGTATGAGGAGCTCCGGGGTCTGGTGGAAGCTGGGTGTGCGGCTACGAACCACAACCAGCAGGGTGATCCGGCGAAGGCGGCGAAGGTGGTGGTGGAGGCGGTCAAGGGAACGGGCAAGTTTGAGGGAAAGCAATTGCCTTTGAGGTTGCCGATTGGAAAGGATGCTGTTGCTGCGATGCGGAAGGCGTGTGAGGAGAGGTTGGCTATTTGCGATGAGTTTGAGGGGTTGGTGGATCAGACGGATATCTAGATGCTCAGGGATATAGTATATACCATTCACTTTCGGGTTATTGTCATTGAAACACGTTCTACACAGTTCGCTCTGTTCGATTGGATGAAGCGTTTGTTGATGTATATTTCACGTAGATACAAGTGCATTAACTTTATCTCTTTCTGCATAATATGAGCCTTGTTATATATTGAGCGCACTTGTACGACCAAGGCAAAGGTATTCTACTAGCAGCCGTGCGAACCTGGCAATTTCCCTCGGGATATCAGGTTATTGATTACGAATGTGACAATCTACATTGAATACCGAAATCAAGAGATCGCAAGGGGGTTTAGCAGTGGGAGAGCCAATCACAGAAGAATACTTTATAATAGGCGGCGGCAAAGTAGACATGAGCAACACGTAATACTGTAACGAATTATAACAATACTATTCACTAACATCCAGTTGACAAGAGCTTGACTAGATAAGCCTCACTCAGTTCAAGCAACCCAATTGTGGATAAATCGAGCTGACTTTTCTGGTGGAGCAGAGGGGGGAGAAATGACATGATTTTCGGCTCTGCGTATAAAACTCTTTTCTGTACAATAGGAAACAGACTATTTCCGAGATGCAGATGTAGTTGCACGAGTTGTGTGACGGTAGGTACTTGCGTGGTTTTTTGAGCCAGCAACTATTGGGGTTAGCTCACCAGTGAATGACCAATAGACCCGATTAGTGTATGCATTGCAGCAGTAGAGCCTCACCTTCGACCACCAAGTGGAACTGAGTTCGCATCACAAATGTGAGCTATGCTGGATTCCTTCAGGTTCCTATTTATTATACGCATTATTTTGACTGATACTGATATTTTTCAGGCATACGCGAAGCCAATTGAGAACCTAGGAAATTGATGCTATGAACGCGGATTACCTATGTAAGAAAATGAAAGTCTCTCCGCAATCCACAACTCATCTCACCCTTGAAAGATCCTCCCGACTCATCGGAAACCATATCCCGACATCCTATACTCGTGTTTTCCCTTCCGAATGACGTATCTCCTGCCGTAAAACTTCTCGCCCGAGAGATCGATAAGATATCTCGGTAATGATCTCCGTCAACGGAAGATCTAATTGGTGGAATAAGTTCTAGCGACGCCGACCCCAGTCAAACAGGTCTAGAACTACACCGATGTACTACAAACTCAATCCCTAAGTAAAAGAATATAAAGTACGACAAGTACACTCATTTGTCTTTCACGATACTAATTTGAGATTCATCAATTGACCAAGAATGAATAACAGCAAATCCAATATGTCTACCACCATGCAACCACCGCCCCTATCATCCATCCTCTCAACCCACGACTTCGAAAAAGCAGCCTCCAAATCCCTCACACCCAAAACATGGGCGTTCTACTCCTCAGCCGCGACAGATACATTCACCCACGAGTCGAATAGAACTATGTACGATCGGATACTCCTCCGTCCGCGAATCCTCCGTAATGTTACTTCCGTGTCAACGAAGACAAATATCCTGGGCTGTCGCATGGATCTACCGTTATTCATGAGTCCCGCGGCAATGGCGACGCTAGTTCATCCGGACGGTGAACTTGCGCTCGCAAGGGGATGTGCGAGGTATGGTGTTGGGATGTGTGTATGTCTATTCCCCTTACCATACCTTGTTGACTGTATACTAACAGAGCGTGGGAATGAAGGTCTCCACAAACGCAGCCTACCACCTCTCCGAAATAACATCCGCCGCAGCCAAGCAAAACAAGAAGGACCATCCATTCTTCTTTCAACTCTACGTCAACAAAGACAGAGAAGTATCCCGACGTCTCCTCCGCACCGCAGAAGAAAATGGAGCCAAAGCGGTATTCGTGACTGTTGATGCGCCTGTGGCTGGGAAACGGGAAGCGGATGAACGTGTTCCGCTTGATCCCCACGATATCCGATTTAGAACGCCGTTGCCGATGAGCGGGGCGTGTATCGGTGGGAATGATGAGAAAGGAGGAGGTTTGGGACGTTCGATGGGACAGTATATTGATGCGGGTTTCACGTGGGAGGATTTGGCGTGGTTGAAGGAGAATACCTTTCTGCCTATTGTGTTGAAGGGAGTGCAGACGGCGGAGGATGCGATCTTGGCGATGGAGTATGGCGTGGATGGGATTGTGGTTAGTAATCATGGTGGGAGGAGTTTGGATACGTGAGTTCTCTTTCTTTTGTTATCAGTAGAGGGGGAGTGGTGTATGTGCTGATTGTTGTAGGTCTACTTCATCCATTGCTGTGTTGATGGAGATCCGGCGGTGCTGTCCGCAGGTGTTTGATCGGTTGGAGGTATTTGTCGATGGGGGCATTCGACGAGGAACGGATATCATCAAGGCGATATGTCTGGGTGCGAAGGCTGTGGGTATGGGGAGGCATTTTCTATACAGTTTGTGTTATGGGCAGGAGGGAGTGGAGAGGTTGATTGAGAGTATGATTCCGTTCCTGTGTTTTACAAAGTGAGAATGCTGACGGTCGCAGTTATGAGAGATGAATTAGAGACGACCATGAAACTATTGGGAATTACGGAGCTATCCCAGGCGCATCTAGGCCTGTTGAATACATTGGACGTGGATCATTTGATTCCAAAGCAATCTGCGTCATTGTATAGCGAGCCAGCCAGGGCACGCTTGTAACAGCAGGGTTCTCAGTTCAAGCTAGATAGAAAGTGGGTAATTCATAAGACATTTAGATCATAGCGTCTATCTCGAACCAGTATGGCAATAGGTGATTGAAGCCAATGTCAAATGTCCCATCAGCATAACTAATAATAGACGTATCAGTGTTTGCTGGATACTGTAGTAATTGACCCCATCCGTCAACTGGTACCTCGTTATTGCCAGCCCATCGCAAGTCAGAAAGCAGCCGCAACATGGTCAGCAGACTCGAGGCCACAACATTAGAGGTATGCTCTTCGTTGAGGTCGGCGCCTTTTGTATGTAGACACCGAGCTACGCGCAGAGCAACATGGGCAATGCGTCCCGGATCGATTGGCAGTCCGAGTCGATGGATGTCACCCATAGCGCTGCCCCCCAGGCCTATATTCAATCCGACGATTCTCAGAAGAAAGGAAGCAGAAAATCCTACCATGTGATAGACGTGAGTGGGGAGATAGCGGAGATTCAATGAGAGATCACTGTCAGTACCTATGACGCGCAGTACCTTCATGGCAGCGTCAATTGCAGCACCCGCAGCAAAGCAGTGCTCGAATGACCACGCTTGAAAATTCGTCGGACCGTTATCATCAGGAAAAATACCGCGAAATGCCAGTGAGTAGATCTGAAACTGAGCAAAGGCATGGTACATGTCCTTCAAATCCTGCGGCAAAGAAGAATGAGGGTGGCTGCTATATAATGTTCCAGTCGGGAATTCCTGTAGGCATCGCTTAATAGCGTCGTCGAACGCCAGTATTGTCGTCATATCATCTTCTTTCAGAGGCTGGCGGCAATTCATGTAAAAGGCCGTGTGGGCATTTGCCAAGGTATCAAAGTATAATACGAGGGCGGTTAACCTTCTATCTTCGTGACTGGCATGCTTTTGAAGGGGCATTCGCGTCATATCCCAAACTGGTTCATGCTCAGCACCCTTCAGAGGACGGCCGCGCCCGGTGGTGAAGCATTGCTCGCATATGTAGGCGAGACACCACAGCCGAACATGTTCCATCTCGGTTACTTCGCCCTGCATGTATTGATCGAAGGCTTCATCTAGGCGGAGGTCGCGTGAAATGCGAATGGCCTCGCTTGAGAGACGCTCGCCCAAATACTTGAGGTAGAATGCACCAATGCACAAAGCGCGAATATCATCCAAGCTATTACTGTGAGTATCTACCAATCTTCCCATGAGGGAGAGAGATACAAAGATTTCATGGCATTTTGGGTATACTTCGGCTCGGTCGGGAGAAAGTAGTGCAGCGACAGAAAGAATGGCAGCCGTGAGCATCGCGGATGACCTGCGGGCAGAGTCTAACGTAGGATGTTGCATGAGAAGCCCGTCCCATAGGAGCGGATTAACGCATGTCGTAAACATGCTGAAGAGATCCTCTGCTTCTTCCAGCGCAACAACACCCTCTGAAATGAGATCACTTTCAATAGAGGCTGTTTCGATGCGTAGGTTCTTCATTTGCGTAACCGTATCAGACATGCACACAATTCCAGGTGTATTCCTGCATAGTGTGTTGATCTCATCTCTCAGGTCTGCAACTTCATCCATAAGTTTGTTTTTAGATCTACATTTGTCAGTAGGGACTGTGGCATAACCGTGAATGTGGCATACTCTTTTTCATCCTTGAGGCGTTGCACCATTGCGAAATACGCATCGCATTCATTTAGGCCATGGCGTGAGCATCTAGTACAAGCAACTTCTCCTTCCTCGACCCTGCACGGTTTTCCGCGGATCGCACAGCTTCCACCTGAAGGGTGTTAGCACTGATGTGGAGGGTTTCTTGGGTGACATACAAGCGGTGCGCGCGGCGGGATGTTCAGGAACGGGCGAATCCATTTCTGTCATGAGGTGACACTGTTACAGCGTGGAGATGAGAGATTGATCTAATTTGTATATGATGATGTTGGAACAGAAAGTTAAGTGATGTATCAAGAACACAAAGAAACCAGGATGAACCGGTCTTATATAACCGTGGACATTTCCTATACTGGGGGATTCCGATGAGCCAGGTGTTCCTTCTAAGTACATGAAATGAGGTACAACGAAGAGTATTGCTTGTGAACAGACACGACAGAAATGGTTCATGCGTTTCCATCCTTCTGTATACACGGCGGATACCGATTATGAGCGCTACTGTGTGGAAATTTATTCCTATAACCCGATACAACATCGGCTTTCACTGACTCCTTGGCTTTTTAAAGATATTCAAATGTGTAGGATAGACCTCATAGTGCTGAATCCTTTCGGAAAGGGCGGCACAGGATGCGTATTTGATATCTCGGTATCTGCAGCTATCTATCTGCCTCGTGCATGGAATGTGCCTGCTATCTGCTACTGGATGTACTTCACCACCAGTTAATTATGCATAGCAGGACAAACTCAGACTCTCGCCAACGGTAAATACTATCAAGTTTAATAGTAGGGATAGTGGAAGTTTCCATACATTATGTAGCAAGCCCGCGTACGCTTTCTCCCCAGCGTATCAGCTTAGACAGAGTGTTTCCAGCTTTGAGAATCGTGGAAAATAAAATTAGAGTTAAAAGAACCACCGCAAATACAAGGTAAACATATAACTCCTCATTCACTCCCTCCGTCATGAATCAGCCAATAGATTAACCACAACCAGTTAAACCAAAAGCCCAAGCCCCGCAGCCACCAGTGCCCCCAAACCCCATCCTCCAACCTCAACCCTCCCCCCACCATTCGCATCCCCACTCCCACTTCCACTCCCACCCCCAGTCGTCTGCGTCGCACTCGCCAACTTCTCCGCTCCAGCCGTAACAGTAACAGGCATATACCAGATCTCACCCGAGCTATACGACGTGCCCGAAGTAACCACAGACGAGGAATTCTGGCCCCCGCTCACAGACCCATAGTACCCGATTGTGACGGAGCACGACGCAGCCTGCGTCGAGGAGGTAATGTTGCACGCATTACTCTGGGAGGTTGTTACTGTGAGGCCGTTCGCGGAGCCGATGAAGGAGCCGTGCTCGGCGTAGGTGGAGGGTGCGGCGGTGATTGTGTAGATGGATGGGATGGGGCACGCGCCGTTGCAGGTTACGGCGAGGATGGTAGTGGAGGAGCCGGCGGAGATGATGCTGGCGTCGAAGGTGGCGAGGGTAGTTGTGGGTGTTGGGGTTGTGTTTTGGGAGGTGAGTGAGGTGGGGAGGATGTTGAAGATTTGGATGGTGGTGTATGATGAGGTGGATGAGGATGAGAGGGTGTTGGAAGAGGTGGTGGTTGTGGTTGTGGTGGAGATTGAGGTTTGGGCTAGGGCAGAGCCTGCTAGGGGGAGGATTATGTGGAGGAGCTTCATTTTGGGGATAGTGGACGTGATATGGAAGGATGAGGGAGATGGATGGGTTAGTGATAAGGTATCTGGATAGTGTTGGTATTTAAGTATACCACTTCTGGGATAAGTGGAGTTGGATCATGAGATCTTTAGCAAACAGAGTACAGACTAGTCCACGTCATGTCAATAAGCTTATCCCACACTCGTCCTATTACATGGCCATCAGAAATAATTCTGGAGCCTACGGACACGAGCTGAAGATGTATAGGTCTTGCGGCATTTCAATTTGTCCTATGTTGCAGATGAGGTAATCTCCATCCGTCTTCAGAGTACTCCAATTCCATCCAACCTTCTATAACACTTCGCTCACTGTAAGTAAATCTAAAGAATATATCTAAACCCTGCATTCCGAGCCTCCAGATTATCGACCTCTGCTCCACCTCTATCCTCTTCCGCCGCATCCAGCGCCTTGTTCATCCTCACGTGCACAACACGAATCACGAAAGCAATCATCGCAACTAGCAGGGCTATCCCTGCTGTGGCACTGCCACCGGCAATATATCTTGGCCCTGATGACGACGGCCACATATAGCTTCCATAAATGGACGCTGTGTTGCCAATCATGTTGGCTGTTGCGATTGCAGCTGAACGTTTGACCAGCGGGCGGGGGAAGGAGTTGGCCACCCAGGCAATGATGATTTGGTAGGCGGATACGGCGCCCATTGGCATCCTACACTATCAGTATCCATATGAAGAAAGAGCGAATGGAGAGATGCTTACAAGAACATGCCAAAAAATCTCGCACCAATATTCGTCGTAGCAGTGCAGATTATGCATCCCACCACACTAACGAGCATCAACAGAATAATATGTATTCCGCGATCGTTTGTCTTTCCAGATGTCCATGTCACAAAAAGGGACACCAGGAAGGTGGCGATCCAGACAGGTGCAGTTATCAGCAACGTCTCGATATTTCCATAGCCGAGTGTCTCGACAATGGTAGGGAAGAAGTACTGGAAGTTTTGCGAGAGGAGCGACGTATGCTGGAGAAGAATGAAGAGGTAGATCCGCTTATCCGAAAACACGAGATAAAGTGCTTCTTTGATGTTGGTTGACTTGGCTTCGTCTGCCTCTCCAGCATCATGGATCAGTCGCCATTGCGCGTATAGCTTCTCGGTCTCGTCAAGCCATGAGGTGGTGGCGGGGTAGTTCGGCAAGAGCAGTCTATACAGTCAGAGACCAGTAAATTAGATCTACAGTGGACGACTCACGTTGATGTCAGTGATATTCCAACAGTAATGCACCCCTCAATAATGAAGAGCCATCGCCACCCCGCTATCCCATGCGCACCGTCCAAGTTCCCCAGCACCCCAGCTCCAATCAGGCCACCAAAGGCATTTGCCAGAGAACTTCCAGCATAGAACCACGCAATGCGATGACTCAACTGCATTGGTCAGTCCGACATCTCATGAACCAGCTTGGTTTAGTGCCTACCTCTTGTCTGGTGTACCAACTCGACCTGTACATATTAGCACTGCACAAATGGGCTTATCGTTGCACAACTTACATCAGCATGATTGCACCAGGAAAGAAAGGCGCCTCCACAAACCCAAGGAAGAAACGCGCAAGGACCAATCCCGTGAATGACTGTGTTGCAGCCTGACAGGCTGAGATGACACCCCAAATAGCCATTGCTGTTCCCAGAAATAATGACGGTCGCACGCGTGTGAGAAGGAGGTTGGACGGTAGTTGCATGAGGAGGTACCCGACGAAGAGAATACTTGTGGCCAGATTATAGTCTGTTCCTTTCATTCCGAGGTCTTGCTCCAGTGAGCCTAGTCGGGCCTGTGAGAGGTTACTGACGCAGGAATTAGTATAGACCTTACAGGGTAAGAGCTGAGTCAGAACGTACTTTCTATCGAGGAAGTTGAGCAAATACATCACCACAAGAAACGGAAGAAGATGGATGTCCACCTTACGAAGAAGCTTCCTGGTCATCTCCCGATGCCATTCTGGGCTCTTTGCGACATATGTCTGGTAGATGGCATCTTGATTTGAATCTTGGATCTTCGTTGCATCCTCGTGGTATTCAGTAAATGCCTCTGTCGGTTTAGACATTGTGAGAGCTCCCTATGCAGTAGGACAGAGACAGAATGCTATGATACCATTCCTTCAGTGACAACAAAGCGGAGCTTAAGTATCGGAGGATGTCCGTCACCCCGCATTTGCGGGGGCGGGGTGGGCTCGGGGTAGTTCACCCCGGATCTGCATGGGCCATTCCAAAAGAAGAGAAAGAGCAGGCAAGGCCCGTTATAATATAAGACAGATGTTGAAAAGATTGGGCGGTTAATGCTCCAAGTATACGCCTGATTGGGTTACGGGGAAGGGCACAGGGGGGTTCGTAGGAACTTGGTAGGGAGTCACTAATTTTGGTGGCCATCTTCAAGTCATACATTATGTGTTGTTAGAAAGCGAAGCGAAGTATTGGATTGAGCTCAAATGTCATTCTTCACTATACCAGAGCCCTATCACATAGGTTTTCTTATAATCGGACTGCCAATTGAACACCAGAGACAAACCCAAATGAGTAGATCAATGAACGCGAGCCTTAAGCCTGCACATGAGCGGGGGTTTCGCCCACAGGTTATACGATTTCTGATTATGCCAGTCCCGACTCTCTTCACACAATTCGATATCGAAGTTCCACAGGACTCTGGCAAGGATGACACGCATTTCTGCATAGGCCAAGTTCCGGCCTATACAGTTCCGTGGACCAACTGAGAAGGGTTGCAGAACATCCCGATTATCACGGTAGAACGGCGATGAGGGGTCGTTCTTTGATTGAGGCAACCATCGTTCTGGAATAAATTCTTCGGGTCTATAGAAGTTGAGAGGAGACCGGTATGCAGCAGACTGGTGAACAGATACGTTTGTCTGAAAAGTATTAGCATTGGGGTTTTCAGTATAATAAGTGAGACTTACCTTAGGGGGGAGCAGATATCCCGAGATTTCAGTAGGCGTGTCTGGTACGTATCGCTGTAAGCCGCCCGAGACAGGGGGGTACATACGAAAGGCCTCATCAATACATGCCAGCATGTAGGGAAGTTTAGCTGTGGCGTTATTGACATCGATATCTTCCTCGGTCTTCATGACAGATCGCACTTCGAATTTCACTTTTTCCATTTCCTTAGGGTGTTGGAGCAACCAATACGTCAGCCCAGATAGCAGCGTTGCTGTGGTTTCACTGCCAGCAATGACAAGGATACTTGCATTGGCTGCGAGCTCCTCATCCGTCAACCCGTCCTTTTCTCCGCGGTGACGAAGCATGGACTGCATGAAGTCTGCTTGACCACGATCTCTCTGATGATGCAACCGCTTCTGTACTGTATTCCAGCTATATTCGTCCTGTCTTCTTTTTGCCTCCAACAGGTGTTTTGGTAGGAAGCGCTCTAGGACTTGGAACATCATTGGATAATTATCTTTGAACCTGGCAAATGCTATGGCCTTGATGAACTCGAAGATAGTTGACACCCAGTAATGGTACTCCGTCGAGTCCAGTCCACCAAATGATTCTCCAAAAGCGAGGTCTCCAATCAGGTCGAATGTTGTGAGATTGTACCACTTCGCCATATCCACGGCTACTTGTGACTTGGCCATACTGTCCAGCTTGTTGATAAGCTTGTCGACATACTCCATGATGAAAGGTTCCTGGGCTTGAAGACCCTTAGCAGAGAACGCATGGGATATAGCCTTGCGAAATCGAGTATGGTCGGAGTCGTTTGCACTGATAATATCCATGGGATTGTTCATTGACCCTGGCACCTTGGGCAACTGCCGATGCCCGTGGCCGTAAATGTCTTTCCACGCCTGCGTGGTGATGAACGAGACCTCATTTGGGCTGAAGCGAACGGCTCCGCCGTAATGATTGTGGTATGTTCGCATGTCCCTATCCAATACTCCTCTCATGAATGAGATGTAGCGTAAGATGGGAAAGGCTAGCCATAGCTTTGGGCCGGGAATCCGACGGAGCGGATGGAAATAGATGTTCCAGATGGCCGCGCAAACGGTGTACACAATGTACGATATCACGACGATGGCCAGAATGGTAGGCATAATGTGTTAGAAAGAATATCCTGGTTTGGTTTGCCATGAGTCTAGCTGAAGGACCGGATGAAGGCCTATTTAAGTCTTCCACCCTGGTCGCACCTGAGCTGCAATCCCTAACACGCTGGCGTCACGTCCCCATGTTACGCAGAGGTCGAGGTCAACAGCATGAAGATACAAGCGGGGTAAGTGTCGGAGAAATGTTGCCACAAAGTCTAGGCTATGGGGCAGACGATGCTAGTCGATTGTGCCGTGATGATGCGGCATAGGCACCTGGCTACTTCCAATTGCCCCGGCATTCATAGGCTCTTATGTGACTGCAATCTCATTCATCTGCGAATCCCCTAGTTGGTAGAGAATTCTAACATCATTCTTACTTTCATTAGAGTAGAAATCAATTCTGTGAAGTCTTTCAAGGCGCTGCTGAGCATAAAAACGGCACATTTGCAGCTGATGACATCGATTGGACGTTGAGCTGCAGATAGAGTGGAGAGGCGATCTGCACGATGTGTTACGGTCCGTCCGCGTCCCGCGTGACAGCCCAATAGGAGGCTCCAGTTAATAATGCGAGAGGGGAAATGATGATTCCAGACGAGGGCGATTTGCAGCTCGGTGGCCGGAAGCCTCGAGGCCCGCAACGGATACCGGAAGTTCGACTCTCGGTCTACCTAACATAGCCCTGGGCTTTTGGACCAAACGGAGCAGCCTGGATCCACATCTAGACACGAAACAAGGATGGTCGGCCTAGAAGGAATTCATCTTGTTACCCTGTCAATCTAGGAGGAGCAATAAGCTCTGTAGTAGACAAGCCGGTACCGAGTCATTCCTCTGGCTGATTCGAGAGACACGAGTGCTTATTGGGGTGGAGACAGCTGTCGAGCTCAGACCCTCAGACGCTCACTCACCCGCTTCCTAACACGTCATATGTCCTTGAGCAAATGAGCTATGAGCTCGCCCAAGATAGCGTTCAATGCATATTTTAGCCACTCAACTTAAAATGATAGAGGGTTATTTGGTATCAGTGGGTCTATTGTCAGCCAGCTACCATCCACTAATATCCGAGTTCTGGCTAAGGTCTGCAACAAGACGTCAATCTAGAGAGTGACCCCGCTTCTTGTGAATTCATTTGTGCATTGAGGTCATTCATAAATGTATTATGAGCAACGGTAGCTTGGATTTCTCCCTTGCTGCATGCCACCGAATCATCTGGATTCACTGCGTATTGCACTAAGTACATACAGTTGCTAACTTGACAGATGCAAGTATGCATCACATCAAAAGTTGACAATACGAGACCATAATATCTGATTACAAAAATATATTTTTCAGCCGTTTAAACAATTTCTGTGAATCAGAAAAGATTTATAACTAACTCGGCGCGTATCATGACAGCTCTTCGGTATCCGACAACGTCCCACTCTTTACTCGCCCACATCACTCTTTTAGAGTAACTTGATAAAAGGCGTTACATTATCAGAGATACGCGAGTATTGTACAGATGAAGTTGGTTTTTTGCCCAGAGTAGGCCACGCAGTGTTGCCACATTCAGGAAAGTCCGGAGCAGTATCTTCACGGCAGGATCCACAATCGGTGCAAATAATTGGCTTTGAGCGGTTATTTTGTCACTTGTTAGCTGCGGATTTTCCCCATTGCCAAGATTCAAGACCAGCGGAAAGGGCGCTGGCGTGTTCAGATAAAATTCTGAGATCTGTGACGATTACATCCTTGTTAATACAACTCTCCTATTGCGCTCGACGTGTAAGCTAGGCTTATTAGCTCCCAACTATCTCTCATATATTCCTAACTGACAACACGGCAAAACCACAGAACCTTGAGCCTAGAACGACCCATGACACACATTATCGGGTCGAATAATCTCCCCAGCGGCAAAGAGGACCTGACGAAGAAGATCTTTGAGATCGTCCTAATTGTGATATCTGTAAGTAGAGTCCAAGTGTTGGACATTATTTCGAGCCTCACCAGAAGGTTAGCAAGTGGGTGTAAAGAGCCACCAAGTATTGCAGCAAGAATGTCGAGTTTCACCTCAAAATAAGCACGAAGTAAATGGATGGCAAGATATAGAGTTGACGATAAACAGCGACATCCGTCAGTGGAAAGCGAACCCAAATCGTCTTCGATTGTGGAGTTTTCGTTTTCGCCGATGTTTCCTATATCTATGTCGTCAGCAGTAGTGGAAGCGTCAGTACCACAGTTTGCTTCGGGTGCGAAAAGCTCTTCTGCTACAGCAGTCATCTTATTGCGGAACTGGTTCCTGAGGCCATCCTGTGATTGACAGCATATAGTCAGCTCTTCATCTGACGTTTTTCTAGAACGTTGTATTCATACCAAAGAATCTTCAATTCCTCCGCCTGCGAGACCTTCGGTGGCCTTCAGCGCGATGTCCCCAAGAGCACGGACAAGATGTGTGCCAAGATACCCCGTTACCGATACACATTCGCACTCAAGCTTGACAATCTGAACAAGGGTTTCTCCGAGCTTTGAGTTCTCATCGATACCGCCTATAGCACTTATTGACTGTCTTCCGGCTTTCCTCTCCACCAAATGTGCGCGCGGGTAGGCAGATATATCACGATGGATATTATCTCTCACTTTTCCCTAAAGAGGATGGCATGGTGTTAATACCTTGTTTCATCAATAGTAAATTAGCCACATTGCAGAATATCAGAAAATGACCATACGAGAATTAGGGCCGCATTGTGCCCATGAAAAGGCAAAAGCGAACATGCTTTAATCAACGCATCGAAAGCATTGTCAATAAGGCCACGAGCAAGATCTTTCGGGTCATCTGATTCCGAATCACTTCCAATCCAGGAAATAACTTCATGGGTTTCTTTAGAAGCATCAGCGCGACCTGCGATCTTATGTGTCTCGGTGAACAGCTCAGGAGATGGGTTCCGATGTCCGAAGTCAAGCGCGGAGATACTCCCACGACTTTGCGATAGGTGTGAGTTGACAGTTGCCGCAGTCATGGCAGTTATAGTCAAGAATAGATGTATCAGTTTCATTCTAATATATGAATCTTGAATATCACAGGACTAGATATAGCCACAATCATAACTAGCTACGAGGACAGTGGTGGGAATAGATAATTTATATAGTACATGACCGTCAGAGATTGCCAAGCCCATAATATCGGCATTTCAAAAGCAAAAACCACTAATTTGAAGAATTGGTACAGCCTTTGGTAGTGAAGCAGACAACCAATAATTGATTTATAGGTACTTTGCTGGGTATTTGAACTATCCTAAACTGTGTCACCTCATCATAAGGGGAATTTGAACCTGATGGTTGATATACCGATTACTTGATGTCGATGTACCTGACATACATGTTTTCGATGACCACAAATGCCATCAGCACACGTGCAAAAGCAATATAAGGGGTAATTTTAGTAATCCACTTCATTTTGGTCCATAGGCTGTCTTTGCACGTGTGCACGTACTTTCCTGTCGTCCAACACGAGCCGGTCATTTCGCTGGTCTGTACGTGCGCGTACACTATGGGGCGATAAAGACGTTTCACCACTCAACACTTACCAGATATACAGTCCGGTTCTTATTGCTAGTCGGTAAGATCTATGATAGATCTATCGATCTCTTGACTCTACTTCCTTCCTTCTTTTTTTTTTATTTCTCTTTCAGGCTCTATTTTTATTTCTTTTTTTAGTTCTATTTCTTTTTCTTCTATTTTTTTTTTTTTTTTTTTTTTTTTTTTTGTTTTTTTTTTTTTTTTTTTTTTTTTTTTTTTTTTTCTTTAGTGTCACGCGTGGTCGTGCTGAGGAACTCTTGATCGTCACTTTTCCCTTTCTTTCTTCAGACCCGCCTGATCTCACCCGCTCACTGATGGTGGAAAAACAAAAAGTATGCGCTAGCAGATCTACTGCAGGTACCCTCTCAAGCAATTTATAATAACATGAGTGGATGAGGCCCAAAATTAGAAAGGAGGGACCACCCGGATATGAGAATCGCATCTGGAACCGTGATATATTGAGTAATGCTGGTCCCACCTGAGTTATACAGCCACACACTCGATTGCATTGAATTAAAACAACCCACGATATGCACCTGCATGACAGATCGACACGTGCTGAAAGTTCGTATATTTCTGTGGGTCTTCCAGAACAGGAAAGAAATAAAATTGTCTTTTTATTTCAAGGAGGCGGGCTGGATCCTGCATGTAATGGCTCTAGATTCATAAGCCCTTATGTGGTTTCGTCGGTGCACATCAAATTGATCGTTAGAGCATACAACCCCTCCGTTCACCGATGGGTGCTATTTGAGTGTAGCTTTGTAATAGCCACCAATGACAACTCCGTTCTGACCCTCGTCCAAATACCATTTTCAAAGGCCCAGCAATGCTGAGGGGAGGTCGCGCCAATCTGGCGAAAAGGGCCAATCGTGATGCTAAAAGGAAGGGAGCAAAGGTTAAGCGACAAGAAAATATAAGTACGCGAAAATGAAGAGAGCATCAGCATGTGTTCTAACCTTCGTGAAGGTCTAAGCTCATGCCCAAAAGCATCTCAGGGTGGTATTTCGATACAAGGGACAACATTGAAGTACTTAAGCGGGCTAGATACTTACATAGACACCGTAACGAGACCTACTTAGGCCTAATGTCAGAGATCAGTAGATACTATCATTGTCGTCATCAGGCTGCCTCTTACAGTAGGTGTTGCTCCCTCCTCCTTGCTCAAGCTCATATACTGCTGTAAAAAATAGGCTTGACACGATCTAGATGAAACATTCAGATACCTGTTCTCGTGTCTGCAGCTGTGGTCAAAGGGGTACGGAGTGAAGTCTATATGTCGCTCATGGAAGAGATCAGGAGCGTACAATATCAAACTGCCACATGGTATCTATACAATATATGTAATACCCAACAGAGCTCCCTATACTAGGTACTTAATAGTACTGGTATGCATAAAACCCTATAACAAGCCAAAGAAGGGTGTCAATGAGAATATCGAACAGCTGCTCATCGTCAAAAAGGAGGGGCGCTACCGCTACTGCCTCCAGTGACGGCCCGATTGGTTGAGCTGTTCGGATAGGCACTAAACGGCTGGCAAACATTGTTAGCTGCTTTATGAACCCAGAGAATACGACACTTGTGATAGAGTCGATTAAGAGTAAGCTTGAGTTCGGCACAAACGGAAGATTGGGAATCGGATAAGCGGGCCGATCAGATTCATGGATCGGATTATAGTTAACTAACTAACTAGTTATATGTAGTGAGTGAGTAAGCGGATACCGGTGTTTAAGCCACCTGTATTTGGTCGTCATTTAGCAGGGGGTCCCAGCTGTCTAAGAACATTGAATAAGTCATCCCCTCATGTAAGTCAATTTCCATGACCTGATAGGCTAGTTTGAAGGGTCCTTACTGGCCGGCAGCCCCACCATGAGACTAGGGATGTGGGCAAGTTCCAAAGGATCGACCCGAGCGGAGGCGGCATCTCGGGATATCTCCGCTGAGTAATATAAAGACACTTCACCCTCTAAATATCTATATGATCTATCACGCAACATGCGGTCTATATAGCGCGGTGGTGAGCGCTGGTCTTGTGCCTTCATTAAAAGAAAAGATCAAAGAGGAAGTCACGATGCGTCAGGCGGTTCAATTGACCTGGACCGATATGGCCACCCTGTACAAACACATAGTGGAACAGGTGGCAGAAGCACCCGCAGCCAAAGGGCTCAGTGTCATTTGTACGGCTGCTGTAGCCACCCTGGTAATTGTCGCTTTGCTCAAACCCCTTTATTATCGCACTTGGCATCCGTTGTCTCGCTTTCCCGGTCCTCCAGCGGCCGCTTCATCGCGGCACTGGATCTACAGAGTGACCGACCGTGGCTTTCCGGAGGAGGACCTCGAAAAGCTCCATAAGAAGTATCGTGAGTACTGTCCTGCTTTCATAGCACATTTTATAACCTTGCACTAATCATGGGGGCTGGTGAATACTGATGTGGGACCATTCGATTGCTTTCTAGAAACGCAAGCTCTACGCATTGGACCCAACGAGCTACACATTACCGATGTTTCCAAATACAAGGTTATATACAGTCAAAGCAAACCATTCCCGAAACATGGAGAGTTCTATGAAGCTTTCAACACGCCCCATACAGCCTTCACCGAGATCGATGCAGGAATGCATAAAGAGCGCCGACGGCTACTGAATCCTTTCTTCTCCCGAGCAGGCGTCTTCAAACTTGAACCCATCATTCATGACAAGGTGGGTATTCTTATAAACAAAATTCGCCGACTTGAGAATAGCCACAATATCAATGTGTATGATGCTTTTAGGTGGGTATCACAAAGGAGTTTTTCCTGATCGGGCTTCAACGATATGCGCCTCTATCGGGTATATCGACTTGGTCATGGCTGACGCATCGGAAACGGCAGGTGCCTTACTACAGAGGTCATTATGGAATTCGCCTTTGCGAGATCAGCAAACATGTTGGAAGAGAGTGAAACTACTTTTGAGTCCTGGTTTCTGGTCGCCTTCGACGCCGTTGCCCGAAGCCTCTGGAAAATGCAGGAGTGGCCCATCGCTCGGAAAGCCTTGGGGGTTATGCCCGTGAATGTCATAAGCCTCTTGGATTCCAACATTGTGAATGTTTTGAAAATGTTCAAGGTAGATGCTGATTTCCTATACCGTTTGCCAGCTGTCTGAGGGTATGCTAATTCCATGACCAAATTTGCGTAGTTTGCGGAAAGCTGCCTTATGCACTACGAGGAGCACGGAAATACGACCTCTCACCCTGTTGTATTCGAGAACCTATCTTCCCTGCCGCACGACCTCAAGGTCGGTGAGGCAGTTGACATACTTATTGCGGGAGCTGACACTACAGCGTCAACCCTTACTGCTGGCTTTATGCATATACTTTCGAACCCAGCTATTTATGCCAAATTAGCAGACGCTCTTTGGGGAGTGGACATCACATCCAATGATCCTTCAGCGGCTCAGCTTCAAGAGTTAGAAAAGATTCCTTACTTGGTACCCAAATACATGCCCAACACACGAAAATGATTGTCACGCTAACCATCAGTTAGACTGCCTGTGTCAAGGAATCTCTCAGGATCGCCATGCCGGTGCCTGGACGCCTGCCGAGAGTCGTTCCCCAAGACCTCGCTGAGCCGTTCGTTGTTGATGGACAAGTCATCCCACCCGGTGTAAGTCTTATGCCCGATGCTGAGATGTTCATCGTCTTATTGGATTTCTGCAGACCATTGTCTCCATGTCAACCTACACAATGCATACCAACGAAGAGGTTTGGGGTCCCGACGCTCGCGTCTTCAACCCCGACCGTTGGCTTCACCCGGGAGCAAAGTCTTTAGAGCAGTACCTTTGTACATTTTCCAAGGGCGCTCGCATGTGCATTGGTCAAAAGTTTGTTCTTCCATCCTCGTTGCTTGGTGTTGGATCACTAATAACCAAATGAAGTGTCGCGTACGCTGAAGTCACAATTGTGATGGCGTATCTATTTAGGAACTTCGACATTCAGCTGCCGCCTGGTTTCCGTGCACCCGAGAAGAAGGATCTATTTACCATGGAGTATTCGAAACCTGGATTACCCTTGAGGTTCTCCAGTCTAAAATTAAAATGATGTAGATGTGACTGGCGTGATCGGCGGAATTAAAATTCGTGTGCTGTATGTATGTACGTCCTCCTTAAATACAGCGCGGCTAGGGCAGTCTTGAGACTGCGGCCGGAACGGGCCGTTAGGCTGTGAGAGTAGCTATATCCAGGGCCCGTATTTTATCGAGGTATTATGCCGTATCAGTCAAATACCTTGATTTAACCGTGAAGCTATCCCCAAATCCCACTGACCAATCAGAAAACTCGCAGGCAACCTCGTCTAGTATTTCTGTCCTGTGGTTAGGGGTTTTGTAAGGCGAAGTGTGAGTTGAGGCTTGGATACAGGCAGTCTGGGCACCAGGACAAAACCAAAGTAAACTTCGGAGTTACAAATTCTTGTACACTTGATACTAGTTATTCCTATACAACTCCAATTTTTCGACCCTCAATCCCAGTTAAGTTGACGATACACGTGGTAGCGAAAAGCGCTGTAAAAAAACAAATTACTGCATCTACCCGGACCACTCGATCCTGTTTAGATACCAGAATCATCCTCCTCAATGCGGTTAGCAGCAGCATATTTATCCCAGGCAGCACAGTTTTTCTCCAGTGCGGAAGCATCGATCATAGGCTCGAGCTGAGACATGCTCTCCACGAACTGCATGGCGAAGCCCTCCGATTGGTGCCATCCAATATGGCAATGCAGAAGCCACGCGCCAGGGTTGTCGGTCTTAAATGCGATGACCAGATATCCGAGGGCAGGGAGCATGGCCGTGTCCCGACGGGGTGGGTTGTAGGTGTTCAGAGTCGTGTTCGACGTGTAACTTCCCTTGCCTTGGGCGAGGATGAAGAAGTCATGGCCCTTTTGAGGATCATGTTAGCAATTGCTGTAAAATGAATAGCTTTTAGGCCAGAAAAACATACGTGGAGATGAATAGGATGAGGAACATTGATTTCCATTTCAATGTCAACAATCACCCACTTGCCGTTCCCTTCAACTTCAACGACGTGCGATGTGTTAGTCCATGAAGTGTTGCCGTTAGCTATCTGGAGCAAAGTCGGGTTGTCCCATTCTGCCTTGAACGTGGTCGGGCCCATGTACCACTTGTACAAGCCTGCACTGTTCATAATGACGTTTGCCTCGTTATGGCTTTTGTAGCCGACACCAGACGCGTCGATAGCAACCACCGGCACCAAGCTACTCAACGGCTCGTCGTAGCAGCTGTCGGTATAGTTGTATGCCGTTGTTGTGGGAGTGGCTACAGCAGTGTCAGGCTGCTCATAATGGAAGATTCCTTTGATGTCGGTGTTTTCAATCTCGGCACAGGACTCCTGGGGGATAGCACGCATCCAGAAGTCAGACCCAGCGTGGGCTTGGTTTGCCGTGACGATCACATCGTACCGTTGTCCTTGGAGTATTGGTAAGTTTCCATTATGTTGCTATGGAACAAAACGACTTACCAACACCGATATTAAGCGAAGTTGTATTGTAAGGCTCGATGGGGACAAAGTCCGCAGCAATGACCGTCAACGTATGATCATCGATCATGAATCGGAATAAGTTGCTCATTCCACCATTGATAAGTCGAAGACGGTAAGACTGGCCAGCAGTCACATTCATGAGGAAGCGCGAACCAACCGTTTCGTTGTTCTCCTTAACCCAGATGTTCGTTCCATTTATCAGACCCGTGGTCATCTCTGGCTCGCCGTCCGTTTCAGCAGTGGAATACATCTGGTCGGCCGTGCGGTGCGACCAGTCCATGAGATAAAGCACGCCAGCGTCGACGTCGTAATTCGAGCTGGCAGGTCCGTTGATCACAATACCACCATAGACGCCCTCCCATGCTTGCAGAGCAAAGTGGGAGTGGTAGTATGTTGTGCCGTACTGCGTGGCGCGCCATTCGTACGTGACGGATCCTCCGGGGGGCGTGGGACATTGGGTAATGGAGTTTGTGCCGTCTTGAGGGTTGGTGTGGTTCTGGCGGACACCGTGCCAATGGATGCTGGTTCCATTGTTTTCAAGACCATTGTATACATGAACTCGGACCCAGTCACCCCAATCGGCGTATAGAGTAGGTCCTGGAGTCGTCCCGTTGACGGTTAGGACATTACGAGGGACGCCGTCGGGAGCGGCGGTGGTGTTTCCTAGCTCCAACCAATATTCGCGAACTACCCCAGTGTCCGGAGCTTCGTCATAGTAGTCGATGTGAATGTCGAAACCACACCACTGGTTTCGGGTTTGTGGTGTGTTTCCTGCGCATGCTTGCGTGGAACGAGCGGAAACCCCGGCATAGGCGCTGGCTGCGAGCCAGCCCGCAGTCAGGATAGTATGCAAAAGCATTGGATAAATTGAGTGAAAGAATACCAAAGAGGGGCGAATGAATGAAATTGAAAAGAACGAATGGAATGTAGACTCACAGATTACAACGTCCCAGGACAGCAGATAAATATAACTGATCGTCGTGTGTACCCCTATCTCGTTCTAGATGGGCAATGGAATATCTGGAACCTGCACCATTTCCTGTTCCCGAGGATAGTGCCGGTGATCGGCACGCACGCTACCAACGGCATGCACGCGCTATTTTTACCGACATACGTAGTCCTCACACACTCCAGTCTCTTTGGAAATGTCGTGAGGCAAGGGCGAAGTGGACCTGGAAGGGCTGATTTGACCAATATCCCTCAACTGCCTCATTAACTCCGAGGCGAACAATCTCTTGAAACCAAGGCACGATGACCCTGGATTCTAGCGTTGAGTATACTTAGTCCGAAACGACGTCTGCAGAGTTACGAAGTACCTCCCTTTAGTGGGCCTGATAAGGTTACGTAGACGGAAGATGCGGAGGGTACGGAGCAGCTTCGACGCACTCGGAGATAGTGCGGCTCGTTCAGGGAAACCCTGAGACTAAGCTCACCAACGTGAGTTAAGTGATTCAGTCAAAGTATCGGGTTGACGCCGAATCAGATTCAAGATCGATCATCTCGGTCCTGATAAGATCAAGCAGACCCGCTCCAGCGTCGATCACTTCCATTCATAAGATGGGTTGACCCCATAAGAGTGTGACTTTGCGAAAAAGTGGAAAGCCCCACTGGTCCCTGTCGGCGTTAACCTGCCATCGTAACTGCCATCCGATATACGGACTTCGCTAATGGCCCGAGGGTAATTTCGCTAAAGTTGGCCGATGATTTGTTCCTTGCAACGTATCCGAAGACAGGGTGACCTTGCGAGTCCCACTTCAGAGACACTACCACCTCGGCTTTACAGGTATGTGCGCTAAGATGTCCGGCTATGAGGATAGATTCTCACATCGGCAGTAGCTCACCATCAAGACTCTTAATAAATTCGATTCTGCGGGGACTGGAGTGGAGTCAAGCTAGTATACAAGGCCGTCGGGACTTCGCGACATCCGAAACGCATCATGACACGGGAAGTAGTGGATAGGATAATTACTTCTGGTAGAACTTTAATATATAGTCTAGTATTTAGATTGTATTGATGGTTGGCTAGCAGACCTACAGGAGTTGTACTTGACAACGTTCATTTTCTCCTCCCTCCTCAAGTTTTCCTTTTTCACTATTATTCTTCGACTTTTGTGATGAGATCTCACCAACTCTGGGTGACAACCCTTGCCCTGACAGGGGCGGTCCAAGCCACCACATTGCAAGATGTGTGCACGGTTTCCTTCGCTCGAAACTCATTGCCGGCCGACAGCGTATACGCTGGAGTTTCAATCGACAGGTCTTCGCTGACTGCAGTGGCAGCCTACAACGTGTCGAGCACAGACCAAGTCTATTGGCCGGACGCCACGTTCGACTACTGCAATGTGACCTTTGCCTATTCCCACTTGGGGCGGGATGACCGGGTGGTAGTTAGCTACTGGATGCCCGCTCCGTCGAAGTTTGCCAACCGTTACCTGTCGACTGGTGGTAGTGGCTATGACATCACATTGGGAAGCACTTCCTTACCCGGGGGTGTCATGTACGGTGCTGTGGCGGGCACAACCGACGGCGGATTTGGCGGATTTGAGAACGGCTCGGATGATGTGTGGCTTCTAGCCAATGGCACCCTCAACTACGAAACGGTCTACATGTTTGGTTACCAAGCTATTCATGAGCTGACTGTCATCGGGAAGGAGCTTACCAAGAGGTTCTTCAATACCTCCTCCATCTACTCTTATTACCAGGGTTGCTCCGAGGGTGGTCGTGATGGCTTCAGTCAGATCCAGCGGTTTGCAGAGGACTTCGACGGGGCAGTGACTGGTGCCCCTGGCTTCCGATTCACCTTCCAACAAATGCAGCACCTTTGGTCACCCGTTGTTGAGCAAACCTTGGACTACTATCCCCCTCCATGTGAGCTTGAGAAGATTGTGAACGAGACCATCAAAGCTTGTGATGCCCTTGACGGCAAGGAGGATGGTGTTGTTTCGCGAACGGACCTCTGCAAGCTTCACTTCGACGCTAACAGCACAATCGGCGAACCGTACAGTTGTGGAGCTTCCTCTTTGACGACCTACAAGAGAAGAAAGCGATCGGAGACATATGAGCTCCCGGCTCAGAATGGCACTGTTTCCGCCAAAGGTGTGGAAGTCGCAAAAGAAATTTTGCGGGGAATGCATGACACGAAGGGGACCAAGTCTACTTCTCCTACCAGCCAAGTGCGGCTTTCTCCGACGCGGAGACCCACTACGACTACGATACCGGCTCTTGGACCCTCGATATTACCGAATCGAATAGTGAATGGGTGGAGAAATACATTAATCTCCTCAACGCCACTGAAATGCCTACGCTTCAGAACGTTACTTATGACAATCTGAAGGAATGGGTCCGGATTGGTTGGCAGAAATACGACGACACTCTCCAGGCAACTTACCCCGATCTGTCCCCCTACTCCGAAGCGGGGGGTAAGGTGCTTCACTACCATGGTGAATCGGATTATACCGTTCCCACCGCATCATCTGTGCATTACTATGAGTCTGTTCGTCGTATTATGTACCCTGACATGTCAACAAATGCAAGCTACGCCGCTTTGGGTGATTGGTATCGCCTTTTCCTCGTTCCCGGCGCGGCACACTGTGGCCCGGATGATTCCCAGCCAAATGGACCTTGGCCACAGAAGACGCTGGAGACTATGATCAGGTGGGTTGAGGATGGAGTTTTCCCTGAAATGCTGAACGCAACGGTTCTGCAGGGGGAGCATGAGGGAGAAGAGCAGAAGCTCTGCGCATGGCCTCTTCGACCTCTGTGGACAAACAATGGCACCAGTATGGAGTGCGTGAATGATCCGGAGGGCTTGAAGACTTGGGTCTATGACTTGAATGCTTTCAAGATGCCGGTATACTAGAATGCTTAAGAGAAGTATAGGTCTGGGTGTCCTTTCTTCTCCTACATTCTGATCCTTCCTTTACCAAGTCATCTGCTTTAACCCCGCACGTTGACCAGCTAGTCACAACTCCAGCTTGACTGGGGACTGTACACATATTGTTCAAGTATTATTGAGGTTACTACTACGCCTCTTTTTGTATAGATACGTAGTGTTACTGTGTCCATAAACTTTCTCAACTTGCTCTGGCAAAATTTCTCTTCATGTCTGTATATCGAGTCACTTACATTCTTTCATTCCAATGCTGTCCTTTGTCTCGACCTGAACCCATCCAGTAATGTCAGTACCTAGTATGGCACCTAGAAACGGAATATCTTCAGATCATAGTGAGTAGTAGGATCAGAGTGCGAAGCTTCAGTGCACTCCAGCATTCCTTCGGTACGTTAGCTACGTGCATGCAGATATGACTATGGCACAATCTTTATCCGACCGAAATTCCCGAGCAGGAAACGACTCTAACTCTTACCATCCCGGAAGTATTCGGATTGTATGAGACTTATCTAGTCCAAAATACGAGAAAAGTTCGTTTGTGGCTCGGCAGATACACCCGCGGAAGCAGTAGCGAAGCAACACAAGCACTACTAGTGCCTAGTGTATTCCGAACAGGATCTTTGCAAAGGAATCTCCCCCGCAATATCCCCATGAGGATATTACATCCGATGATCGTGCCCAAAGAATCGGACAGAGTGGGGCGCTAGCACAGCGCATAAGCTTTAGCGTGCACCCTGCCCACGAGGGCACCATGCAGAGGTGAGCCCATTTCCGGGGCCCCGAGATCCCATGACTGATATACTTTTGTCAACTTACGGATCGGATGTGTTGTTTTTGGGTGCTTGGTCCGAGAGAGTGACGTACTATCTACTAGCTTGCTGGTTACGCGTTCGGGAAATTGTGGGGTGATGCGAAAAATTAATAGTATAAATAGGTGCTGTCGACACGATAGAAGTAGCAGTAGCTGAATGCAGTGACATTAGCATTGAAAGTTTATTCGGTACTCTAGGCCAAGACCAATTCCTTTCTAGCCCCCCAGCTACACGCGATCATAGCATCATGTTAGCAAACCCCAACAGGCTGTTCCTGTTAACAACAGCATTTGTTGGAAATGTCCTTTCTCTACCAGCCACAGTAGATTATGATGGTGAGCCCCTACCACACCTAAAACCCCTACCACACCACCATGCCCCAAAATAACCTAACCCAACCCAAACAGTTCTTCCCAGCTCCGGCTCCGTCCTCAATCTCGACGTCGCAGCCAGCAACATCACCTACACCGTGCAAGAGAATGACACCATCCACACCATAGCGGCCAAATACAATGTCGGCGCCTGCGATCTCGCCCGTCTAAATGTCCTCGCCGATCCTAACTTTCTCTACGCAAACGAGACCCTCCGGATTCCCGCCCGCGCTACCTTCCCCGACGACTACTCCTGCTTCAGCACGAACAACACCGACGCAACAGCCACATGCATCTACGGTGGACCCCACGTGTATACCATCTTACCCGGGGATACGATTCAGAAGATCGCCAACGAGCGGTACAATATCACAACAGATTCGATCCTCAGCTTTACTGCCCAGACGGGATACATTGCTGCTTTGAATCCTGGTATTTACGATGTGCTGGAGACCGGACAGACCGTGAAGATTCCGAGTTGTGATAATTCGGCATGTACGATGGCGGATTTTACGTTTACGTATGGCACGTTGCAGGATTTTGCCACGGCGTACAATGTTAGTGTGGGACAGATTATGTCCTTGAATTTGGGGTATAATCATACGGATTATATTGCGCCATTGGGGGTCGTGTATGATTGTACTTTGCTGGATTGAGTGGGGAGTGTGTATTTTTTATACCATTCGTGGCTAATATCTCCCTTGAATACCGAGGCCGACGGATACTCTTCTCTGTACGTATTGCCTACAAAATGCTGTATGCTGGGAGAAGCAAAGAAGTATTCCAATGAATCACTATCCGAATAGAATATCAATTGTGGTTGAGCGAGCCAAAAGGGAGGCCAGAAATACCTCAAAGCACACAGCCGGTTTGTCCGGGACAAGCATAGGAAAGAAACATATTGACTTACACCTCACTCTGGTCAAATACCTCGGGGGGGAATACACTCGAATTGACTGACATCTTCAGTTCTGGAAGCATGCTCCATCTTTATCACTTCAAGGAAACTAACCGCCTCTCTAGCATTCCAATGACAACGAAGAGGGTTGTAGAGGGTTGCATACGCATGTGGTATTACGTTCCCAAGCATGGGTCGGTTGTGGAAATAAACTCCATCACCGTGCAGAACCATTCCTCAATGATTTATTGTTCCTGTGACTCATTAAGGCATCTGCATCCACAAATTGTGCAGCCGGTGTTCTTTATAAGCTAACATCCTCGGAGACTGTCGGCCTTCCGAAGAAACAAAAACGAGGAACACTCCAAATCCGCCGTTCCGCGAAACCAAAATGATGTCCGTAGATAGTATACCTCTGACCGCAGAGGACTTATATCTTATTTCGATGGAGAAGCCATCCCGTCCTGTGAAAGTGTTTTGAAACTGTTCAACCCAGTATATGGTTAGCGGGTTAGCTGGGCTCGTAGATCCCGAGGTGTAGAGAATGTTGTTGGTAGACATGATGGTCGGAAAGTCAGCATGCAGCTAGACACGGTCCGAAGAGCAACACTGGATAAGAAGAGAAGTAACGCATGCGTTCAGATCTGGCATTTATTATGTAGGTCCAAGCAGAATTCCATGTGATTAAATCTTGTCACTGGAGCTTGCCGTTCTTTTACGACTGTTTTCGAATAAATAGTAAGCTAGAGAATATTATATATACTAATTGACTTACTTTATTATTAGATATTTCTGATAGTTAGATATTCAAAGAATCTATAACCTTTGATACATACTATTATACATATTTACTTCCAGGTTATACTTTGATCATAGCATTGATTATAGTATATTACTTGTTTTCTGTAATAGTGGTGGATGTGTATAACTCTGGTTGCTCTGGGTCTACTGCATCAAGTCTGCTCCATACTGGTTCATGATCAATATTCTGTACTCTATACGACACCTAGAGCCATTGCAGGAGATGCCTCTTACTCCCGTGAATCAGCCTGTATATTGCCATGGCCACATTGCTGATGGCTTGGAGTATATAAACAAGTTTGAGGAACAGGAGGACGAAGTTTTGTTAGGTTGCTGTGAATACTACCTTACCTGTAAAGGTTTACATCGCATGGTATGGTATCCGCTATACTATACCATACTATTCACCTTAATATCAATATAACGGAGGTATACGGAGTAGTGCTTCATCTGGCAGTAACATCCGCAGCACAGGCTCCAGGGTTCCGTAGATTAGCCACATTGTAAGGAGTAATGCGTCAGCGGAACTTCACGCTTCATGACACTGAGTAATTTCTGTATTGATATAGAGTATATTATATAAGTATCTATAAACGAGTATAACTAGTAGTTTAGTAGAGATAACTCATGGCTAGCGATACACGGAAAACAGCGCAGGCTCTGAGATAATAGGAAATACAAATATAGGGCAACGGAAACCGTGGTCCACGTGCTAATCAATTACCTGCGGTTTAGTGGGCTATGCCAAGCCCTCCGACAGAAGATTGGAAGGGTATTCAACAAAATACCAGATATGCTGGGAGGAGTAGGATAAGGTAGGGAGAGTAGGTTTCAAGATAGTCCGCAAGATAGTAGTGTTCTCGGGGTGGTCCTGGACTTTGCGGAGGCATCGCAGAGATTCCGAAGCCGCGCACCACGAGGGCGGTAAAACACAACCCCAGGCACTGGCCACCACAGGCCTTGACAAGGCTCCAAGTTCGTCAGGAAAGTAATAGTCTACGATGAATGGATGTACATAGAGCGTGGAGATAGTAGTACCCTGCATGTCGCTCAGGCGAGGGGTCAGCGTATGAATCAACAACAACAACAACGACTGTAATCGTATCTGGCTATGGCTTAGACGCAAGTATGAGGCGAACCCTTTCACATGGTCCCAATGCTAACTGTACGCCACCTGTAGACGGGTGCATCGAACTGCTTCAGTTGAGGATCAAGGTGACCTGGACGACGCCAAGATCGGCTACTTTGTCACAGTCGGTGTGGGCTCCCCCCATAGGCGGGCCGCAGTGGAAGATTCCAGCTTGATGCGTGACGATACCCAAAAAGCCTCAGTCGAGAATTTAAGATGTGAGCGTTGCCATGGCCGTCGTTCTACGAGTTTCACTGCAGACACCGGGAAGCCTCTGTGCAATACCCAGCCCATGGCATATGTTCACGGCGGCGCACTGGCTGTGCGGGCGCACGAAAGGCCCTCCAACAAGATCCCTGGCTTCAATCGACTGTGGATTTACCGGCAGGTGGACGGGTGAAAGAGCCAGGAATCAGCCCAAACAATACGCAATTACAACCAAAGTCTCCTGCTCCGGTATATGAACTCTCTGGAATGCCGACAAGTTTGTTAGACAGGAAATGAGAACGTTGGCTCCTCGATATCGTAACCTTTAAATGTGCTGTAGAATCAATGGGCTTCCTTGCTACTTACATACATTATGATCGGGTGATTCCTTTCGTTCCCCAAAGTCTGCCTACAGCCTACTGTAATCAATGCAGTTCATTGACTAAATAAGCCCTTAGGCCAGGCAAGGTGTGAACACACCACTTCGGTATATTTTCGGGTTGGCAGAGTGGGTTAACCAAGTTAGGATACGCACAAACCCCCTTGCTTGGTGTGGAATCCCACGCCTGGGATCCCTAAGTAGGGGTTGTTTTCATCCACCTGGCCAGGCAGCATGCCATTTAAATACTGCAGCAAGAGGAAACATTACGACCAATCGTACACAAATCTCAGTCTCTCTCTGCAGAGATGATCCCACCTGTGCAGGTGAGCTCCAAGCGCTTTTTTTTTATCTTCCCCCCATAAGCGGCAATAACTAAAATAAAAAGAATCATGATGTTGGAAAGATTATGTCACCGCGTGGTGCACTAGTTCTTGTCACTTCAGGCGCCCAATTCATGGATAACGTGTTTAATGCGGCCGTGAGTATTGCTTTACCAACCAACCAACAGGAATTCAATGTCACTTCGAGCAATCTTCAGTGGGTCATATCTGCATACACGCTGACATTCGGTGGCTTTCTCTTGTTGTCTGGGGTCCTGTCCGACCGGTATGGCCGGCGATGAGTCTTGTGTACCGGCCTCCTCTGGCTGTCCATATGGACGATTGCGGTCGGGGTTGGGGAGACTTTCAACCAACTGGCGATCTTTCGTGCGTTTCAAGGAATCGGAGCTGCCATGACTGTCCCGTCGTCACTTGGGATCATCGGTTCTTATTACGTCGGTAAGGACCAGTCGCGAGCTTTGTCAGTCTTTGCGTCCTGTGGCGCGCTGGGCTTTTGCGGAGGCCTCATCTTTGGTGGGTTCGTCTCCGCGTCTCTAGGGTGGAGATATGTCTTCCGACTCAGCGTCATTATCACGGGGTGTCTGGGGGTCCTAGGATTCTTCGTTCTCCCGAAGGATCGAAAAGAGGGCGGTGCACGCCCACGATTAGACTACATGGGAGCAGCCCTGTCTACCGCTGGACTTGTATTGCTCTCGTTTGTACTTTCCAGTGGGGGTGTGCAGGGGTGGAATAGAGGTTTCATTATTGGCTTATTGGTCACTTCTGTTGTTCTTCTCATTGGCTTCGTTTTCGTGGAGAAGAAGGTGAGCAATCCGATCATGCCGTTGTCTTTGTGGAAGCTGCCACATTTTCCTCTGTTATGGCTTTCAGCTTTTGGTACGTATGGAATTGCCCGCTCCAAAGAGCGAAATGAATAATCTGCTGTATGTTGATTGCTCACCATGTTCTGTTCCAGCTGTTTATGGCAGTTACCAAACTACCCTGTACTACGCAGTCCTCGCTGCGCAGCGGGTCAGCCATCTCTCTGCAAAGCAAACTGCGGTCTGCTTTCCCCCTATGGGAGGCTGCGGCCTCATTCTCACTATGCTCTTGGGATATCTGATCGATATAGTCAGTCCCAGAATGCTGCTATTTTTTGGAATGTCGATGGCTGTAGTGGCTCCTATACCGACAAGTGTGGGCATGCATGAGAATATGTCCTTGTATGCTTTTATCCCCCGCGAAAGATTATACATAGAACTGACTTTTAAGTAGTTGGACAGGCCTTTTGCCAACTTCAATCCTTGGAATTGCTGGCATTTCCCTTTCATGGGTAACAGTATCTACAGTCATGCTTTCACTGGTCCCTGTGAATGTAAAAAGCTTTTGCGGTGGCATGGTACGTATCGCCGTTCTAGCTGTATAATCTGTCAAGACGAAGGGTCAAGGATATATGGATTTGATCTATCTAGATCTCAAGAAGATGGTTGGTGGTTGGAAGAGGTGGTCGGAGACCACGCAGGAAGAAAAGGCGAAGGATCAGCTGACAGCTGCCTGGCTGCAGTGAATGTCTCAACATAATCTGCTCAAGCCGACCAAGTGCTCTTTTCCTAGATCAATACCGCGTTTCAATTTGGAGCTGCGGTCGCTCTCGCTATAGCGGCAGCCGTAACACAAGAACTGGACATTAAGCATGGCCATGGAGTTGTGCAAGAGTATCGGACGGGTCTCTGGTGTTCAGCGGTCACTGCTGGAGTTGGGCTATTGTTTTCGGTTCTTAGCCTTCTGGGACCTGTGATGAAGTGGCTCCGGCAGCTCAATTAGATTTTGATCCTATGAGTGTCTGGGTTGTAGGAGATTGTTAACCTAATTCAGAAGGTATATATTCAATAGCAGCGTTAGATTCAAATGTCTTGTACGGTTGACTCATATCATATCTACCAAGTCTAAGCCATATACATACCCCAAAGGCCTAAACTAATCATACGAAACCTGCGCCAACAACCGATCCGCCGTCTCTCTAAACGCCCCCATCGCCGCCCGCCACAACTCCGGCCCCAGACTGATTCTCGCAACTCCGATCTTCTTCAACTCCGACACCGTCAAGTATCCATCCCCAAGGATCAGCTTCACATTAACCCTCCCGCCCAACGCCTTCGCCAGCTCCCTGACTTCATCCCCAGAGACTCCCCGACCGCCCGGTCCCCACACAAACACCGTGCAAGCACCCGCATCCAGAAACGCCTTTCCCCGCTCGATCGCGTCCTCGATAGATCCCGTCCCCGCTGGGCCCAGGACGTCAGTGCGCGCATTGATCACAAAATCTGGCACGCCAGCCTCGCGGGCAGCCTGGACCGCGGTGCGGATGCGGTTCACGGCCTCGGGGAGCGAGCGCAGCTTGCCCGCTGCGTTGTCGAAATCTTCCAGGTTGCAGCCGACGGCGCCGAGAGCGATGACGTCCCGAATAGTCTGGGCGACGTCCTCGTAGCCATCTTGCATGTCGACGGTCAGGGGCAGCTGTGGGGACGTAGTAGCGGCCACGACGGCGGCGATGGTGCGCGCGGCGGCGAGGTTCTGCGGCAGAGTGAGCGACTCGTCGGCGATGCCTTGCGAGGCGGCCACGGCGTAGCTGGCCGTCGCGATGGCCTTGGTGGTGGCATGGCCCGCGATGTAGGAGGCTGTGGCGCCGTCGTAGACGTTGCTGAGCACGATCGGGTTGCCGGGTTGGTGGAGGCTGCGGAAGTAGATGGCACGGTCGTTTTGGGAAGACATGATGATGGTTGAGAGAATGGATAGAGGTACTTTGATTAGAGGGGGAATTAGTTAAGAGGTCGGCTTTATAGAGAGGTATAGAGAGAGGTGAGTCATTGTAATGTGTAGATGCGGAGATACGAGAACATTGCTCTGGAATTGTCCACTCGCGAGGCTGCATGCAACTCCACTCAGATGGTGAGACATTGCCATCTTGATCTTTTTTTTTTTTTTTATTTATGAGGCACCCCGCCCCTGTAAGGATAGAAGAAGCAACCAATCAATCAATCAATTTATTCTCACTTCAACAGGTTATGAGCCCGGGTTTGCTTAGCTTAGTTTGGAGAATATTCCCTACTCCTAAGTTTCCCCATCGAGTGATAACGTAAACCACAATCGCGCGGCCCATACAATCGCGCGGCCCATCTTGTAATGCCATACAAAATCTATTATTTTTTAGAATTATTATATCTCAACAAATACACTTTTTATGAGACTATAAGGCTATATAGAGCCTAATAACTAGAAGATAAGTATAGTAGACTTATTCAAAAAATTTTAAAAAATTTTTTATATTAAATATATTGACTATCTTAAAATACGAGTAAAATACATGTATTTTATATTACCAGCTATTATATGTAGTTATAAAAATCTGTAAAAAATATTAAAAAAGAATTTATGGTCACTATAGTCTACATACTCAATATAAAGTTTTATACTCCTTAAATGGTTGAGATATTTCAATTATCAAAAGTGGTTTTTATATAGCATTATTAGCTGGGCCGCGCGATTGTGGTTTACATTAACATCATCTGTTGACTAAACTGGGATGGCTCAGTTGATTCTGTATTGAAGAGGACAAACTCCTAATGATCAAGAGGGGGGAAAGTTGTGTGGAATAGTCTCATGAATCTGACAAAATCATCACACCGCTACAGATATTTGCCAGACCAATCATATTCCACAACCAGTCCTCGCAAGAGACAACACATTATCATACCGCTAAAGATGATCGTCGGACCAATCAAAGCGTACAACACCTCATAGGTAATGACATCTCACCACACCGCTACAGATATATCATATTGGCAGAGAGACATGAAACAACCAGCTCCGTTTAGTATGCTGAGATATTCCTTTCCTCTTTTATACCCTGATCTTCTTGAAAAGGGAAAGTCTGCCAAGCTATCTAATAACAAGAAGACATAGATCTTACAAGGCACACAGTTGGACTGATAAAGAGCTTAATTTGGTATACTATCTTCAAAGTATCTGTCATTGGTACTTTACACAAATCTAAAGGGTTAAATTTCCATTACTTTCACGACATGCAGTTGGAGGAGCATACAGAAAACTACCCCTGGAAGAGTGTATACACCGGGCACTTGCTGCTGCGTCTGCTATTGCCAGGTCCCGGTATACTACTAGACAAAAGTCTCCTCATCAAACTCAAGCTGCATTCTCCAATCCAGAATAGGGACCAAGTCCCCTCCACTCAACAAATCCTGAGATCGGACATGCACCACTGACCTCAAGTAATAACAACTCAACCTGGTACAGTCTCCGGCTAAACAGACCCACAATCTTCCTAGAGCGGAAGCCATGATATATAGTTGATTATGTCTACTTCCCTCACTTCTTTGAGTTGTATGGCTGTTATCTCAAGGTGTCTGAATTACCAGATAGTGAATATGTCCCTCTATCATATATACTTACGCCAAGCTCGTCGGACCGCAGCCCATCTGTTATCTCAAGTCTTCCCAGCGCTGTATTAAATTTAGAATTCTTTGGGTTAGAAGCGCGCCTACTCAACTCATCAGACCGTGATTTCCTGGTCACTTCTGACTTAACTAACAACGGATCTAACTCAGAGTTCTTCAGTCCAGAGGAGCATCTGTCTATACCATGACTGACACTGCAAAATTTGAGCAGTTTAGACTAAGTGTATTCTACAACAATATTCCAATCCTTGACAATGCTGGTAACTGGTTCAAATGGAACCAGAAGATCAACCAGTTTATTTGAATTTCTCCTGTTGCCGACGATGGAGCGGTGCCTCCAATAGAGGAGGATGAGATATAATAGTAGACTTATTACCAAAAGTTTTACTTGGTAATGATTACGGCGAAATTGACACACAATGCTGTACAGAGAATCAATGTCTTTAAGATCTCACAAGTCCAGTTGCTCATCCAGGCTGTAAAAGATTATTTTAAACTGGAAGGCACTGGCACATACATGAATCTCCAGCGGTGGTACATGTCTCTTATGAGAGAAAAGTATAGAACGCCCAAGCATTGGGCGCTAAGATCTGGAAGATTCATGCTGAAAAGCTCCTTCTTAACCCTGACTGTGTTATTTCTAAGATTAAGTGGACATTCTTCTTTATATATGCACTTGGTCCTGAGTATGAGAGCTTCCGCGACCATATTTTTAGATAAATGGACCTTGTTAATGAAAGGGATACTAATGGTACTAATATGAAAGCGGCGCCCACGTTCGACTATATTGAGAACAAGGCCGTTGAGGAAGAACATCGGAAGGGACAGTTGGGTAAATAAACTATTAATAGGCAAATACTTCCTGCCCTCGCTCTTATCCGCGGGCCCGGTGATAAGAAACTTATACTGTCACTGGATAGGACAATATATTGAATTGAGATTGATAATGTCCTATACTGCTCCTTCTGTCGGAAATCATATCACGTGGACTCTGAATGGTACTCGGGCTTTGGCTACTATGATGGCTGTACCTATGTGGGAAGGTCTCTACCTCTTGCAGTTCTGACTGCAAGCGAGAATATTGTTGAGATGTTGCTTGCCAAAAATGATGTCGACGTCAACGCCCAGGCCCACATTAGGTTTCATCCCAAAACATATCATCCTAGAGAAGAGTACGGACACTATTGGAAGACTACACCTTTGCTTGTAGCAGCAGCCGAAGAGTACGAGAATATCGTCATGCTCCTGCTTCTTTCTCGGAGGGCCATGGTTGACGCCAAAGACGAGAATGGCCGGACGCCGCTGATGTGGGCCACCTATAGGTGCAACACAACCATATTCAAGATACTCATTGAGTATGGCGCTGATATTAATGCAAAGGATAATGCTGGTTGCACACCCCTTTTTGATGCAATCGGGAAGGGGAGCATAGAGATGGTGAAGCTACTACTGGAGAACAGAGCTGACATTTACGTGAAGAATAACTCCGGGTGCACACCAGTCGTCTATGCTACCAGGTTGTGGAACTGGGCTATAGTCGGGCTGCTACTCGATCATGCGGCAAATGAGGACCTGATGAACAATTACGGTTGCACTCCAATCTCATGTACTCTCAGAGAGGATGATGAGGACATGGTCGATCTGGTGCTTCAGTAGAGTCATTCTGTCAATACGGAGATACGAGATTGATAATAGATCACGTGGATACCTTTAAAACAGGTATGGTTAGCTGCTTTGAAGGGAGAGGGAACACAAAATATATTGTGTAGGGTCTGAAAGGAGCAATGGTCGTTTTACGCTGTTTCACAAGCTCTGACCTCGAACCCTGAAATCTAGTACTACTGCATGCTTCAATCGATCCGGCCAAACCATTATGGGAAAATCGCCCGTCTTACCCCGCAGATTGGTTGCTGGTAACAAGTGGAAACGACAACCAGCTACTCTCCGTCCCTCGGCGTCCGCGAATGACTCCTCGATTAAGTGCGCCGCGAGAGAGTTATGCATTGATACGACTGGAGCAATCCGCTGCAGGTCCTCGCTATTAGCCACAAATATGCGGTCGCTTCGGACAGGAGTTCATCGATGGCTTGGCACAGCTCCTCTGGGGTGAGAGTATCGCAGTCTAAATGGAATTGGGACATCCGCATCCCGAAGCTTCTCGTGTTAGAAACTCGTCAAAGTGCAAGCCGATCATGACGGTTCTCGCAAGAGACGGCCTCATTGATACTATAGGCCCCGCGTGGACGAGGAAGACGGAGATGTTCGGGTGCGCGAGGAGGGCGCGATGGGGAGCAAAGGGACAGAGATAGATTTTAAAACTCGCACTCGAGACAAGGCCAGAGATAGGGCTTTCCTGAGCCGGTGCTGTTATGGCCAGGTTGAAATACCCCAGGGCCATCCTCCGGATTGGCCAAATCACGCCGTCAATGGTCTGGACACCGAAGCCGATGGGAGACGTTACCCATAGCCGATCCTTGGTGCCATAGCCGATGGAGATGTAAATCTACTATAGTCTGGGGCTCAATATCGACCTTCACGGTAGAATATTTGGTACTACAGCTCATCAATATACGGTTAATATCCTGTCGGTAAAGGATGTGCATCTATCAATAACGGATCTGAGCATGACTTTACCGCGTGGTATCGGCAATGGACGGTTTCCTGCATCGTCTGGTTACCCGGCCTTGCTTGCGGGTATAATAAGGAGACCAATTCCTTAATCAAATACGCCCATCAGCAAACCTACAAGTGTCACAATAGCTCCACTGCATTGCTATTTTCTTATAAAATTCCATTGCTTCATTTGTCTTACCATGTCTACCACTTCTATTACTGTGACTCAAGCTGTACTTCGCTCCAACCCGAACCTTAAGGTCATCAAGAACGGGTTTGGGGCCGAGATTACTGGCCTGGATTTCACCCACGGTGTCACCGACGAAGCATTTCGCTTTATAGAGGATGCGGTAAAGAAGGTACGACATTGAACTGGTAACAATAATTATAGAGCTATTCACTGAAAGTATTAAAGTATGGCTTTGCCGTTGTTCGTAAGACAAATCTCGTCGACGAGACCCACCTCGAGCTGGCTCGCAAGTTTGGTGAACTTGACGATGTGACACCCTACAATAAGGCGGGTCGTGTGCATCGCCTCAAATACAACGAGCTTTTTGACGTAGGTAACAGCGAAATTGACGGCTCCATTGTGGATCTCAACAGCCCGCGAGGCGAGGCGAATAAGGTATATTACCCTCCTATCTAGTACCCGTTCAGAGACAGAGAAACGAGGAATAGAACTGACTGTCTCCAGGGGAATTCTCTCTTTCACACAGACTCTAGCTTCAACCCTCGTCGAGCCGGTTACTCTCTTCTTCTTGCCCACGAGCTGCCGCCACCCGGGACTGGGGGCTCCACTGCATTTGCCGACATGAGGGGTGCCTACCGTGATCTTGACGATGACTTTAAGAGATTTCTGCACGACAGGAACTTTGTCGCCCGCCACTCCATACTACATTCCAAGAAAATGGCTGCTCCGGAGCACTTCAAGGATGTTAACCCTACAGACCACTTTATGTCCCGCCATTTACTACTCCAGAAACACGAGCGCACCGGCATCCCCACCATATACCTTGCCAAACATATTCACTCACTAGAAGGTGTCTCCCCTGAAGAATCTCAAGGGATTCTTGATAGGCTTTTTGAGCACTCGAGTCAAGACAAGTATGTCATTGAAGTGGAGTGGATCAATGTTGGCGATATGATTGTCTGGGACAACACATGTACCATGCACCGTGCCATCAGTGGCGAGTTCACGACCAAGTACAGGAGGGACATGAGACGTGCTACTGTGCACGATGACAGCAGCTTAGCATGGGGTCTGAATCCCAAGAGCGATCAGCGTATGGGCCTCCCTTAAGCGGCTACTTACTTTGTACTTAATTTGGCTCACGCTTGCTGTTGCTACAACGAAATTATAGTGTAGCCAATAATAATCATATCTAGTCTTCTAGAGATTACTGTTCACGTTAATTCACAGTGCGCAATCAGCGTTATGTTGCCATAAGCAGTTGCTTTATTGTTATCGCCACGATCCCGTGAAGACACCGACATCGGCAATGGATATCGGCTATAGCCGAAATTCTCCACATAAACCCCGCAATATCCATGAAAAGGCCTCGATTTTAAGGATTCTTCGGAATCACAATCTATTACTGACGCATAAATCAATCTCGATAATCATGACTGCCAGTACAGGTAAGAGGTCATCTCGCGCATGCCTGCGATGCCGTAAGCGCAAGACCAGATGCGATCTGTAAGGATCTTCTATACACAACTCCACGACGCGTTCATCTTCACTTGTAGCCGCTAATACGGCTATAGTGACAGCTTTGGGGAACCAAGCAAGCCGCCCTGTGCCTATTGTCATGATACTAAGAGCCAATGCATTCTCATCAAGTCCCGGCGAGGGGGTAATTCTCGACAACATCCATCCAAGTCAAGCACTCCGCGACGCAAGAAAACTTCGCTGCCAACAAATACTGGAGACCTAAATGGACCTGGAGTAGAACCGGCTAGTACCATGTCGGATGTGACTGAATGTTCCTCAGATGACGAAGGCAGCGTTGGTAGACAGAATCCTCGAGACCTCCTAGCTATGGAGCTCCGAAATCCATCCGATGCGCTGCAGATACTAGCTTTGTCTGGTCAGTGCCAGTCGGAAAATCAGGCCCAAGCGCAGCCCACTAACATAACAAATTCCAATGAACAACTGTACACTGAAGTGCAAAGCGCAAGTGCGTCCTTGATAAACGGGTCCGGTGGGTTACGAGGCCACCAGACGTGTCTAACAACTATTTTCGATGATTACGAGTTGGTCAAGAGAGGTCTATTGCGCCCGAGCCTGGTATTTGAGCTACTACATGAGTTAGCCACACTTCATGAATCCCCATCTGCGTCTGCTGACAGAGATCAGATATCTCTGCCATTATCATCCATACTGTCCAATCGTCCCTTCCCATTTGCTAGTCTCATCAGAGATGAGCACCATCCAAAGATCAGAATACTTTCTACTCACGGCTATTCTCACCATTGCGTCGAGAGACGACCCCCACCTTTCACTTACCCATCGCTACTGCTGGGATCACACTCAACGCCTCCTGGTGGATGTACTTCTGGCGCACCCTTGGACCCAAACCCCAGCAACTGTCCAGGGGCTGTTGCTATTAGCGGAGTGGCTTCCCCATATCCAAGTTCATGAAACATCATCTGAATTGCCAAAGAATTTATTCAGCGAAGATAGAACAGCTTGGTCGCTTGTTGGGCTCGCAGTGCGGCAGGGCTATCTCCAGCGCCTCGACCAAGCCGCCTTTCGTAGTTTCAATCACAGTGGGTCAAAGCAACGAACAGAGCAAGACAGAATTGTCTGGGCATGTAAGTCTTTATAGTTTGCAACTTTGGTTTTCTCAATGTGCCTTCTGACACCACTCCCAGATATATTCATTGCCGATCGCCAGATTTCAGTCCGACTTGGGCAGTCATTCTGGTCCCGAGGCCCGTCTCTTGCCGCGAAATTCACGGCCGACGATTTCCCGAGTCTACAGCCACGTCCGGAGAATGACAATGAGGATTATGCATCTTGGTTGCAAGCCTCTATGGAATTGATACAAATCTTGCATAATGCTCATGCAATTCTTTACTCGTCCAAGGACCGAACATTAGCAATGGTTTACGAAGGTGATTACGCGCGGTATCTCGACGACTTTCGAACTTCTGCAACTACGTGGCGTTCGGCATGGGGCAATCTAGCTGTGTCTCCGAAGATAAAGACCACCCTTCTTATCATGTACGAATATATTTGCCTTTATACGAATGCCTTTTCCTTCCAGGCAGTTCTGACGAGGGCTTCCCGTCCACACCGATCGTCGACCAAAAGACAGCAGAGGGAGCGCCCATTTGCCGACATATTATCCAAGGGCATCATGGCATCCCCGGATGGTCGGTACATATTTGATGCTATTAGTGCAGCGATGAGTTTGCTGAAGTTGATGAACAATCTCGACCCCCAGCATGTTTTATGCTACCTACCGTCTCGTTACTATTTGTAAGGATGCTTTTTGTTTAGCCTTCAAATGTGAATGAAACTCACACACATTGGCAGGTACGGAGTCTATGCAGCAGTCCTGCTTCACAAAGCAGACCGAGCAGGGGCGCTCCAATCTGAAGAGCAGCACAAAAAGGTTACTACCTCAGCCCGCAAATTTGTAGCTGTTCTAGATAAAGCAGCGTCGACTGAATCCCACATCTGCCACACCTACAGCCGGATGCTAAAACAGCTTTGGGGCAGGCGGCAGAGAAAGAAAGATAAACATTCTCGCGGCCAAAGTAACACAGAAATGAGCTTTGGTGACCATGACAATCTCTCAACACCCCCACAATCGTTCTTACTGGCTCAAGAGCCCGATAATCAGACATATACGGATGGCGCCTTGGGCGACGCCGGCAGTCTACGACAGGTAAGCCCGCTACCAATAGAAAATAACTCGTCAATGTTTCCTTCCATTGAAGGATACTTCCTCGGTTCATTTATGCCTGGGATAGCTGACTTTAGCACTCCCAATTTCGACGAATACTTAGCCCAGGAATACCCTTCTATGAATGGTGCAGGTGGTCTCCAAAGCTGGGATTTAGTGGATCCTAATGTGGATTCTCACAACCTTGATTTGTAGTAATGCCGTGGCAGCAGTACTTTATTCGTGGTTCAGTGATACTGGACAATATTATTTCAGAATTTTGAACTTTCTAGTACTAGCTCATTCGGGCATCCTGTTCGATCCAAGGCACTCCATGTAGTTGGAAGATTGCGTATGAGTTCGAAAGAAAAGAAGGACAAATGTTAAATACTTAAGAGCCGAACAGTGATAGGATACTTCGGCTAAGGCCCCGCAAAGCTTCGATCGCGCGATAACTGCTAGTCCAGCCAAACACGAATAGCATCGGAAAACCGCAGGAATCCCGGTTTCTTTCACGGCTAGCCCTAAGCGGCCCATAGCGCCATGTGGCCTGACAAGCTCTTAGACCCCCCGTTTTCAAACTCTACTACTAGTACTGGAATACTGGGCTGCATGTCTTAGCAGGAGGTCAGGAGGCCAGTCCTACACAGGGATACCCCACTCAAGATTTTTCATCAATTTTTGCCCATTTATCATTCAGTGCAATAAAAATGGAATACGTCGTTGATCATGGTGAACAGTTGTGTATGATACTATAATCTATAATAAATGCTTCTATCTTGCAAAAAAGACCTATTTACTGATTAAAGTCGGCTTACAGTGTAAATGACCTTATCACTGCAAAAGAATGGGAGCGGGGAATCCTGGCGGGCTGTGAGTTAGCGTTGGTTGCATCCCGCTGTCCCATCCAGAGCGGGGTTGGACTCTTCGGCTATATTGGTGTCACTACAGTTTGTTACCACACCGACTAGTAATATTATGCTCCCGAATTAGCTCTTTGTAGCCAGGTTGATAAGAACCGCTATCAGCATTTATCAATCCGTCGATATCCGCTTCACACTTCCTGTGCATTTTCCCAACCGCCGGTGCGGTACCTCGCATACCATGCTTGACTTGCATTTGCAGAAGTCTCTCTGAAGAACGCCACTAGCCTGAAGTGATAAGCACACAAGCGAATGGGAGGCGTGTATTGAAGGATGTAACACAGGAACTTAGTCACGCGTCTCATTGGTGGGATGCCTTGCGTTTGAATCGATTGGCGCCGCCCTAATGCAAGCGAAATGCAAGCGATAGCATCAGGTGCGTATGTGTTATCTTGCACCAATATGGTGTGCTAAAGCAAATCGCGTTCAATACCTTCGTGCGTCCAAAAGAGAAACAGGAGAGTAAATGTATGTATATAAAAGTGCCCCCAAGGGAGTCCGATTTATTGATCTAATATTTCATCACGGTCTTTGGTACTCACTCATGCCTTATTAGAGTGGCCCACCGGGGGTTACAGGCAAGATGGCTGACTACAGAGATCCCATCTCCTTGAGCAGCCACTCTGATAAAGAGAAGGCTGACGTGAAAGCTACCAAGATCGATGAGTCTGATCTCGAGTCTCTCCTGGATCAATTGCGGCAGATTGTGGCCGAGAATGAACTCGACGTTAACTTCCCGGTTCAAATCATCGCTCAGGCGCGCGAGATCCTCGATGCCGACACCAAGCATATTGATCTCTCTCAGCTGCAGGAGGTCATCTCAGATATTGAGAAGCACCGGGATCTCATCGAGAATGACTCTCCCTATCCGGAGGTGCGCGCTGTGGTTGACCCAACCGATGACCCTGATATCTCGGCCAACACTTTTCGAGCCTGGTTCCTGGGCATGATAGCTACCATCGTCTTCACGGGTGTCAATCAGTTCTTCACTTTGCGCTATCCGACCATTATCATTTATTCCATTGTCGCTCAATTGCTGTCCTACCCCTGCGGTGTCTTCATGGCTAGGACTTTGCCTACGCGCCAGTGGAACCTGTTTGGCTGGAAGTTCACTCTGAACCCTGGCCCATTCAACCAGAAGGAGCACATGCTCATCACTGTCATGTCCAACGTCTCCTTCGGCGGTACCAACGGCACAGCATACGTGACCTACATCTTCCAGGTGCTGAAAGCCAAGTCCTTCTATAACCTGACATCTCTGTACGATCAAGCCGGCTTCCAAATCCTTATTACTCTCTCCACACAACTATTGGGCTACGGCTGTGCCGGCGTGGTACGTCGATTCCTAGTATACCCGCCATCGATGATCTACCCTAAGTGCCTCTCAACCATTGCTCTGAACAAGGCACTGCACAGCGATGAAGGCCGTGAGCGGGTCCACGGTTGGAAAATCAGCCGATACCGCTTCTTCATGTACTGCTTCATAGGCATGTTCATCTACTACTGGTTCCCGGGGTACATCTTTCAGGCCCTCTCCTACTTCAACTGGATGAACTGGATCGCCCCGGATAACGTCAAGTTAGCCCTCATCTGTGGCACTATCACCGGGCTTGGCCTCAACCCTTTACCTACCTTTGATTGGAACATCGTCTACGCACTCTATGACCCGATTATCTACCCCTTCTACGCATTGGCCAACATCGGCATCGGTACCATCCTGGGAGCCTTCTGCGTCATCGCCCCCATATACTTCAGCAATGTGTGGAAGACCGCTTACTTCCCCATCATCAGCAACGACGTCTTCGATGACACCGGCAACACCTACAATGTCACCCGCGTGCTGAACAGCAAGGGCGAATTCGACCTAGAGGGTTATGAAGGCTACAGCCAACCCTACCTGACGGCCGGGTACTCCGTGATGTTCTTCTTTTTCTTCGCCATGTACCTGGCCACGATCGTGCACGTCGCGCTCTACAACCGGCGCGAGATCATGAAGGGCTTCCGAGCCCTATGGAAGTGGGCCAGCGCGCGCGAAGAGCACGAGGACGTGCACAATCGCTTGATGAAGCGATACAAGGAGGTTCCCGAATGGTGGTACCTTGCTGTGCTGGCCGTGTCCTTTGTATTTGGTTGCATCGGCGTGGCCAAATACGACACTGGCATGCCCATCTGGGGTATCGTCTTCGCCATCATCCTCTGTCTCGTCCTGCAAATCCCATACGGTATGGTCTACGCCATCACCAATTCCGAAGTCACCAACAACGTTATCGCCGAGTTTATTGGCGGATACGCCATCCCCGGCAAGCCCGTCGCCAACCTTCTATTCAAGTCATTCGGATACATCGCCTGTGCCCAGTCCATCCAGTTCGTAGCTGATCTGAAACTGGGCCACTATATGAAGATTCCCCCGAGAGTGATGTTCGCAGCCCAGCTGGTGGCTACCATCGTTGGGGCGTTTGTGTCTCTCGGGGTGAATGTCTGGGCCCTTGCCAATATCGAGGACGTGTGCTCTACCACCCAGCCAAACAAGTTCACTTGCGCCAGTAAGCTACCCCTCCTTCCCATATCTCCACATACCTAACTAAGTTCATAGGTGCCCGAGACTTCTACACTTCCTCCGTAATCTGGGGCGCCATCGGCCCACGCCGCCTCTTCGGCTCAGGGCAGATCTACAACCCTCTCCTCTACGGCTTCCTCGTCGGCGCCCTCCTCCCCATCCCCTTCTACTTCATCACCAAGTGGCGCCCGCGCTCCGGTCTCCGATACGTGTACATCCCGCTCGTGTTCTACGGGATCTGCGATATCGCGCCCTACAATGTCACGTACGCGTGGTGTCCGATGGTGGTGGGGTTCATTTTCAATTACTGGATTAAGAGACGGTGGCAGGCGTGGTGGGAGAAGTACGCGTATGTGTTCACGACGGCGATGTCGTGCGGAGTGGCTATCTCGGCGATTATTATTTTCTTTGCCGTCGAATATAAGGAGGTCGATTTGAATTGGTGGGGGAATGAGGTTTCGTATGCTGGGTGTGATAATGATGGGTGTGCGCTGTTGGCGATTCCCGAGGGGGGGAAGATTTGATTCTTTCTCCGGGGTTGTGGTTCTTTGGGTGGGGAGGAGTATCTATCTAGAGAATAGAAAGAAGCAATAGGAGAATGGTTATAAACAAGTGTAAAAGGTAATAAATAGTAGAAGCAAAAAAAGAAATCGACACTTCGCAGTGTCTGAATACAAGGCCCGAGCCGCGGATCGAACGCGGGACCTCTCGCATTTATGCTTAGGTTTTCCCTAAGCGAGAATCATACCACTAGACCACCCGGGCTTGTTATGGAGGGTTAACTTAATAAGGGCTATATGAGTGGAATCAGCAATCCCAGAATCAGCGCTTTTCAGGCATGCTGCAGCTTGTTAAGAAGAATAGATTTGGAGCCATGTGAGGATCTTTGAAAAAATTTGGTGTCACAGAATGTATTGCTACCATATTTCGCATCTTCATATCCATAATTATACTTTTGACAGGCTTTTGAAGTGACACATCGCAATGGAACACATGCAGTCAGGATTTGCCCTCCAGTAATTGCAGTGCCAAGATATATATTAGTAGTTCCGGTCCAATAAACGGAAGCGACAGAACTTGACGAGGAAAGTTCAACCATTGATTGTTCCAATGACGATGAATCTGCAAGAATGAAGGCGTAATATTTGATTGTAATTTCACTACTCATACACTTTCTCTTCTCTAAGCCTTTCCAACCGTTTCAACTTCCCCCTCAAATGCCCGATCTCCTCCTCCAACTCTTCCCTCGAAGCTACCCAATACTTCAGCTTCAATATGGCCGCGGATATCAACAAAAACCCAATAGACACCAATGGCGACCACTGTCCTACTTGCTGTGGTGTTTCCTGCGACGGTCCATCCTCGTGGATATAATACTCAATCCAAACCACGAAAGCAATGACCGTCAACGGGCTCACGATGATGCTAAATACCAACGCACAGAGGATCACCGTATCAAGTAGAAGTCTGAACCACGAGCCCAAGGCGTGTAATGTAAAGAGACCTCCAGCAGGTCTCCACACCGAGAGCTTCTCTCTCGTCGAGTCCATCAGATCGGTTCGATGAAGCTGAGATACGTAGATCGCGGAGCGAAAGTCCTTCCTCAACCCGTTGAAGATGCTCTTCCTTTCTGCCCAGATGCTGCGTACTTGGGCGGAGGGAAGACGAGAGCGATATGGGATGATCTTGAATAACAGAAGGAAGAAGTTAACGACAACAGTGAGGACGATAAGACTGTATATGTAACGTTTGGAGTAGACGACCTCATTCCAGAATTTGCTTCGTTGATGGATGCGGTAGTCGCCCGTGGCGACGGTCGCCTCGAGTGTGGTCTGTTGGCGCAGAATTTGAGTTGTGTTGAAGCAGGGATAGAAGCAGACGCCTGGTAGCTGGTCGAACATGGTACTATTGCTGAATATCTCCCAGACACTGTTGTTCCAGGTTGAGGTGCGCTGCCAGGACTCCCATCCATCGCTAGAGACGGTGCCCATGGGTGGAAGATCCGGGTAGCAGAAAGTGTATTGAATAGGGGTGTCGCGAAGAGTCGGCCAATAAACCAGGGCACAGATGGACCCCGCGAGCATGAGGACATGCCATAGAGCGAAGAGTATATAGCGGGCCCTTTCGTGGGAAAAGGCACGGGACCAGCACTGCAGAGGGAGGAATGTGAGATAAGCCGTGACTACGATGGCCAGGACGGCGTCAGCATCTAACTCAAGTGCAGCCGGACTTAGTTCGATATGATCGGCTCCAGTGATTAGAGATGGGAAGCTGTCCCACAGCGAGGTGTTATCAGGGACGAAAGGAATTGTTATGGATTCGTATGGGTCGCGTTTCGCCGGATTGGAGACGAGAATGAATGCTTGGATGGCAGCGGTTCCGGCGTATGTTGCTGCCGCACCCAGAAAAACGTCCGCGAGCCAGCCGGTCCAGCGAGTGACACAAGTGGCTAGAAGGAGGGCATAGAAGAGATAGCGCGGACACGAGTCGTAGAAGGTGCTGATGGGGTAGGCGCAGATGACCTCTTCCACTACGAAGAGAGGCGCCTCGCTTGTCTGGCTCATTCCGACGTGGTTGGTTGCATCTTCGCCAGGTGTAGTCTTGTGAATCGTTCCCTTCGGATTCCCAGGAGCTGGAGGAATTCAACAATCCTGCCAGGGGTGAACCTCGAACAATTAAGGTTGATGGTTGAATCTTATCCCAAGTGGAGACTCGTGATGTCATCGCCGCCGGTAGATCTCCCACCAGCCCTATCACGGAAACTATACCGGCAGAGGCTTCTAAACGGAGTTAAAGATGTTTAATTTCGGTTATTAGGCACAACATATATAGCCATCCGACCAATTGCCCTTCTCTTATCTCACCCACGGGAATGCCCGTGACAGACACTGCTGAACAAACTTAACTAAACTGACAGGAATTGGCGCGTCCATGAGCAGAGCCACCAAAGCGGGATCATCTAACAGCGGAGGGATGGTCCAGTGAAACCAGGCATATGTGAACACATAATCCACCAGCTCATTTACTCTAAGATCACTCAATAACCAGGCGAAACTCGATCGCCGAAAGATCCGGCCCAGTATATACGGCATTGCGAGGCCAAGTGGCTGGACCATGAAACAGAAAAATAGCTTTCCAGTGGGCCATAGATCTCGTGAAATCGCGTATGTGGAAGCGCAATGTGCCAGGCCTGTCATCATGAATGACAGCCAAGTTACTATGAGGCCTCGCAGAACCGGATGTTTCACTGTTGTCGGGGCAAGCCAAGTTGCAATGGATAGTTGAGTCTCGCGGAAGAGGCCATGCCAAAAGCTTCCCCACAAAGCTAAGAGATGGGAGAGATTATTAGCCGTAGTCTATCTTGTATGAGAGAGTAATTGAAAATCAATGCGAATCGATGCATATACAAACCTCCGAGACTGAATTTGAAGGGCCCGAATAGGGGGGGATAGGCCCATGGTTCCCCTGCTGCATGTAGATATCTACCGCCGAGGATTCCTATCGCGATGAAGCTAAGTAGCGCGTGGCCACCATTTATCAAGGCATATACACAAATAAGTGTTGCTATTTGATCAAAATCTTTCCGCAAGATTCGGAGAGGGCCCGAGACGTCACGGAAATGATCGGAAGAATGAAACGCTTTGTATAAGTCCGCAATTGCGTAAGCGGTTAGAAAACGTCTGAGTTGTAGCCAGCAAAATGACTGCCTTTCACTCGATTGGTTCAGATTGTTTGCCCTCTTGCTGCCTTGTCCAGGGATGTTCAACCTTAAGGATCTCCCCTCCTGCCCGAGAAAATTATCCAATGGTGGGCGGTAATCGGCAGGACCATGACTCCATCCCACAGCGCGCGGATTGATGACAAGATCAAGCGTCCATAGAATGCGCTCGTAGCCCAGCTTTTCTGGGTGCGACTGCCATGTATACGCAGGAGCTGGATGAAAGGGCGAAAAGGGTAGACGACGGATCCTTTTCAACTTGCTCAGATCGCGAATCAATGTGAGTTCTATGAAGCGCATTATCCAGTATATGGACATGAAGGCCATGCATCCATTGACAAAAGGATGAGTAGTGAATGGGTTGAGAGTTACATGGACGCTCATTGCAAGTAATACGCTCAATACTGCAAGAGTTAAGCCACGTCTGGACAAGAAGTGCTCCTGGAATAAGGTGGCTGTCCAAAGGAGTACTGGCCATGCGATCAAGGTGATAAGCGAGGGCGCCATTTTCTGTCCAATTCCCAGAGCAATGGGTGACCCCTTGCAGACAGAAGTAAATGAGCGTTTTTCTGGAGAGTGCTCAAGCTACTCTGAGGTATTGCAAGCGCGTCATGACAATGCTTTACGGGAATGAGTATGAATTATCTGTGGTACTTGTTGAGAGAGGTAGGTGCGTTGTCATATTATCTGATCGGGTTCTGCCAATCTGTGATCTCGGAGTTCGGACCGGCATCATTTCATCGAGAAGGGTAAATTTAACCATAACTATATCACGATTCAATTGTTTGGATGACTTCAATTTATCTCGGGTCATTCTGAAGAAGGAAGCGGTAGGCGGAGACGGATAGAATGGCTACACTGTGACACAATGCGTGGTTTCACACTGCAGTGAAGCCGAACACAAGAGGCATTTGAGAAACTACTATGGTAGAAACCTACAAAGTGATAGACTATGTAAAACGATAGCTTCAGATAATAGACCAGGACGATAATGAAATGTGCAGCACAATGTATCAGGTAACGCCAACTCTGACGGGAAGGTCAATGCAAGACATCCTGTCTTCACTGACCTAAACTATGCCAAGCTCCGAATATATTCTCCAGGTACCGAAGCTATCATTCTTGTTTCGCTCAGTATTTTCCTTAAATTCATGAATCTATTTTGTAGTCTTCTCTTTCTTCTCTGAGAGAACTATAGCCCTAATACCAGTTCCAGCAATCGCAAATATGAATGCTGACCCATCAGATCGTCAAGATTCCACCGCCACCGCTGTTCCCGTCGCAATATGTGGAATGGGAATGAGACTCCCTGGTGGAATCCATGACGATGCCACTTTATATGAGTTTTTGCTGAACGGAAAAGATGCGCGATCTTACACAGGTTGTTCCCGATATGACGTTCGAAAGTTTTACGATCCTACGCCCCGACCGGGCACCATACAAACAAAGCATGGGTACTGGCTTCAGGATATTGACCTGTCCAATTTTGATACCTCCATGTTCAAAATGTCGGGCCCGGAAGTGGAGCGTCTAGATCCTCAACAGCGTTTGCTCCTGGAAGTCGTGTGGGAAGCTATGCAGAACGCGGGCGAGACCAGGTGGCAAGGAAAAGAGATTGGCTGCTACGTTGGATCTTTCCGTGAGGATTGGCTCGTCCTACATCACTCAGATCCCCTCGACATAAACCCCTTTGAAGTCTCTGGGTCGGTTGACTTGGCATTGGCTAACCGGATCTCCTATGAGTTTGATTTCAAGGGACCAAGGTACGTTTGAGGGCGCTTGAAATACGGAACAGCAGTACTCACATGAAGTCTGAAGTATGACAGTCAAGGTCGGCTGTTCGGGATCAGGAACGTGCCTGCATCTGGCTTGCCAGGCCATCGCCCACGAAGATTGCACGTCCGCCATAGTAGCTGGATCAAGCATCATTCTCACTCCAGGGGTGAACCAGTCCCTGAATGGGGTAGGTGTATTCTCGGCCGAAGGATCGTGCAAGTCATTTGACGCATCAGCGGATGGATATGCACGAGCAGAGGCAGTTAATGCTATCTATGTGAAGAGACTGGACCTGGCTATTCGAGATGGGAACCCTATTCGCGCTGTCATCCGGGCTACGGCAGTCAATAGCGATGGCAATACTTCTGCTTTAGTACGTCCAAGCGCGGATGCACATGAACAGCTTATTCGAAAGGCCTACCGCAGGGCTGGTATTCTCAATTTCTCCGAGACCGCCATGGTAGAATGCCATAGTACAGGTACAGCTATTGGAGACCCAATCGAGGCAGATGCTATTGCACGCGTGTTTGGGGATGAAGGCATCCATATTGGGTCGGTAGGTACAGATTTTCTGACTGGGCTCAGTACTTTGCCAGTTCAAGGCTTACTATAAGAATGATAACCAGGTGAAACCAAATCTCGGGCACCCAGAAGGCGCCGCTGCCTTGAACAGCATTATGAAATCGGTGCTTTCCCTCGAGCGAGGCATCATTCTCCCCAACATCAAGTTCGACACTCCAAACCCCAGCAGTCAGTTCTCACCCAGGACAAAAAGCCAATTGGCTGGCCCCTGACTGCTACTGACTCTTCTAGTACCCTTCCAAGAGGGCAAATTGGTTGTGCCCCTTCAGGCCACGCCATGGCCTGGCAACAGGCAAAAACGGATCAGTATCAACAGTTTTGGCATAGGTGGTGCTAATGTTCATGTAAGAGCGGAAAACGGCCGATGCTCATATATAAGCTATCCATAGCTGAGGACTGGGTTTTCTAACGTATTTTCTCCCCAGATTATATTGGACTCAGCCGAGTCTTGTGGGATAAACATGGCTAGCCCACAGGTCATGCCAACTGATTTCGAGGGTTGGAACCACTGCAGGCTCCTTACATTCTCCGCAGCCCATCCGGAATCTCTAGAGCGGGTCATAGACAGTCATCGGCAGTACATCAAGCAGCACCCAGATAGGCTTCCGAGTCTTGAGTTTACTCTTTTGAACCACCGCGAACATTTACTGCATCGGGGATATTGTGTAACGACGGGAAAAGAACCTCTACATGTTTCTGTTCAGTCCAAAAGTAAACCACCCAGTCAGGTCTGCTTTGTATTTAATGGACAAGGCGGTCAATGGGCACAGATGGGGAAGGAACTGATGGAACAGCATCCCACCTTCCACGAAGATATCAGAAGGATGGACTGGTACCTGCAACGGCTACAGGATGGGCCTCGCTGGACGATTGAAGGTAATTCACCATCAGCATTCTTATTGTCACCACTTTCATGAAGCTTGTGCTCACCAAGTACTTAGCCGAGCTTTCCAAGCCGAAAGAAACCAGCCACATCGACCTCGCACCATATGCGCAGCCACTCAATACGGCCCTTCAAGTTGCTCTGGTCAACCTCCTAGTGAGATGGGACATAACTCCATCCAATGTTGTCGGTCACTCCAGCGGAGAAATTGCCGCTGCATATGCCGCTGGTGTGCTTGATATGGAAGAGGCTATTATTGTTTCATACTTCCGCGGGAAAGTCTTTGAGAACCGAAAAAGACGTGGTGCGATGGCAGCAGTCGCATTGGGGAGGAAAGAGATTTCCTCTTACCTTGAACCTGGCGTAGTGATTGGGTGTGAAAATAGTGCGTCTAGTGTGACCCTTTCCGGCGACAAAGAGGCCCTGGAGACCGTCACAGCCGCATTGCAAATTAAAGAGCCTAGTGCCAGTATTCGAATCTTAAATGTTGATACGGCATACCATTCTCGTGGGTCTTCAATATTGTACCTCTCAAGTGTGCCCACCATAATTGACAACGAAATTAGCTCATATGCGCGAGGTCGGTGAACCCTATTTTCAATCAATCGCCTCTCATGTCAAGCCCAAACCACCAAAGGTTCAAATGTGGTCAACCGTGGCAGGGAGTGTGCTTCCCATGGGCTCATCAGTAAGCCAAAAATACTGGAAAACCAACCTCGAAAATCCAGTATTGTTCTCATCCGCTATCAATTCTCTTCTCGCTGAGTACAACGGAAGCCATACTTTCCTCGAAATTGGCCCTCACTCCACGCTCGCTGCCCCACTCAACCAACTTCTTCGAGCTGGCTCTTTGGATGGCAGCTACGCTTACATCCCGACCTTGAAGCGAGGGCAGAATAGCTCAGAATGCTTTTTAGCAGCTGTGGGCCAGCTATTTGCTATTGGGAATGACGTCCGGTGCCCATCATCTGCCGCCGAGGCAAGAGTTCTGACCGATCTACCAGCTTACCCATGGCACCATGACAGGAAATTTTGGCAGGAAACAAGGGTTATGAGGGCTTCGAGGCTCCCCACAGCACTGCCTCACGATCTTCTTGGTCGGCGGATATTGGAAGGCAATGAACTTTACCCGACTTGGAGGATAATGTTAGAGTTGCGTCATGTACCTTGGCTGAGGGATCACTGCATTCACAAGGACGTCGTGTTCCCTGCTGCTGCATATATTTCGATGGTCGGTGAGGCTATTCGCCAGTTGACTGGGGAAGTTGAGTACACATTGAAAAATGTTGTCTTTCATACGGCTATGATTATTCCTGAAACGGGTCCCAAAGAGATTATAACGGTTCTTGAGCGACAGCGCCTGACAAACACATCAGAGTCCTCGTGGTACAGATTTAATATATCATCTTATGATGAAACTACATGCAAGAAACACTGCACAGGTCTAGCTTGCGCAGGCAGTACGCCAGTGTCGCCCGACCGAGCAACTAAGCCTCTCCCAAGAAAGATCCAGGGAAATCGATTCTACAAATCCCTAGCCAGGGCAGGTTTCATTTTTGGGCCCAGCTTTAGACGGCTTGTAGACTTATCCACTGATGTCATGGAATCCATCGCACAGACTACTGTTATCGATGATCAACCGGGTAACGAATCGGAATATGCTTTGCACCCAATCACACTGGACTCTATCTTTCAATCATTGATTCTGGCAGCCTGCAAGGGAGATCTAGGAATGCTTCTTCGGGTACGGCTGCCAACGTTGATTCAGGAGATATCCGTTGGCCATGGAGTCGGAAGGTCGATCGAGATACATAGCCATATAAATGAGCATGACTCAGACACGGCCAAGGGATATTCTTATGCATACGTGGAAGACGGACTAGTGTCTTCAGTGAAAGGGTTTTGTACACGACCTTTGGATGTTTCAGGGTTAAGCCCCATGGACTCCAAAGTGGGATACCTGCAGTGGGCACCCGATAGCTCTTTCCAGGAGCTAGGGTCACTAATAAAGGTGACTATGGACCGTGAAAGAGACCAAGTGCTTGGGGAAACTCTTTTCCTCCTGTGTGCATTAGGTGCCCGACAGGACCTCGAGAAAGCCACACCAGCACAGCCGCATCTGCACAAGTATTGCGCATGGATCCTCCTCCAGTTGGAGAAGGCGTCTAGGTCAGAGAATAGTCTGGTGAAAAATTCTGTTCATCTTTTTAAATTGAGCCCTAAAGACAGAGACCAGATGATCAATATGATTTTGGATGAAGCCCAGTCCAGCGATTGTCGCCCCATTTTTGAATTACTTCTCAAGATCTATAACTCATTTCCGCAACTGTTTGACGGCTCCCTGGAGCCGCTATCGCTGCTTATGCAGGACTATTCGCTGGGGAACATCTACAACACGGGCAACGCTACGTGGGACTACGAAGCATTATTCGCTGTTATGGGGCATTCCAAACCGCAGATGAAGGTCCTCGAAATTGGTGGAGGCACTGCAAGCCTCTCGGAGAATATACTGCAGTATTTGCAGTCTGAGTTTGAAGAGCCGCTCTACCAAGTGTATACCTTCACGGACATCTCCACCGGATTCCTTTCTCGTGCGAGGGAAAGGCTTCACCATTACCCGAATGTTGACTATCAGCTTTTGAATATTTCGAAAGATCCGGAAGAACAGGGACTAGGCAAAGAGAGTTATGACTTAATTATCGCGTCTAATGTAATGTTCCAAGAACACGTTCTCATTATTTCAACAATACTAATAAGTCATAGGTCGTACATGTTACCCCAAACCTGCATGATACATTGACCCACATCAGGAAACTACTTCGGCCAGATGGCCGACTTTTCCTCGCGGAGATATGTGCCGGTGAGCATTGACGTCCCAAGCCTCAATGACTACGCTAATTGGAAACTATAGTGACGAAGGTCTTTAATTTTGTAATGGTAATGTTCCAAAACATCTCAACCTACCCACCTCTGCATGTGGTTTTACATTTCAGTAGCTTATATCAAACAGGGTATCCTTCCTAGTTGGTGGGTCGGGGAGAATGATGGCCGAGTGGATGAACCGTATATTGCCCCAGAGGAATGGCATTCGCGGCTGTACAAAGCTGGCTTCACTCAAGTTGAAGCATCGATCAGTGATACGGAGCCCCCATTCAGGGTGAACGCAACGTTCATGGCCCGGACCGCGCGCCAAGATTTCGTCCCGGAAAGAGTGACATTATTATCCAAGGGATTCGTCGGCAAACCCGCTCGTCATGTCGAGAGAATGCTATTCGAAATGGGATGCAAGGTCCAGCATGTTCTATGGGGGAGTACACCGCCGATTCAGCAGGACATAATCTCGTTTATTGAAATGGAGGGGCCATTGTTTGAAGGCATTACTGACACAGATATGGAATTCTTTCAAGGCCTCGTCAAGTCACTAAGGAATGTGAAGATACTCTGGCTCATGAAGCCTGCTCAGCTACATGTCGACGATCCGCGATTTGGACTGTCACTCGGTATGATACGAACTATTAGATCGGAGCTTGGCCTTGCATTTGCAACCTTGGAACTAGATGATGCCACGTCGGGCAATTCTACGAGAGCCATAACCGATGTATTTAAGCATATTAGAGGAAAGAATGTGCAAAGGGGACGTTTCGACCTCGACGTGGAGTATGTGTACTCGCAGGGAGCGGTTCACGTTGGTCGCTATCATTGGAGTTCATTTTCCAGAGAGCTAGAGCAGCGCGTTCCTCCTAGAAGTGCGAATGAACTGATAGTGGGACAATTGGGTGTCCTTCAGTCCCTGAAATGGGCGCCACGGCAACTTGATGGATTACTGCCGCACGATGTGCGAATCAAAGTGCATGCAGTGGGGCTGAACTTCAAAGATGTGCTTCTTGCTTCCGGAATCCTCGATCTTAAGGGTGAAAGCGCTATGCTTGGTATTGAAGGGAGTGGTATTGTGACTGCAGTCGGCACGGACGTGGCCAATTTCAGTGTGGGAGACCGTGTGATGGCCCTATCATCACATCAGAGTTTGATGGCATCAGAAGCTCAGGTGGCGAGCACTCATTGCATAAAGATCCCCGATAGACTTGGGTTTGTAGAGGCCGCCACAATGCCTTGTGTATACCTCACCGTGCTTCGAAGTCTTGTCGATAAAGCTCAACTACAAAGGGGCCAATCTATCTTGATTCACAGTGCTTCTGGAGGCGTGGGTATTGCCGCCATAACAGTCGCCCGCTGGATTGGAGCGGAGGTGCTCGTGACCGCTGGAACAGAAGAAAAGAGAACTTTCTTAATGCGTCAATTCGGCATACTGCCATCACGTGTTTTCGACTCTCGCTATAGGACATTTGTGGATGGAGTCAGGGCAATCACTTCTGGCAGAGGTGTCGACGTCGTTCTAAATAGTGTTTCAGGAGAGTTGCTCCACGCGTCATGGGAATGTGTCGCCAGCGGTGGCTGTATGATTGAGCTTGGGAAGCGAGACATACTTGGGAATGGGAATCTGGCAATGCATCCCTTCGGTGATAATCGTTCCTTCATCGGCATAGATCTCGGTCATCTATCAATAAAAGCACCTGTCATCATCGAGAGATTACTGCAGCAAGCTGTCAGGCTTTATAAGAACGGCGATATCGAGCCGATTAACCCTGTGAGGTCTTTCAGCGCCAGGAAGGTGCAGGAAGCATTCCAACATCTGAGACAGGGTCAACATATTGGAAAGGTTGTGTTAGCTCTCACGGAAGGTGATGCACCTGAATTGGCTCCAATTATATCTACTCCAACATTCCGCAAGGATGCTGCTTATCTCCTCGTTGGGGGGCTAGGTGGTCTAGGAGGATCGATTGCGACATGGATGGCATCACACGGGGCCGGCAATCTAGTTACCCTTTCACGTTCTGGGAATAAGTCTGAAGATGATCGACACATAGTTGCCGAAATAGAAGCTTTCGGCTGCTCGGTGCAGATGTTCAAAGGTGATGTTAGTGAGGAAGAAGACGTGAGACATCTTGTTCGAAATACATCAAGACCTATAGCGGGTATGGTTCATATGGCAATGGTGCTCTCGGATGCGCCTGTACTCGATATGACTGTAGCCCATTGGGAAGCTGCTATCAACCCCAAGGTCAAGGGTGCGTGGAATCTCCACAATGTACTGCCGAAAAATTTAGACTTCTTTATTCTTTTCGCATCGCTGTCCGGAAACCTTGGTTACTACGGACAATCGAACTACGCGGCAGCCAACACTTTCCTTGACGCCTTTGTGCAATATCGCCATGGGCTCAACTTGCCGGCTTCAGTGATCGATCTTGGGGCCGTGGAAGATGTGGGTTTTGTCAGCCGCCATCCGGAAATCTTGAAGAGATTGAACAATACGTTCGGCCAAACGGTCTCAGAGGAGGAGTTGCGTAATGCCTTTCATCTGGCTGTCACCCGTCCTGGTCCAGGTCGTCCGGATATCGGAAAATATCCAGCATCGCGTCACTACAATGCAAGTCAGATAGCCGTCGGGTTAGTTCCTACCTCAACGGCCGCATTCCTGGCGCGCGATCCGCGGCTCTCGGTCTTCTACAATCTGAAACAAGGCCAGAAGACACAGAGGAAGAAGCAAGACAGTAAACTGGACACGTTTGTGGATGATGTTAAGACCAACCCAACATTGCTCGATGACCCAAATTCGGTACGCCTAATCTCCAGGGAAATCCGAAAGCAAGTAGAAATTTTGATGATGATCGAACCGCAAAGTGATGGTGCTCTTCCGACGCTCAGTCAGATCGGTGTTGACTCTCTTGTGGGGATCGAAATACAAAACTGGTGGAGAAGCATGTTTGGGGTTGATGTGACTCTACTCCAGTTGCTGGAGGCAGATAGTTTCCAGAACTTGGGTGAGCTTGCTGTCCGTCAGCTGAATGAGCTTACGCGTGGGGAAAGGGAGTCACCCGATGAAACGAGTAGCAAGGAACAATCAAGTGCACTAGATAATCGTGCCGAAAGTCAGAGAACTGATTCCCAAACGGAATCGTATGATGCTGGCAATAATATTGCCCCATCAAGCCCTTATTACGATATGTTCAGAGAGGATCATAATAATGTATCGTTTGAGGGCAAGCGACTCAGGGACGATGGTCATGTTGTCATTCTCACGGGGTCTACAGGCACATTAGGTACTTATATACTTCTCGAGCTCCTCCAGATGCCGAATATCCACCGAGTATACTGTCTCTGTCGGTCTGCTGATGCTGCGAGTCGACAAATACGCGGCTTCCAGCTTCAGGGCCTCGGAGTCCCGGGAAGTTTCAAAAATCGCGTCGAATACATCCGCGTCGACCTCCCGGCACCAAAATTAGGCATGCCGGATACAAAGTACGAGGAACTGAGGTTGTCAGTAGACATTATTATTCACTGTGCCTGGGAGCTGAGCTTTTCCAAGGCATTTGATATATTCGAGCGGATACACATCCGGGGGCTTTCTCGTCTATTTGAGCTCAGTCAGAGCTGTCAATACTGGCCCCATATCCATTTCATGTCTTCACTGTTAGCCCTATATGCCAAGGAGACACAATATTCATCATCTAATGTCCAAGGTCCCGGCCAAAAGCCGGTCTCCCCGTGGCCTATTGGATATACTGAGTCAAAGCTTATTGCGGAAGAAATGTGTAAGCTTGCATCCACGAAGTGGGGCCTACCTACCACTGTATACCGGATTGGGCAGATTGCAGGCAGTAGTAGTGGCAATGGGGTGGTTTGGGACAGAAACCAGTGGCTTCCTTCAATTATGCACAGCTCCAAGCTTATTCGCAAAGTGCCTAATTCATTGGGACCGGCGGAAGTAACCTGGATGCCTGTGGTAAGTCGACTACCAATTATCATTCTTATTCCGAACCATACTAACACACTCTCAGGACCAAGCAGCCAAAGCCATCTGCGAAATATTCCAGTCAAGATCATCATCAAATGGTGTGGCTGACTCCAACGTCACATTCAACGTTGTCAACCCATGCTTGACACGTTGGGAATCTCTCCTACCTGTCATTCAGAAGCATTATGCGGCTGAAGTAGTCGAGTCTGATATTTGGCTTTCAGAGGTGGAAAAACATGAATCTCTGACTGGAGGAAGCGCAGAAACTATACCCACGCGGCTTTTACTGCCACTATATCGACAGATAATGGAGCTGTTCAATCACGGATGGACTAGGCCTTCGTATGATACTGAGAGGACTAATTTGGCAAGCGAGACGCTGCGTAATATGGGTCCTATTACCCCGGAGATGATGGAGCGTTGGATTCAGCAATGGAATTTTTGATTTGTGCTTCGTGTCTGCGTTTTGTCGCTGCTAACTCCAAATAAGCTGGATATATAAGTTGGCAGCTGAGTGTACTCAGGATTCCTAACGCTTGGTACTAATTGATCTCTCGACATGTCTCGCACTAAGTGGAGCGCAACGATAGCAAGATTTATATCTATGCAGAGGGCTATTAGAGATACTGATTTATTTAGCCTTCAAAGTATTAAAGTGGTGGTAGATTGGACCCTGATCCCGAAATAGCATTTCGATAAAGCGGACGTATATCTGGTAATAGGATATGGTGCGGTTGGATGAGATATATGGTAGCCGGAACCGGAACCACAAATATATGTCGGAAGTTTAGTAGTACAGCGAAGGCACATACGAGCCCGCCATGTGCTTCTTGACACCTCAATGACAATATTCAGTGCAATCAAGAGTAATAGCCAACAACAAAAAAAGAAAAAAGAGAAAAGAATACATACAACAGAAGGGATTCGCTGGTGGTCACCCACCCAACTACTAACCTCCCGGCGTGTGGCTTGAGTACGGCTGAGCGGACGGGAAGCCCTATTTTCCACACCCTGTGGTCGTATGTGATTATTGGATCTTTGAACATTCTCATATAGTGCATTTGGGAAGAAAATACAAGAATCAAAGAGAATAGAAGATAAGATACTAAAAATGACAAGCTAAGCTTTGGGAATCATATTACACGCTAGCGTGTGTAGTGCCTGCCGCGCCTCATTCACATCCGCATCGCTCCCGCCGCGATGAGTCCGCAGAACCTGACAGGTAATGTCCAATGCCTGCCAGATCTCAATGAACTTTTAAGCGATCGCCCACTAATGCCTCCTAGACTCTGGAATGCATAGTTTAGGACGCTAATATCACACAGCCGTTCCCGATAGTTGGAATCCAGCTCGTCACTCTGATTTGTTTCCGTAGCATATTGCAAATCAATCTTCACCAGGCAGAACACCAAGGCTGCGAGCCCTGCGTGTGAAGACCCTGTCTCTGCGTGGTTGTCATCCACGGCGCCGCTCTACTTGTAAACGCTATGGTTGTTTGGCAGGACGGCCTCCACGCCTGGCAGCAGGAAAGTCAATTATCTCTGTATTGACCCAGTCGTGGGAGTTACCATTCGCTATACAGACTCCAATCCGGATAAACTTTCTTTAATTTTTTTATTGTATTTTATTTCTATTTTTATTTCTTTTTGGCTCTAGGCTGAGGGGTCGTGTGCTTCTATGAAGCGCCCATTCTTTGAGGAAGAGCAAAGTAGTGGGTTTCTTTGGGGGGGCAGGGGCTGCAGCGCTGCTTAGGGCCTTGTCGAATGCGGTCCGCGCCGGCTCCTTTGGCACATCTACTCTTCACGACATGGAAATGATATGCAGCACTCTGCTATGATATTCAAGGTACGTAGATGGATAGTAATCATTATCTATATCTCCCGAACCAGCACAGCCCTATAGCGCACCTTTCCATTCCTCAACTGGCTCATCGCCTCTTCGATCCCAGCGCTGGTGAACGGAAACGTCATTATAGTGGGATAAATCTGCTTCTTCGCCGCGAATTCCAAGAGCGCCTGTGTACTCTGACGGGAAGCGACTAAGGAGCCCTGAATCTTACAGCCCTTGAAGCATAGCTCCAGTGTAGGGATGGATGAGGGCTCAAACGTCGCAGTCAACGGATAAATCGCACTAGGACTATCCATAAGCGGTAGGATACTGTCCACGACACGTTTAGTCAGTCACACGATCCGACACATGCAGCACCAGAAGCAACAGCAGAGCAACTCACGAGGAATACTTCACGCCACCACTCCCACAAAGCAGGAGATGCTTCAGAGGCTTAAACGACCGGAGAGGGCTTTCTGCCCGAAAGACATGATACTCCGACGCGCCGTACTCCATAGCTTCTTGCCTCTTGGCCTCGGAGCTTGACAGCACGACAACATGATACCCCATAGCAGCAGCCAGCTTGATCGCCAGGTGACCGAGTCCACCCACCCCTTGGATTCCGACCCGATCACCGGGACGCATGTCGAACCGTGTCAGAACAGTCCACACCGTTGCCCCTGCACACATCAGAGGTGCAGCGTGGGTTGATTCTATCTCGTCCGGGATGGGAAATACGCAGTTTGCATCCCATATGGCGCCGTAGCTGAAGCTGCCGTTGTTGAAATCGTTGGTGCCGTATTGTTTCTTCTCTCGGCAGAATTGATCCATGTCTTTTACACCCAGCAAGGTTATGTTAGTATATTCAACACTCATAACCTTATACCATCAAATTGCTAATGGAATGATATAGAATGCCACATCTTACCTCTCGCGCAGTTATCGCATCGCGCGCAGATCCCATGAGTAAAACCAAATCCCACGCGATCACCGATCTTCACCGTCCGCACACCGGGTCCAGCGGCCTTGATAATCCCCACACCCTCGTGGCCTAGGACTTGGTCCGACTTCAGATAGTGTTCGTCTGTTCCGCAGACGCCGGATACGAGGGTTTCGATAAAGACTTCATTGTATCCGAGGTCGCTGGACACTTTGTCGGTGACGATCTTGCCCTCGGGAGAGCCGCGGAAGACATCGTATGTCAATGCCATGTTGATCGAAGGATGAACGTGGAGACAAATAAAATAGTGAAAGAAAGATCGAGAGAGGTTTATATAGGTATTATATAGGCCTATTTGTCTGTCTGTCTACTGTTGCGGAGGTATTCTCCGTCGCGGGTTTTATTGTCCGTCCCCGCCTGCCCTAAATTGCGGGTTATTTACCCGTCTTACTACCGTCAACTACTTGACGAACAACTAGATAGTCTACGAGACCAGGAATGAGGCTCCAAATGACGGAGCTCCGTCGGTCAGACGAAAACAAGATTTTTTTTTGGAACATTGGAGAACCTCAAGATGTGTATAGTTTGTGGTGAATGCTGTGTTCGCCCCCAGCCTGCTGACTAAGCGCATTGCATGATCTCTAGTTAACTAATGCCATCGGACAATCATCACCAACAATATCATATATACGCCAACCTTTTCATCATTGAACCCCTCTAAAGTCTCTGCTTACTTACTACAGCGCTTCTGGCTGACTGCGACAATGCAGAGGAAGAGAATACTCCCAGCCCGACATCCCCGATATCGAACGGCCCCACGAGGCCGGATTATGACCGCATGTGCTCGGTGTCAGAAACGGAAAATTCGAGTGAGTGGCCTGATGGCATACGCTGATCCCTCTCTCTTCAGCACTAATTCAATAATATCTTCTAGTGCGACGGGGTTACTCCCGTCTGTGGGGGGTGCCAACGAGCCCATGTGGACTGCGTCGAAGGAGTTTCGTTCCGCGACATTTCCCGAAAGCAAGCCACCCGACTATTGATCCCAGTACTTTACTAGTATCTAAGTGCTAAAACTCCAATCTAGTTACGTCGATGAGCTAGAAGCACGAATCGAATGGCTAGAGTCCATCATCCGTGAGCACCTGCCACACTTTGACCTCTGCAAACCTGATGAGCCTGAGAGAAGTACTCGCTTGGATCGTCGTAGTGGCGGCTCGGTCAGCAGAGTATCGAACCTATATTCTGCTTCGGAAGCACATCCTTCCCAAACCAATAACAACAAGGATGACTGGGGCCCAGCCCGTGACATCACCGATCAACTCGGACTGATCTCGATTAACCCAGAGGCAGATCTTCGTTATCTAGGCCCTTCCAGCGGATTATTCTTCACCAGGTTCGTGCTGACCGGTCTTGGACGAAGAGCCGAACTGGCACCAGAATCAGTATCCCCATCCGGGGAAACCAACTTCATCCCTGCCGAACTTCTCGACATTCAGCCCAAAGACCTGCCATCTGATCTAAACCAGGCCCAGTGGTTGACCCAGGCATATTTCCAAGCGGTTCATGGACAATTTCCCTTTCTGCATAGACCATCTCACCTTGAGCTTCTGCAAAGAGCCTACAATGGTATCGAACTCCTGCCCATCGACAAATTCCAAATCTATATGGTCCTGGCCATCGGCGCCACTATCCGATCGCGACAATTGAAAGTGCTGCTTTCAGCAGAAGGATACTGTGCCTCGGCTATCGTCCATCTGGACACCATCTTCCAGAAGTCGTCGGTGCGCGGCGTGCAGTGCATGCTGCTTTTGCAAATGTACACGTTTCACAATCCTTCCTCAGCGATCAGTCTGTGGACTTTGCATTATCACTGTCTGGCTCACGTGTTGGAACTCGGTTTGCATCGCAATTTTCGTGGCTCTGCCTTCACTGAGTTTGACCAAGAGATGCGCACCCGGGTCTTCTGGTGCGTGTATACGATGGATCGCTACCTTTGCACCTCGCTCGGTAGGGCGATAGGCATTATGGATGAGCAGTGCGATCTAAGAGTATCTTGCGCCTCTCCCACAGTTACTGTAAGAGAGAAGACGCTGATAATCATCACAGTTACCACGCGACATCAACGACGAGGACCTACAACCAGATCAACCGATCCCGACTCAACAATCCTGTACAACAATAACAGACATGTCCAGCGCAATCCACCTCTTTAAACTCGCCCGATTCAGCGCCGAGATCAAATGCGTTCTGTATTGCATCGACCGAAATTATCCCCCCTACACCCAACCCACCATCACAGACCCCAACCACTGGCAACAAGATATGCTCCACCGTCTGCATGAGTGGAAAGCAGCCATCCCTCACCATCCTCCCCAGAGCCCAGTGTACTACATGAACAGTCTGCTCGAGATTAAATACCACGAGCTAGTGATGTTGGCCGTACGCCCCAGTCCTCTCTTCCCATATCCTTCGAGGTCCTTGGTTAAACTATGCTTCGATTCCGCCTTACAATGCACAAGACTTTACCATCAGCTATATGTTACCAGTACGCTGCACTATAACCGAACGATCGTCCAATCGCTATTCCTGTGCACGGTTACCCTCTTTTATTGTATCTGGGCGCCAAACGGGTTAGGAGAGGAAGACACTACACTCGACACCGTCCTACACTCACTGAAGTCCGCTTCAGACATCCTCAGTGCTGCCGGAGAATATTGGCTTGAAGTGAAACGAACTCGCGATGTACTAGATTGCATCACCAGGGCTACGGTGCGGCGGTTTGCTCGGAGACTTGGTCAACCATCGGCAAGCCTTTCATCAGGGAATAGCGGGACCTTGTCGATAGTGGACTTGCCTACTACGATCTTGAATGATAGGCCGAGTACCGATGGCATCACTGCTGATGATTATGGGGCAGGGCAGGTCTTAAATGATCCGTACTATGTGCCGGTGCAGCAGCCCAATGCTACACCTGAGTTCATGTCTTTCTTTATGGATCCTCAGCCCGAGTCGGCGATGGAGTTGTTGGATTTCTCGTGGGATGTGTTTGGTGGGGTGGATGATGTGGCGTAAGAGACGATTTCTGGTGCTTCGAATGGGTGATAATGGACGGGGATTGTATATCAACACTTCGTGTGTAGTTATAGAATCTATCTCTGGTTTGCACTGTGAGCATTAATGCTGGTTAGTTAGCATTGCTGCCTCAGGTATTCATTTCTGCAGTAGTTGATGCCTCAAAAAAAAAAAAAAAAAAAAAAAAAAAAAAAAAAAAAAAAAAAAAAAAAAAAAAAAAAAAAAAAAAAAAAAAAAAAAAAAAAAAAAAAAGATGACGGATCTGGTCTAATTTCTGCCTAGCCACCGTCAGGCCAGGTTCTTTGTACTGGTAGAAAAGTAAGAGTCTCCGAATTATGATATGGTTGATGTTGTGTTGTGGAGATATTGAAGTGTGTCAAAATAATATATCATGATGCCACGTCATGTCACTGTGTATAGACGACCCTCGCCATTATCGTATGCTGTGCAATGCTATTGTCCCATCACTTCGTTCTATTATGCACACATTATCATGAATAATTAAGTAATATATCGATTATCCTTCTTTTGGCGTTGCACTGCTGGTCCCTTGATTGTCCTCAACCTCGCTCGTATGTGTTTTATCTGCTGTTTCAGTAGTCGTAAGTTTATCATCCTTGGCGGGATCGCTGCCACCAAAGACGCCTTGCATTTCTTCAAGAGAGTATTTGGAGGTCTGCTCCTTGTTAGCAAATTGCTCAATAATGCAGTATGGGGCGTAAGACGCACCTCCTTTAGAAATACGTATGAATATACAACGATCGCGTAGTTGAAGATCGCAAACATTAGAAACATCCTCCATCCGATGTTGTCAATTGCATGCGGCGTGACCTGCGACATCATGAAATTGAAAAGCCATTGTGACGCTGCGCCGACGGTCACGCCAATTTCACGAGTGCGACTCGAAAAAATTTCTCCCACGTACAGCCAGGGAAGAGGGCCCCAGGACATGTTGTAACTGAAAGCTTCACAGTATGTCATGATAATCATGGCGATTCCAGCTGGCGAGGCGCTTCCGGTGTCGCTGGAGCTGGTCGGATGCGTGGCCAAAATGCAGGCAATGATGAGCATGAACGATCCCATTGCGGCGGCGCCAATCATGAACGGCCATCGCCGACCGATGCGATCCATAACGAAAATCTGGAAGATAGAGACACCGACCACTTTCACCACACCGAAGAAGCCTGTCACCAGCTTACTTGAGTTTCCTGCACCAACGGCGGAAAAGATCTGAGTGGCGTAATACGCCAGGGACGTGTTTCCGGTAAGTTGCGCCGCTAGCTGAATCGTAAAGGCGATGAACAGCCGGTAGCGATTCGCGGGAAGCAGCAGTTCCCGGAAGGTGAAGCCTTGTTTGACTCGAGCTTCTTCTTCAATACCTGCCAAAATCTCATCGAATTCTTGCTGGAGCTCCTCGGTCTCTTCTCCGCCTCTGACCCATTTCAGGGACTCTCTAGCCTTATCGATCTTGCCCTTGGAGGCGAGCCACCGAGCGCTCTCCTTAACCGTGCACATACCGAACAGAAGAAGAGACGAAGGGAGAAGCTGCAAGCCCAATGCAATCTGCCATTGTTTTGTTGCGGACGGCTGGTCTATCGACACAGCATACGTGACCCAGTAGGCGACCATAACTCCCAAGGCAAAGAACAACTGGAAGCAGGAACCGAGTCGGCCACGTAGGTCTTTGGGAGACATTTCAGCCGCATACACGGGAATTAGCACCGTGGCGGCGCCGATACCAAGACCAGCTATCACTCGACCAGCATAGAACGTCCCCAGAGTATGCGAATTAACGACCTGTAGTATGGTACCGACAGTAAATACAAGGGAACTGATGATGAGGCCGAGCCGGCGGCCTAGGTAGGATGCGATGGGTGTCGTGAAAAAGCAGCCGAAAAAGGCACCTGCCTGGAGGATGGACACGGCATTGGAGTTGACGGAGGTTTTCTGAGCCACTGTGTATCCGAAGTCATTTTGGAAAGAAGACAGAGTAAGGACACCGCCTGGCCAATTTCTGGTTAGCTCGTCGTTACATATTACGAACAACAAAGAGAGCGTAGCGTACTGATAACACCGGTGTCAAATGCAAAGGCAAAAGAGCCCATGCAGCTGGCAGACACCAGATAGATAGCACGGAAGAGGCCCAATTTCCGACCCATCGTGAAAGACTGATCCTCAAAGCGACCGTTTTCGGTGCGGGTTGGGAGCAGTGAGAGCCAAATTGGGAGATAAGGGGGACAGAGAGCCAAATAACCTGTCAGTGCCAGCACTGATATTTATGACGATCAGAACAAAGTCTAGGTGGCTCAGCTGGCAGACCCCCGTTGTTGCGTGATTCACGCTTGCGCGTGCTACACGGCAACTATAAGCTTCGGCGGGATACAACAAGTAATGGACTATCCCGTCAGCTGTGGCGCCTGCAGGTAGGCCCCTTGCTTTTGTGCAATCAGATGGCAGGTATGCGGCGTCCGTGCGAAGATCTTCTTATGTTGACATATCGATGAAAGAGGTCATCAGGCAATAAACCCCCGCCCGGGGGCGCTCGACTGGAGCACTAGCGGAGGGGAGGGCGGCCAAGTCCGGACGTCAGGCTGTGATGTCTGCGACTCTGCGACGATGGTTGGTTCCGGATGGGCAACAGCTGGTGCGGATGACGTGCTAGCCATCTGTGACGACACGGCTCGGGCCCTCCAAATCGGATAATAGAGACTGAGTTTGAATATCGGTGAAGCTAGGTTCTGGAGTAGATCTTTATTTGCTTTTTGCATCGCTAATTCTTTGGCCCTCCTTTCCGCCAGAGTCTCCGACATCTAGATGAGACAGCTGCGGTACATTGAGATCTCGACATGGCGCACATGGTGAAGGGCTAGGGATCGGTACCCCGCAAAATGTCGTGGTGATCGACAGCGGACGGGGAGCGAGAAGATGCAACCATTGGTGGACTGAGCGATGAGGGATCAAGCCAGTCAGCATGCACTCCATCCAACTAAGGGGACTTAAGGTTACTTCGACTCACTGGCTGGCCGCAATCGTTTCCTACGATTCGTAGCGGGGCCGCTAGTGGTCCCTCATCGGTTGCATTCTGTCCTGTCCAGCAACATTGGAAGTGGTAGTATCCAAGGTCTCCAAAATGCGGTTGGACTGGAGGTCTTTCTGTATACAGATTGTGTCGCGATCGATCAGGCAGCGCCCAGCTCAGATCGGAGCTGGAGGAGAGCCGGAGCAAATGCCTCCTTTCCCAAAATGGTGTGGACGTTGCCCGAATCATCACCGTAAATGGTATAGTGCAGGATTCACAATCACATGTCCCGGGCCGGGCTGATGTAAGCAGACGCTTATGTCAGTGAGCATCGGAGTCACGTGCAATCACAGAGCCATGTATTCCTAAGGCATCAGAAAAAGCATAAATCAAAATATGCAAGATCTGTCATCTATGCCAGCTTGCATTAATATTCTCCTCCATAGTATGCTTAGTCAACGGAATTGTGTGGCTTCAAACTCCCACTAGGGGGAAATCTCCAAGTCTCCTTTCAGCCAACATACTGGCATTCCAGTATACAATTTCGCTGCCTCGGTTGACTGAACCCGCATGTTCTTGATTACATACCATCTAATCATTCTTCTGCTTATTGCGATATCGTTTCTCATTTTAGATCAGTTCACATATGCCTGAGACTGTATGACGATCGGCTATTGCACCGCAGCACAACTAGCAACTAAAAGAAGACAACAGTCACAAGCAAATACAACCATCTTAGTCTTGTACGGTGTTTCTTCCTAACCAGGCAATCACCCCAGGGTCCTGACGTCGTTCATCAAGGCAGCTGATGGCCATGGCAGTCGCAAATGAATCAGTCGCTGGACTGGGTTAGTGATCGACATGATTGTCGAGCGGCCACGGACTCCCTCCCCATAATGGATGGGTAGGATCTACATGTGGCAGGTTAGTGTGGACGTTTGAAACGAACCGTTGCCACGACCAAGATCATTGTCCATATTTTGAGTTGTGATAAGTGTTCCAAGACATCCTGCTGCGTAGATCAACATGAGAGGCTGAAAGTAGGTGTACCTGTGATCGATTCAGCGCCACACCGGAGCAAGCACCAAAGCTAGCACCACCACCCATTCCCTCCCACAAATTCACAATTTGTAGACATCGAGCTAGCAAGGGACTACGGTACTTTTATCCAGGGGTCTGCATCTCTTCTAACGCATTCCGATCACTGGCATAACCGGGAACTGCCAGATAAGGGACTTCGATTAGCCAGTCACGTCCAAAGAGCTGCCGCCAGGGCCTCATGGTTGACCGTTCCCGATCCGGCCCAAAAATTAGACGATCTTGCCTTGATTCACAGAAATGGGTGGAGTCGTTGTAGTCGGCATCGACACCCAGTCAGCTGAAGCCGGGTCCACTTCCGTGTTCTTGAACCGTGGTTCAATCCTGAGACAGGTCTGGACGGTTCTGAGTGTGCGACTCGCTTTTCCGACGCTCGGATGCTTGCCTAATGTAGCGAGGAATGAGTCGTTTAGCGATGAAGGATGATTATGGTTCAGCCGGCCAAGCGCACTATTGAGGAGGAGGATATAGCCTGCTTCCTCGCTCACCGTAAGCCCGGATCGATGTCTCACTCCGGTACGCCGACCGACATGAAAATAGGCATGGGTTCAGGCGATGGAAAACTTGCCTAACCGAGTAATTCCCCCGGTGTCTAATGATGGTACAGAAGCACGCACTCCCGACAGAGTGATGTGGAGAGATCTCTGGAGAAGAGGGTACTCTGTAGATACAGAGGGATAACTTTGGGTCCGGAGAATAAGCGGGCTCCGCAAAATGATATACGGCACACAGTAGAAGTCTGAACTCATTATATGGCATTAAGTAGCAGGAACAAGTTGGCGTAACTCGTGAACATGCGTCTGGCTGTCTTAAGTGAGACAGATAGTAGTAATGGTGGTAGTAGCAATAGTATAGAAACAAACAAAAGAAACATGTCCGCTATGAGCGGCTCGCCCGGTCACCACCCCAGCGGCTGCTCTTTTGGTTCGACACCACCGAGATCTCAACCTGCTTCTTAATGCCGCGCCCGGACTCCACCATCGACCCCGAGTGGTAGCTATCCTTGAGGATTTGCTCGATACTGTCGCAGTCATCGCGATTGTCTGTACTAGGCTGCTCCTGCGCATGAGACTGGGAGGTGCCGTTCTTCGCGGTTCCCTTCTGGGCCGAGAACGGACCACTGAGTTCGTACGAGCGAGAACGCGCCGCACTGGAGAGTTTTCTCACAGAAGAGATAAGCAGAGGTCGGATGCAGGGCACGGAAGAGGTGATAATAATAATCAGGTTCTCCGAAAATCCCCAGCGAATCAGCTCCACTGCACCGCCAGCACCGAGGTTGGTGATGCTGGGGACCTCGTCGAGTTTGGTAGTCTTGATGATCGAGGCAACCATGGCACTACTCCGCGTAAGTTGACAGGTCAACAAGTAAAAGCAGGGATATACTGACACTATACCGAGACTGAGCAGGATAATCAAACTGATTTTGATCCGCATCTTCAGGTTCAGGTTCCAGAAAATGATTGTTGGGAACACTGCCAGGAACAAGTCGGTAGCAGAATTGACGGCTAGATGCACCCATCGTCAGCTCTCAGTCCCGTGGGAGTTAGCCAGTGGATGGGAAAGACCTACATGAGGAGAAGTAGGAGAAGTTAACCACCGCGACGCTATTGCCACATGTTGTCTTGACGGTCGGATCCCACAGAATTCGGGCGTCGCGGCAGATGGAGAGTGGCAGCACTGCAGAGACGATGTTGGCGCAGAGCTGCAGCACCATGGCAATCCATAATGCGACACAATATTTCTTCTTTCCACCAAGAATAGCCAACAGGTAGAGGACGAATGAGGAGCGGGCTATGCCGGTGCTAAGGGTCACAAGAAGTACTTCGAAGGCGATGTATTTCAGCACTTGCGAGGTGTTATGGGCCGGGAGTTTGGTGAGGTTCGTGCCGAAGCCATTTTGTACAGAAAGTGTCAAGATGACCGTGGATGCGAGTGTCAGTGCCTGAAACACAGATGGTCAGAGATGCGACACAAGGGCCCATGGTTAGCGCGGGGGGAGAGGAGGTCGTCCTACCCAGGCTATGATCATCAACACATCGTCAATGCGAAAGTTGCGAATTTTGATCTTCGCAATGATTCGGAGAATGAGAATAAAGGTGGCTATTGCGACTGCAGCCCACATGCCCCTTTCCAGGGCCAGTCCGGAAGGGTTGGTTATGCTGGAACCCATCACGACGGGCAGAGATCCGCGACGATGGTGGTCATCCTTTGACAGAAACAGATGCGACTACTCAAGTATATTTATTTTATCGTGGAACTAACTTACTTCCCACAAGAATTCGGCACCAGGGGAATTATACTTTCAGAGTCGCCTTAGCCCGTATGGCTGCCGACTGGGCAGATTCGTGCATGGCTGGAATATTGGATCCATGGCGCAGATAACATAATATTAGGGAGATTGGGTGCCTTCGTCCATCCAATTCCTGGGTGCTCCGGCTACCCGACGGACAAATCTCGCAAAAGATAGTGGAGACTGTTGTCCCAGTTGGCCAGGGCAATTGGACAAAGCTTTCCCCAATAGGCAGACGTCGCCGGGGAACAGAGTCCCAGGGTATGAATAATTCAACCCTACTACTGGAATCCTGGTGGCGCTTAGCGTGCAGCAGTGGATGCACTCGCCACGAGGGGAACAGGGGTCGGCTACATCCTTAATCATTTCTAGAATGCGACCAGGATCCTCACCTGCCGGTACTCCAATTTATTGGAATTTCTGCAGCCGGCACTGAAGATAATCAAATGACCGTTATGGTCTTCCCACTTGATGCAGATCTACCCATGCCCTACGGGGGATGGTAGAGAGATGATCCCTTGCTCTAAGCTCACCATGCCCAGCGACCGGTACGGGACCCTCACGTCTGTTTGAATTGATGGTGGGTCATTGTCAAACTTTGAGAGAAAAAATTCCTCGGCCAAGTTCAAGCCACATTCCAGAGTTGAGAGACGTCGCAGCCGACACAATCAGGAGCAAGCCTTTGGTGTTCAGGTCGCAGAAAGTTACGTACACCAGCAAGGGGGAGGGACGGCAGATTTGAATAAAAATAGCGGCACTAGAGAGATGAGAAATGTCAGCGACAAGTCTTTCTATCTCAGACCATGGAGGACTCGCTAGCAGGCACCGAAGCAAACCGAAGGAGTCAGTCAGCAGCGTGTGATGGATTTGGCACCGTCTGTTCGTCGAATCCCCGGAACATCCGCCGCGGTACTCATTTTTAGACGGGCCATCGGCCACCTGCCAATAAAACGGTTAGCACAACTCCACTTCGTCCGGTTCCAGTGCTCGCCGAAAGCCTAAATCCTGCCCTCTGGAGGTTGCATGGTGCCATTCTGATCCAATACCACGCCTCATAGCCACTCTAGCGAGCGGGGCCCGAAATTACCTGGAGGAAGTGCCACTGTGCCATCGCCCAACTGGAAGTCGTTCTCCGATCGTGTGTGCCTGGACGATAACCCGGCCCCTGTGTCGGCCAGATAATTCCCTAAATCCATCCACACCATCTGCCTCGGCGACTCGGCCAGTTCCTGGCCATCGCTCTAGTATCTCTGCCACACCCAGCGTCCGGCTAATCCGCGGTGGTAGAATTATCCACCGCTTGCTCCGCGACTTTACGCACTTGGGGAACATGTCCGATGATGGCTGAATAGCTTCCTCCTGATCGTGAGATACGGCTGCTGTATCAATTTGCATATAAAGTACTTGTCCCTCCGCAGGGATCGTCACTTTATTCACTCAATCCAGTCACTTCCTTTCTTTCCATCCCCTCCGTCCTCCCTTAGCTTTACAGGATGAAGGCTTCCTGGTCTTTTGCAGCATCTGTCGCTGCTCTCGCCTCCAAGGCCGTCGCTTCTAGCGACTGCCACTGCCTGCCCGGCGATAGCTGCTGGCCCTCGACCTCCAGCTGGGACTCCCTCAACAACACTGTGGGCGGTCGCTTGGTTGCGACTGTTCCCATTGGTACTCCTTGCCATGACCCTAACTACAATGGCGCCGAGTGCACGAACCTGCAGGATGACTGGTACTTGCCGCAGACTCAGTAAGGCACCCCCTCCTCCACTTCCCAAATTTAAACCATGCTGACGTCAGTCAATCTCAGCTTGGTCTCTTCTTCATCTGTTATGCAACCCTACTTTGCCAACCAGAGCTGTGATCCTTTCCAGCCTGAGTCCCGGCCCTGCCTGCTTGGCAACTACGTGAGCTACGCCGTCAACGTCTCCACGACCGACGATGTTGTTGCTGCGGTCAAGTTCGCCCAGGAGAACAACATCCGTCTCGTGATCAGGAACACCGGTCATGAGTAAGTTTCATTTTGCCCCCCCTCTGAATCATGTAGATTAGGATGCTAATCCATCTCTCAGCTACCTTGGCCGTTCCACCGGTGCTGGTGCCCTGGCCATCTGGACTCACTACCTGAACGACGTCGAAATCACAGAGTGGTCGGATTCCACCTACGCGGGTTCGGCTGTCAAGCTGGGCAGTGGTGTCACGGGCTACAATGTGCTCGATGCTACTCACGGAAAGGGAATTGTTGTCGTCGGCGGCGAATGCCCTACTGTCGGCCTCGCTGGTGGATACACCATGGGCGGCGGTCACTCCGCCCTGAGCACTGCCTTCGGTCTGGGTGCTGACCAGACCCTGTCCTTCGAGGTTGTCACCGCTTCGGGCGAGGTCATCACGGCCTCCCGGACCAACAACACCGATCTGTACTGGGCCCTCAGTGGTGGTGGTGCCGGTAACTTCGGTGTTGTCACCTCTCTCACCGTCAAGGCCCATCCCGATGCCACCATCTCCGGTGCTGCGCTCGAATTCACCATCGCCAACATCACCTCCGATCTCTTCTACGAGGCTGTGGAGCGCTTCCACACCTTGCTGCCCGCCATGGTTGATGCCGGCACCACCGTCATCTATGAGATGACCAACCAGGTCTTCCTCATCAACCCCTTGACCGCCTACAACAAGACCACCGCTGAGGTCAAGACCATCTTGTCTCCCTTCCTCTCTGCTCTGACCGACCTGGGCATCGAGTACACCGTCGCTTACACCCAGTACTCCTCTTACTACGACCACTACGAGAAGTACATGGGACCCCTCCCCTACGGCAACCTCGAGGTCGGCCAGTACAACTACGGCGGCCGCCTCCTCCCCCGTGACACCCTTACCTCCAACGCCGCCGATCTCGTCTCCGTCCTCCGCAACATCACCTCCGACGGTCTCATCGCCGTCGGCGTCGGCCTGAACGTCACCAACTCCAACGACACCGCCAACGCCGTCTTCCAGCCCTGGCGTAACGCCGCCGTGACCATGCAGTTCGGTTCCACCTGGAACGAGACTGCCCCTTGGTCCGAGATGGTCGCCGACCAGCTGCGCATTGCCCACGACTACATTCCCCAGTTCGAGGCCGTGACCCCTGGCTCGGGCGCCTACGAGAACGAGGGCAGCTTCCGTCAGCAGAACTGGCAGAAGGAATTCTTCGGCGATAACTACGCCCAGCTCTGCGAGGTCAAGGAGAAGTATGATCCCGACCATGTCTTCTACGTCACCAAGGGTGCCGGTAGCGAGTACTGGTCTGTGGCCGAGTCGGGTCGCATGTGCAAGACCCAGCAGGCGTGCGCTGCTGTTTGAAAAAAAAATCTGTAACATACCCGTACGTAATGTTTATATGTGGTTGTTTCCTGTACATACAGTTTCGAGCTGGCGCTGTTGTATAGACGATAGATTACGGCTTTCATAGACTAATAATGTCTTGGTTTTTCTTACGTGATTCATAATTTATCCTCTCAGTAAACAGAATACCCTTAATGTTATTCTCACCGAGTGAAGACCATAATAAGGTAGTCTCTTGTCTTTTAATAAGGTCATTAGGTAATAATAGGCGGTATTTCATGCTCACCAGTAACGTCACTCCAGGCAGAGAGAGCATCGGAATATATTTCCGTCATGCTTCCAATCAAAGTACATGAGCCGACCAGTAGAATTCGAGTGAAACAAGACTAGAAGAATGAAGATAGAGAAGATATTGGAAGAAAGAAAGAAAGATGCGAAGGTGCAAATACTACCATCATGATATATATATATATATTTCTGCCGGAGACAATAACTAGCCCCCATGCCTACTAAGTACTACTACAACCACTAATGCTATCTCCATCTAACTACATATCATTATGGGTGACAGCTTACTGTTAGTTACTGTTTGGAATTTCTCACAAAAAGAAATACGGGTAGATGTTGTGATTGTGGGGAGGAAATTGGATGGAAAATTGATGGTTTATGTTTGGAACAGGAGACCCGTCAGGTATGCAAGGTTGGTGATACTCTCATTCTTGTGCCTGACGGGTTGAGATCCGCGAGGTGTGAGGATGAAGAGACAAGTATGGGTGGCATTGACATGATTCATCAGATGGAATGGGATATTCAGTGAGGATAAAGGAAAAGGTGTAACTAGTTCCTGGTCCTGAGATTGTGGTAATTGGTAGTACTTCTGATGTGTTCTCGAGTCGACAATGTGTCGTGGAAAACCCCACTTATGTACGCTAATGAATAAGTTTTTGCTTGATTTGCTCTCTATACCCAATTTATGTAGTTTTACAGATGCTTCTACATGGTTGTGGGGCCCAATCTAGTCTATTTATCTGGTTTCGTTTAGCTCACGGAGCAGTAAGGGGAAGGAGAGGCTGGTTGAGGGGCATCAGTGATACGATCTCTCTTAATTGAGAGCTATATTAAAGTGACCTTGTGTTTTCTCCTGCTTGGCCTTATAATATCTTCACAGAACCGAATGTTTATCGTCTTCCGTTTATGGTTGGCATCGGAGTTGATCTGTAGTTCACGACGAGCAGAGTCTAAGACATACATGGTTCAGACAGAGTGTGTAACCTACGCTTGTAGGTATTGTTCTCTCAAATGTACGAAGGTCTCACCCGTTAGCATCCGCCAGCATACTCGACGAGGCGTGTCTCAGACACTATCTAGTCAAGATGTGACTTGGGGCCTTACTTCGAGGATGCGCCAACGGAGCGATCCAGTGATTGACTGAAGTCACTTTCAGGAAAGGACCTGAGTGCTAAGAGTGAAAAGTCCATACAGGCAGTGGGACTCGAGAATTGAAATTTTCCGAGAGCCGGTTAATTAGGCACTGCTTCGGGTCAAAGCAGCTGGTAGTTCGCCGGCTATACACTTGACGCGAATTTACCAGCAGTCGCCCAGTTCACCTTGCTACCCCTTGCCGTGGGCAACTTCGCCTAAGTCAAGGTCTGAGCTTTTCGTGCAAAAGTTATCCAACCGGAGCCCAGCAAGACATCGGTCACGGGACCGCTTAGTCATATGTCTGCGGAAAAGGGAGCGGAAATTAATTCTCCGCCCAGGTACTAGACCGTAAATCTTGCCCAAATGTTGCTGCTTGGATGCGTCATGCGGGGGTTAGAGTTTGGGAAACAGCCTGTTATCTAGTTATTGTATGGATGCTTCATAGCTGTCCCTGAGAGTAGTACTGTGTACTGTGCTGGTATGTTGACTAGACAGATATTCTGCATGCAGCGAAAGGCGGGTAGTTAAAGATGGACAGTTCATTCGTCGTATAAGTTATGACAGGGGCGTAGGGTGAAACAGCCGTTTCCTGTATATTGTCTGTTAATCAACCAAGCTTTACAGCGTGAGTACTGGATAGATAAGAGATCCGACAGGATTCTGTGTAGAGTTCTCTGCAGCTGCTGCAGATGGCCTGATAACTCCGAGACATACTCTGTCCCCTGCTGATCCGTCATTATACTTGTGCCGTGGCGGCACCTTCGCTTCGAGATGCATACTGAGGATGAGCAGCGCACGGATTGACTGGGGTGAACCGCGTCGAAGCGAGATGCCCGTTGTGTCCAATTCCACGGCTAAAGTTGCCTCGAGATGGTGTGTGTTGGTGAGTCCGAGGCCTGATCAGCGAACAGGGCAGGATAAACAGGGTCTTGCAGAGGGTGCAAGTGGGGAGATCGTGAGGTGGAAAGGGTCATCATTTGACTGATTTGAGGCTGGGGGAGACGATCGGGGACGGTCACAATAAATGGGCAGCTGGAACAGCAGATGAGGACCCTGGCCAAGGGTGACAGGGCCCATTGAGAGCCGCGGACAGCGGCGAGGGGTGCGTGGCCTGTGGATGCACCAGAGGCAAACAGCCAAACGGAGGGGTGGATGCCATTCCCACCGCCAGCCTGATCGGCCACCCGGTTCCGCCAATCGTTGGCCGTTATCTGCCAGTCTGTCCCGTGCCTGGAACCCATACTGTTCTCCGCCTACCGGATCCGGTAAGAAAGGTGGCTGCCATCCCCCATTCTGCCGGGATGGTCTCCAGCAAGTTACGCTTCTCGTCTCCATCTCTCCTGGCCGATCTGGCGGCCTGGCCGTGTCCCTCGTTCTTTTTCCTCCCATTATAATCTTCCGTTAATTTCTTCTTTTCTTCGATTCTGTCCATTCTAGCGCCTCTTTCTTTGCTTCTTTCTTTCAGCCTATTCCTGTGTGTCTGCGCCTTGTTACCAGACACCTCCCTGTGTGTGGGATCCTTTACCCACTTCCACTTTACCTACGAGTCCCCTACCCTTAGTCGGAGGGGTTTACTAGTCGCTCGCTCAACGCACTCAGTTTGCTTGGTTATATACTATATACCCTTTTAATTTTCCCACCGTTCGTTTAGGCGCTCAGCTTTTCTTCCCACATGGCTCGTCGTTTTTTCGCCGCCTGCAGCGCCCTGCTGCTGGCCACGCAAGCAGCCGCCGATAATTTCCCCTACAACTCCTACCGCACCGCTCCATACACCCCTCCCCAAATCAAGGTCACCAAGTCCGGCCAAACCGACCCTGGATATATCTTCGTCGGTCCCCGTGGAAATCAGCCGCAAGGAACGGCAGCTCTGATATACGATGAGAATGGTCAGTTGGTCTACGAAGGGCCGGAGGAGGTAACGGCCAACTTCAAGGTGCAGAAACTCTTCAACGAGGACGTCATCACCTTCTGGGCCGGAAATATGATGGATTTGGGTTTTGGATACGGCACGGTTCATATTCTTGACAACACCTACCGCGAAATCTACACCGTCACCCTCCAAGACAACTTCGTCTCTCCCGACGGCACCCCTAGAGATTCGTACATCGATCTACACGAGAGTCATGTGACGGATCGCAACACACTCTTGGTCACAGCCTACAACGTCACCCAGCACGATTTGTCATCCATCGGCGGCAAGCCAGACGACTACATGCTTGACGGCATGTTCTTCGAAATCGATATCGCTACTAACGAGATTGTGTATCAGTGGAGCGCATTGGACCACCTTCAGGACATTCCCCTCGAGGCCTCCAAGCAGGGCTTGGGAGCAGATCAGGGAACGCAGGACAAGCCCTGGGACGCTTACCACATCAACTCGGTCGAGCTGATGAATGAAGGATACATCATTTCGCTGCGTCACTACTGGTCCGGCTTCTATGTCCACAACAATGGGACAGTGATGTGGCAGCTCAGTGTAAGTGAAATCTCTTAGCTCTTGGTTGTAACCCACCAGCTAAGTTTTGATAGGGTGAGCGCAATGCCGGCGACTTTGAGATTGATGACGGTGCCATCTTCTCCTGGCAGCACGACATCCGTGTCTACCACCAGACGGAAGACAGCATGGAGATCAGCTTGTTCAACAACGCCAACACACCCACGGATACTGTCGACGCAACCACCGGCTTGAATCTGCACGTTGACCTGACCAACCGCAAGGTGTCAACGCTGCGCACGCTGAAAGACTCGAGCGACGTGATACACAGTGTTAGCCAGGGCAGCTACCAGCTTCTCAGTGAGGAGACGTCCCACGTTGTGCTTGGCTACGGTTCCATCGCGAAAGTCAAGGAATATGACGCCCACAACAATGAGGTAATGACGGCGCAGTTTGGTGACGACAATGCGGTGGCGTCTTACCGCGGCTACAAGTGCCAGTGGAAGGCGTCCCCCTTCTGGCAGCCCGCGGTGGCGATCGTCCGGACGACGTCGGATGCGGCCACTCTGTTTATGAGCTGGAACGGGGCCACGGAGTATGACAACTGGGCCATCTATACGGCCTCGTCGGCCGATGCGGTCGACCCGACATTTGTCACGTCGATCAAGCGCAACGGGTTTGAGACCACGGCGCATGTGACGGGACTGCGCACCAACTGGCTCCAAGTGGTTGCTCGGAAGGGTAACGTTCCTCTGGGGACATCCGCCATGGCGTACTTCTAGACACTGCTCTGACGCACAAATGACGGTTGGGATGGTGTGGAGCGAGGGACGGGGTGTACATGCAGGTTTTTATTGTATATATTAATGATTTTGTGTAAATATATGTTCCACGGCGGCATTTCGCTGTTGCTGACAATGATGAATAGAGCTATATGATGTCCATCTAGCTTAACGCACCTGATCACTCTGGTCGTTTCAACAGCACACACTGCTGAGGCATCCTCGGACGGCGAAATAAACATCTCTTCCAAATCCGACGTCACACGATGTCCCGTCCATCACGCACTTGTATGTCCCATCCGGCTCTCTGGGGAGGACCAGTGTGACAGCACCGGCAGACAGTCATGACCGCGCTCAAGCTGGGAGTCTTCAAGGCACAGGTACCTGCAGCCAGACGTAATGTGCAACCAACATTATAGCCAGCGATGATCTCTCCCGTCAGACAGACGTATATATCCCACCTCTCGATCCTGCCGCTCATCTATATACACATCCTATAATCAACGCCGCAATTAACCACATACCTCTTCATCTCTACATCGAAATGAAGCCCACCATTCTCCAAAGCTTCCCCCTCCTCCCCCTCCTCCTCCCCCTAACGACCACCCACCCCACTCTCCAAGACACAACCACCATCACCCCGGGCCACGCCATAATTCTCAACACCTGCGCCTTCCCCATCTACGCATGGTCCGTCTCCAGCACAGTCGGCCCGCAAATCACCATCCCAGCAGCTCCACCCTCTACCAGCAGCAGTAGCAACACCAACGCCAGCACCAAATACTCCAACTACACGGAACCCTACCACCACGACCCGCAGACCGGCGGGGTGAGCATCAAGCTCACGACCCTCCGGAACGGGTTATATACGGGTGCGCCACAGACCATCTTTGCGTATAACTTTGTCGAAGGGCAGAATCAGGTGTGGTTTGATTTGTCGGATGTTTATGGGGACCCATTCAAGGGAAGGAGGGTGAGTGTGCAGGTGAGGGTGGTGCAGGGAGGTGAAGGTGGAGGTGGAGGGTGGGAGGAGAGTATTGTTTGGGAGGATGGGGTGCCGGCCGGGGGGAGTCAGGTTAGGGTTGTGGGTGCGGAGAGAGATTTGGTTGTTAGGTTGTGTTCGTAGGGATTGATCTTTTGTCAATGTGGTGGGTTGGTCGTGAGGTTAAGGTATAAGGATTATTTGTGGTAAGAGAGGTAGTATGCTGATGTTTTGTACTGTTGAATGTCATTTTTGTTGTTTAATGGGTTCAAGAGTTGTTGTTTGTTCAGTAGAGATGGAATAAGGGCCCCATGGCAGGGTAGGTTCTATTGATAGGTAGGTGGTTGGTTAGTATACTAGTATAGTATAGTAGGTATGCAGTTGTGTAGGATTGTGTGACTTACCTGCGTGTATGGGGTGTAGGTGGGGGGTGTTTGGATCGGAGATAGGGGATATAGAAAGGGAAGCAGATACTTGCTGCGAGAGATATTTGAATGAGGATTTTGGTGGGCATTGTGTCACATTCGAGATGTGGTGGATGTGATAAAAAGGTGGTGGAGAGTGCTTGAGCAGATAACTATGGAGATATTCTCTGCCTGAGGTCTTAAGGCAAACCCATAATACTGTCTTCTGTCATTGATATGGACCCTGACTTGACTTGACTTAATATCATATGGGAATAGTTGCATTTCAACCCCTCCGTCCTGATTGGCGCCCGCGAGTCCCATGACCCCACGATTTCGGCCCCAATCATCGATAGTGCGACCTCCAGCTGCCGCCCGATTGGACCCGAGGCTGGCTCGGGCCTGCAGATAACCTGGTCGGTTTAGCAGAAGAAAGACTAGCATACTTAGCACTCGAGCTGATGATGCGAAGAAAAATGCGGGGACCCGATGTGGGGGTCGGAAAATAACCTGGAGTAGGCTCCAGCTTAGCTGTCATGATGCATTTACCTCCCCAGCAACCAGATAAGCTAACATCAGGCCACACTCGCAGCATGCAATCACCCCCCTAGTCATCATGGACAGGCCTTCCAAGCGGCCGCGGCTGTCGATGGCCTGCAACATCTGTCGCCAGCGCAAGGTCAAATGCGACGCAGAGTATCCCAAGTGCCGCAATTGCCGCCTGCGCAACCAACAGTGTATCACCACCGATCCTCAGCGACCAGGAGTGACTGGCATTCGAGAATGGCTGGATATACCGGACAAACAGACCCCTCAGAACGAAGATCAGCCTCAGCATCCGGCAGTGGGCGATCAGAACCACCAAGAGGCGACCGACTCCCCACAGAAGCTGTCGCCAAACGAGGTCTCACCTGTGCATCATCCGTTCGACGTCTCGTTTAATGTGGAACATGGAACCGACAAGGTTAAGATCATGGGTGGGAGTAGTTCACAATGTTTGGCGAAATCTCTTGATGTCTACTTCAAGGCTGCCCGTCTCAAGCCGGTATCGGGCTGCTTCCGGTACGGGATGAGACATGCGGAGGAACTCGATCTGCCTTTATCTCTGTCTTTGCCGGAGTTACCGGACCGTGACCGACGAGAACGCTATCTATCCGCCTATATCTCTCGCATACACCCTCTGTATCCTATCTTCAATACAGCCCGACTCCGCGCGGGTACTGACCTCTTTGCCACGGCGGGTGGCTTCACCAATCTTCCGCGCGAGCAAATCCCACGAATCGTGTCAGCGTACTTGATCATGAGTCTAGGAGCAGACGAGATAGGCCAGGGCGCAACCGTGGACGGTGATCGCTACTTGCAAGCCGCGGCGTGTCTACTGTCCCATGTTATTATCATCCCGTATCTCCCGACGGTGCAGACATTGCTCCTTTTCACCATGGTATATCGCGGACGGAACCAGGAAGGTCTGGCCTGGCAAACACTAGGCATGGCCATTCGGACTGCTTATACACTGGGGATCAACCGGACATCTACATCCAATTCTGAAGGAAAGAATATCGAACGACGCGTGTGGGCAGTCTGTTGGTGCTTGGAGAAGATGATGCATCTGGAATCGGGACGACCAACCGTCATCGGATACCAGCATCCTAGGCCAGAGGATGCTCTAGGAGAGAGTAAATTTCTGCAGTGGCACGTCGAGCTTGGGGAATACCAAGGCAACATCAGTGACCATCTTTACAGCCATCAATCAGGGACAAGGGATGTGCGACAGATACTCTTGGATACAGCGCGACTTGACCGCGAACTGTTGTCCTGGGCCAATCGGGTCCCTAGTGACCTGCGTCCGGGGAGCGATATCTTCTGCGCGGACGAAGAGTTTCATGCAGCCGCGTTTCTGTCCATCCAGTACCACAGCACGTTGATCTCGCTGCATCGCGCGGCCCTCATTGCCCCGACATTGAGCTTTGAGGAAGAAGTGGCAAAATATTGCTCCGATGAGCCATCGCAATTTCGAATGCGTCATGGAGAGTCAATCTGCGTGAGCAGCGCTCGAGCGATTGCTAAACTTAGTGTCCAGCTGTCGGAACGCAAGGCAGACTCGCAGATCATTACGGCTGGACCGTCCCTTTTGGCTTGCATTGTGCTGGCCATCTTCCTGATTAAGCATCCAGGTTCTCGGTTGCAGGCCATGGATTTGCAGGTAAGATGCACTTTACCTTGCTGAGAATGAAGTACTGACGAGGACAGCTTCTCAAAGCGTGTCTAGAGTATAGTAGTCAGCACCTATCAAGATACGACCCCGACCCACGATTTATAGAAGGTATGATGGCGCGAACCATAACACAGATCCAACCAACTAAGCGAGATAGGTATCACGGCTATCTACGAACAATGTAACGCCCATCTCCGGTCCTGGTCGGCCGCAGAAGCCAAAAGACGGCCACAAAGTCGTGACAGTCTCGCAAAACTTAATCCACTTCCCACGCCAGCAGTTGACGACTCGCTGCCACCTTGGAGGCCTACCGGAGTGATGCAGCCAAGCGATATGCACAAACAGAGCAGCGGTGGATACCAATCTCAGCGTGTGATGCAATCAGCCGTGTCTACACCTGCCATAGACCATGAAGGACATGACCATCTAGACTCATTAGGATTTTCCAGCACATCAATGTTAGATGGGTTCGTCGCGGAGGGAGTCAATGTGGATCAAGTATTTCCTTTTGAGGGATACAATGTGGAGGAACTGTGGAATTGGATGGGATGCCTGGATAGTCCTGGATCAATGCCTGATATACGGTAGTTCTCTATAGGGAAGATAAGTAACAACTGTAACTAGTAAGAACCAAGAATTGTAACATTCAAGTACAAACTACAATAATCAAACAGCGAGCGACTCTAACAACCACAACACACTAACAATCATCTAAACAGCAACCTAAGCAGCAACCCCCTCCATCCTCTCCAAATACGGGATCCCCGTCAACTTAAACACCCTCTCACTCAACACCGGCTCTTGCACGGGCCTCTCCCTCGCAACCGGACAAGGCTTCCCATCCCTCATGGCAATATTAGTCTTCGAGACATGTTTCGCATGCGGCCAATGGGTCGTTCCCAACCGACCTACCAACCACGCTATTAGCACATCCCACCCCCAAACCCATATATCACCAAAAAAAAGGGCATAAATCAACTCACGTTCAAAAGCCCCCTTCTTCCTCACCAAATCCTCCTTCTCAACCTCCGCCACAGGCATATAGCACGTATATACCGCCAATCGATCCACACCGCCCGTCGGAGCCACATTATAATGCGGCGTGCGACTATCCCAAACAATCAAGTCGCCAGGCTCAGCGCATACCTTCTCCCATTTAAGCCCGTGGTCTGCGAGCCACTTCATCCCCGCATCAGTGAACCCGAACCATTCGGGCGTCCAGGCGGGAATACGCTCTTCGTGCGCCATTTCGGCGTGGAATTGTGCGGACAGGGCGTGTCCGCCTTTGCAGACGATTAGGCCGCCGTCGTTCGGGCCGTTGGGGAGGAGGTTGACGAGGCCTTGCAAGCCTGCCCAATATTTCTTGTCAGTGGTTGTGGAATCAAATGAAAGGAGGGGGGAAGGAAGAGGGTAGACGTACATCTGAAGCCTGGCTTGGAGGGGTCTTGGTCTTGGTGGGGCCAGGGTTTGCTGTGTTCTTTGTCAGTATTCCCCTTCCTTCATATGAGGGGTAGTGTGGTGGTATACTCACTTCTCAGGCAAATCCTCCCGACTACCAACACACCAAAATATTAGCATCGCATTACATATCCAGTACATCAAGGAAGAAAAAGGGAAGGAAGCATACTTAGCAAACCCCACATTTACCACATCAAACGAAACAATCAAGTCCTCATCATCATACACCTTCTTAAACGCATCCACTACCCCTTCTTCTCCGCGAATATCCCACACCCACTGCTCGTGCGTCACGCCATAGTCGAGTATCATGCCTTTCTCGTTCAGCACGGGCAGTTTGGCCCGTCGGACGGTGCTGGGGTCATTCCGGTTGAAGCCGAGGTTACTATCATTACATTCAATCAGTATTCAGTTTAAGAAAGAGGAGAGTATGATTTGGGGAAAGTGAAGAAAAAGGGATGATTACAATCCCTCCATGTACGAGTAAAACGCATCCGCGTATCCATTGGCCCGATCAAGTGGAATTGCTCCCTTGATTACGGCGTAGCCGTCGCGGTTGAGCGCGTCGCGGAAGTCCCCGTAGTTGGTGGGCTTGCCGTCAAGGAGCATGCGGTTTTGACCTTTGGGATGCTCCGCGGTGGTAGTGGTTGTGGTGGTGGCGGTGGTGGTGATAGTGGCTGTGGTGGACATTTTGGTGTTTTGTTCGTTCCCGTTGTGATAATACCGTCTGTGTCGATATTGGCAGTGAAGTATGGGTGAGTGTGGATTGAGGTAGGTCCTGGATTCAGTCCGTACTTATCTTCATCGATGTGGATCTTTGTCAGATTGTCATCTCGCTCAAGTATAGTGAGTGGCATACTGCGCCGAGAGGTGACCGAGTTTACTAGGGTTCGGAGGGCTCGGGGCGCCCCGAGATGGGCTCCGAGGGTCGGTCGTCGCCGAGAGATGGGGTATGTGACATTGGAGACCGCTTTGATGGAATGATTTTTAACAAAAAGGTGCAATCACCTCTCCCTTTCTCGTTTCACTTGCTCGACATAATTAAAGTACAAGCAATCGTCATGACATTCAATATCATCATAGTCGGAGGCGGCATCGCCGGCCTAGCAGCCGTATGCACACACCTCCTTCTCCACCATATACAAAACTAACAGAAGGAAAGGCAATAGCTCTCCGCTCCGACCACCACACCATAACCGTCCTCGAACAATCGTCCCAGTCGCGCGAAATCGGCGCCACCATCTCCCTCCAACCCAACGCCAGTAAGATTGTCGAGCAGCGATGGGGCCTTGCGGACCGTCTCCGCGAGCAGGGCTCAATGGCTGACTCCGCGTTCGAAGTATACAATCTCCGTGGCGAACTGCAGACACGCATTCCCCTGGTGACATCCAAGTATGGCGCAGATAGGATGATGTACCACCGGGTGGATCTGCATCAGGTGCTGAAGCATCGGGCTACCTCGGATGAGTATCCGGGACGGGCTGCTACATTGCGGGTGTCGAGTAGGGTAAAGGGGTGTAATTGTGAGGAGGGAATAGTAGAGTTAGAAGACGGGGAAATACTAAAAGGGGACTTGATCATCGGTGCAGATGGAATCAAAAGCGTTATAAGGGGCGCTGTACTGGGGAGAGAAGTGCCCGGTCAGACGACAGGATTGAGTGCGTATCGCATGATGGTAGATACGGATGAACTGGTTGCTGAGAAGGGGTTCGTGGATGTGATCGATCCACGGGTTGCGAGGACAACGATGGTCGTGGGTCCTGATCGACGGCTTATTATGGGTCCAGCGAGGAATGCATCGGTGTATAGTATTGTTGCGCTGGTGCCGGATGAGAAGAGGGATGAGGAGTCTACGAGTTGGATGACGGCAGGCGATAAAGGTAAGATGCTTGCTACGTTTGCGGATTTTCCGGAGTGGGCAACGACGCCGTTGCGGTTGGCAGCGAGGAAAGAGGAGGATATTGGTCTTTGGCAGTTGAGAGATCTGGATCCGTTGGAGACGTGGTGTCGGGGAAGGGCGATTTTAATTGGGGATGCTGCGCATGCGATGCTGCCGACGCAAGGACAGGGTGGGAGTCAGGCGGTTGAGGATGCTGAGGCGCTGGGGGCTTTCTTCGAGGGATTCGAAGGAGGTGAAGGGAGGGAGGAGGTGGAGAGGGTGTGTCGCGAGGTATTTGAGTGTCGATATAAGAGAGCGAGCACGATTCAGGCGTATAGTCGCCAGGCGGGAAGGCCAGTGGAGGAAGATGTGAGGGTTGCGATGAATCCGGCCGAGTTTATGGATTATAATTGCTTGTATGAGGGGGCGATGGCCTGGAGGAGGCAGCAGGAGGCAGTAGTTGCATGATTTATTGGCTGGTTGGTTTATTCGCCTCAATTTCAAAGAAAATGAAATGTAGTCACTAAGGTGAATAGAAAAATATCAAAGCATCGGGGGTCGGAATCAATTCGTATACAACTAGGATCATCGAAATCCTCAACATTGTTGGGTGGATATCTGAGAAAGCGTGGACGGGACAACATTAGCCTATCGATAAATCCGGATAGGCTATCGATGTCGGATACCCGCACCCAACCCGTGGTGGGTTCCGGGTATCCCCCGGGTCTTGCAACTGCGCATACGCGACCTCTGGGGCATATAAAAGATCATGGTCAAGTTCTCTGGCGGGGTAACCTGTTGACGAAAGAAAAAGATAAGGTATTTCAGCCGTGCTTACATCTCGATCTTATTATTCGCAATAATGGAAGAGCCAACCTATGATCCAAGGTATGTATTACACATGCCTCCCACTACTTCATCTTCTCTAACTTGAACAGTCGTCCCATGCCAGCCCTGGAAGTTGTCTACGCACACAGGCTCATCAACTGCCCGGGCAAAACCATCGTTGGCCTGCGTGTGGAATTTCCCCCAAACGGATCGACTCCGCCCCATCGGCACGGCGGCGCATCGGTTTCGGCCTATGTCGTGAGCGGCACTCTCCTGAACAAGATGAATGAGGACCCGATGAAGGTGGTCTCTGCTGGAGGCTCATGGTATGAAGCCCCGGGTTGCCATCACCGCATCAGTGACAATGCCAGTTCGACGGAACCGGCAACCCTGATGGCTGTTATGGTCTTGGACTCGGAGGTATACGAACGTGATGGGATGGCTGCATTGATTCAGATCGACGAGGAGTACAGGCACACTTAGGGGATTTATTCTGATCTAGCTACCTCGAGGCGAAGCTGTAGCTGGCATGACTGCCTTTTACGTTCGGAGTTGAGCACGTACAAGGATACTGCGGTCAATAGATGTGATGTGCAATAGTGTCATATATCCGAGTTCTTCTGATTTTTATGGATTGTCATCCTTAAGTATATCCGCTATCTCGGCCTCGCATGACAGATTCCATTAGCTTTGAGCTCCGGGTAGTAGAAGAGGTCATGCTGGTAAAAAGATGACTATAATGCGGAGACAACGAGCGATGAGGGATGGGGCGGTTCCACATCTGAACATCTTTAGACTTGCAGTCCAGTAGGTATCGATGAGATAAAGAGAAATACTTTCCCTAAATCATTCCTGTTCGTTATCAGTCTCTACTCGCAGCACTATACCTCTCGTAGTACTAATTCGGGTTCCTGTTCCGGAAAGTTAGGGCGCAGGTTCGGCCCCACCGACCGAGAAACTGGATAATTTGTCAGCCCAGATGACAAGATAGAAGTGAATCCCCATATTAAGATACTGCTTCTTACTGAAATGTTTAAAGCTGACAATCATTTGAGACTTGAAGACTGATCTACTCATGGCAACCGTAGCAGCTAAAAGCGTCACCCGGCTGACGGCCAAGTAAGTCCCAAATTTCTAGCCCAGTAGTAGGAAACCAACTAATCATGCGACAGAACTCTATCCCAGAGAACATTTAGTGTCACGCCATTTATATACACTAGAATGAGTTCTTCATCTGCTACTGCTGCAACGTCAGAAACAGAAGATGCCACCAAAACAGCAAAAGCCAACTACCAGATCGTCACCTCTCACCATAACTTCCACGAAGCCGAATCCCAAAGACCCAACTTCGACCACAATACCCCCATCAGTATCACCAAGTCACCTTATCCTACCTGGACATACGGCCAAGGTGTGCCCGATAACAACAACAGCGCCAGCAAAACCCACCACGAGATCGATCCCTACGCTGAGGATCGCCCAATGGTAAACAACTACCGACTGCTCGTGTCAGGCATCGCACCTCGACCCATCGGCTTCATCAGCACTGTCTCCGGTGATGGTAAGACCGAGAATCTCGCGCCATTCAGTTACTTCCAAGTCGTGGATCACGACCCACCCATGTTCATTGTCGGGTTCTCATCCCGTCCTGGTGCAGTCAAGGATACGTACCGCAACCTGAAAGAGACGGGTGAGTGTGTGATCAACACCGTTTCAGAGGGAATGGTTGAGGCAGTGAACGCGACGTCAATTGATGCCCCATATGGGGTATCCGAATGGGAAGTCTCGGGGCTTGGTAAAGCTCCTAGTTCAACTGTCAAGGCGGCGAGGGTAAAAGAGTCGGTTTTCTCTATCGAGGGAAAGGTTGTTGATATTAAAGAATTTGAAGCCCATAAGCCGGGCATGAGCTCCCCTGCGGTGGTTTTGATTCAAGCAACGAGGTTCTGGGTGCAGGAGGGTGCGGCGGATGAGGAGTTTAGTCATATCGATTTGGAGAAGTTGAGGCCTGTTGCACAGTTGGGTGGGGTCTCGTATGGAAGAATTACGTCGACGTTTGAGAGGCCTAGGAAGAAGTGGGATGATGAAGTTGGGAAGAGTGAGTTCCTGGCTGGTTTGGAGAGGAGGAATAAGGGAAGTTTGTGAATCTGGGCTTAGTCTTGTTAGATATAAAATACTTCTCATTCTAGACTAGGCGACTTAATAGAATGTTAAATCATATGCAAGCTTTCTATTGCCATATGTAGCCATTACAAGTCAGTCCATTCGGCTTAACAACAGTTATAGCAATGTCTCTGTAGATCGGGACCCATCTCGAGGCATAGAATGTTCTCGCCACTTTTGCCTGACGATCCAGGCACTAATATTATTGGTAGATAAGATAAGGTGGACCGTCGGAGTCACCCCGACGCGACGGACCGGCATCGGCCCTTGTACCCGACGACCAGTGACTGTTCAACGGCCATCCCAGAAGTACATCTGAGTGCAGACATCAAGGACAACAAAATACATATATCTTCAAAGTATACGTGAACTCGACTTCATCATGTCTTTTTTTCGCCTATCTACAAGGGCTTTACCCGCCAATTTGCTCCCTCGCCAACACGTCGCCCGCCGCACTATTGCAACAGCAAGCAAGAAGGAATGGCTATGCATTATTCCTGATACACCTGAGGGTCCCGAACTGAGGAAGAAGGTTCGAGCGTGAGTGGTCACTATATCTCATCTGGGTGTAATCTAGCTCAATTCTCCTCACTAACAATAACGTAGAACTCACATGGAAGGAGTCGGTCCTCTCGTCCAAGCGGGAAAGCTGGTTGCCGGTGGTTCGTCTCATATCATACCATCTAGCTATACTTGATCTCTTCATTATGCATATAGTTGATTAATTATACCTGCACAGGTGCGATGCTGGCCACTCATCCCGAGGAAGGCAAAGATCTGGCATTCAAGGGCAGTATGCTTGTGTATATGGCTGAAAATTTGGACGAAGTGCACCAGCTTATCAACGGCGATATCTATGCTAAGAGTGGCGTTTGGGATCTGGGGAAGGCGCTTGTTGTTCCGGTGAGTGGTTCGCTTTTGTTCTTTTTGTTGTGATGCTATGAGTTCGGTTGTGCTGATGGTAGCTGTGTACAGTATTTGTCGGCTGTGAGGGAGCCTTTGAAGAAGGATTAATGAGAACTATCTATCTTAACTAGTGTCTCAGAGAGTGCCGGTGCTGTTTTTCTCCCAATATATTAGAGATTAGCCATCGTTGAGCGTATATGGTTTCTTGCAGCACTTGGAGCTGATTAAGCATTTTACCTATGAATTATGCAACAGGCGTCTGGATCTCCTCGGACCATTTCTTATAAAACACCGAGCGTATTCCAACCGGAATGTAGTACGTGGCTGCGGCCACAGAATCCTCCATACTAGGCGAGCCCTTGCGTGACATGCAGGTAGTGAGGGATGATGCAGATATTCAGCTAGATAAAGCAAGCATTTGACAACAACTTCAACAAAAAGGGACGATGGCGCATCTGGGAGCGCGTCAGACTGAAGATCTGGAGGTGGCCGGTTCAAGCCCGGCTCGTCCCATTCTTTTTTGTTTTTGAATCTCGGCCTGGTGGGTCCCACCCGACCTCATACTACGAACGCGTGGGTTCGAACTCACCTATATGATTGTTTGTAAGGTAGTCCGTCTGATTGCATGAAGGTGAAGAGGTTGTTGCTCGTCCTTTTGACTTACTTTTATGGCTCCTCGTCAAGAAATCCTCCATTTTCATTCTTGGTCTACTCCCGCCATTGGCTGCAGATGGAAAGCGGAGTAGTACTATGTCCGACTGCATGGAGGCCTTCGATAAAGTGCAAGTAAAATGACAGTATCACTTTCCTCGTCCGGGAATATATATGTGGGCATTAGTATCGAGATTAGGGAGTGTGCTGCTTTCAGCTGACATTGTTTTTTGTAGCTCATCGTTTAGAGGCCTGTCCGTCAGTTTCCCGGGAGCTTATCAGTTCCATACATGAAGATATATTGTCAGTGCAGCCGATATTGCCAGTAGAAGTAGAATTAGCCAATCAGAATTTAGCCCGGCAAATTAGGACCACTGATTTACAGATGGCGATAGTAGGAGCTTTACCAGATACTTAACATCTAGTTATATTGAATCTATGACACAACTAATGTATTGTGCAGGATGTTTTCATACTAAGAATTAAACTTTCCTTGATGTAGCACTAAGTGGATCCAGACATACATCAATTGGCCTGCTGGCCCAATGGTAAGGCGCTTGACTACGGATCAAGAGATTGCAGGTTCGAGTCCTGCGTAGGTCATTCTTTTTTCCAATTTCATTTTTTTGGCTTCCATTTTCTCTCCCGTCTATCTTTATTCCCTAAGACAACACAGTCAGGCGACTGTTTTACTAACATCTGCCGATATATCTCAACTACATGTGTTCCATCACCACCCCCGGTTGTATTTCATCCTGTCATCGAATTGAGCTCCACTCAAATCGCCAGTTTGTACGCCCATATGACCAATCTAATCGATCATCACTTCTATAAGACTCTCAATATCCTTCACAGTGACATTCTTTTGCATCTCCCGCGCCAGTGACACGGCACATGAGACAATGTTCTTGATCTGCAACACAGGTTAGTCTACATGTCATTATAAAAGACCAAATGCTGACGAACCTGTCGCCCATTCAGGGAATGCCTCGAAAGTGCCACAAAGTCGTCGGAGGTAAATCCAGCCAGCTCCGACGATTTTGCGACGTTGGTCAAGAAATTCTTCCACACCTCCATTCGGCTATCGGTATCAAGATCCGGGTAGTGCATGGTGAAGTGAATTCGACCTGTGACATTCGCATCAGTAGCTGCATCAAACGTTTCAGCGGAGTCTTACTCCTGAAAGCCGGATCAATGTCGTGCTTTCGGTTCGTGGTGAGTATGGCAACGCCACGGAAACTGTCATGAGTATTAGCCTAGGCCGACATTTCCTACCTAATGGTTACTTACTACTCAAGTCGTCGGAGAAAGACGCTGACCAGAGCATCTCTCGCTAGGTCCTTGCCGCGAGCCGAAAGGAATACGTCTGCTTCATCGATTAATAGAACACAGCCCCACCGCCGGGTGATCTCTAAGATCATCCCCAGACGATTGTCGACTACATCAGGGTCAATTCCAAGCTCGCCAGTTGCTACCACATACAAAGGACGTTGGGTCACTTCGGCAACGGCTTCTGCAGTCAAAGTTTTGCCCACACCCGGGCTGCCGGTCAGGAGCGCAATAAGGCCTTTGCCTTTGTTCGCAACAACGTCGTCAAAGACCGCATCATCCTGTCGATGGGCCTTAACAAGTCCATGGATGAGTTCTCGGCGATTTTCTGCCATGACCAGTCGCTTGAATGCATTGTGGTTCCATTCTACATCGGTTAACGCCGACACCGAAAGTTGGCACCAAGCCTTTTGTGCGAAGCTGAAACCATTGATGAACGAGGCACAGATCAAGTATTGGTCATCAGACAAGCCAACAGTATCCAAAAACCCTTCTGATAGTACATGAGGCCTGTTCAACTCCGACGATGTGTTATGAAGATAGTAACCAGCCGGGTCAACCATCACTCTCCCCAATGCCTATGTAAGTGAGTCAGCACCAAAGTCCGAAAATAAATAAGAGTCGAGGTCAGACATTAAACTTCTCGGGCACAGAGTCACCGTTGGCTCGTTCATATTCCTTTACACCGTTTGCAGCCGTATAATCTCTGCATGCAGGCTGTTCGAGTAGCGCGACGAATTTACGCCCGCGGGCAATGAGCCTTTCTCGCACGGCGGATTCCTCGTCATGGTATCTGAGCGGAAAGAAGTTCAAGCTAGTTATTGTTCGCGCACCCTCATACTTGTCAATTTCTAGCTCCATTGTCGCTTTACCGAAGTCTTGACCGTCATGTTTGATAACGTCGGCACTTGCAGAGAAGTATTGCTGGCCATTAGGGCGTGACTGGTAACTAGACATCTTCAAGTTGAAGGCCTGCTCTTCACTCATGAGCCCAAATCGGGGTGAGATAATAACTTCTCTTGGTGGGAAGATTGCCCAAAGAAGATCCCAGGTGATCTGATTCTCACTCATAAGCGATTTCAAACTGCTAATCTGGGCTCCAAAATCCTCTTCAACGAATTGCAGGGCTGTTCCAATATCATTGATAAGTTGCTGACTGGGATTCTCCTTCTGCTTCTCCTCTTCTTTGATACGCATCAGATCCGGAGCGGCCCAGAAAAACACTTCGGGTGAAGCCTATAGAAATTCGTCAGCTAGTGGAGCTTCAAGAGGCCGCATGAGCTAACGAACCATTGGAGGAGACTTATTCAACTCCAGACCCTCCACGTCTTCGAATATATCACGAAATAAAGCTTGCAGAGGAGGAGACCGGATGTCAATCTCGACGTGGGAGACCATGCCCTGCTTTGAAATAACTCGGCGGACGACCATTGCAGTCTTACTGAAACGATCGGGCTTGGCCTTGACTTTTGCCGTCTTAACGAAGTGGATTTGTCGGTCCTTTCTGTATACATGTTAATGGTCCGGCTGTTCGAGATTCCACGCAATGCGTCGCTACCTGCTATATCTGTTGGAGCGAACTATGGTCAGCATCCACTTTACCCAGACCCAAGGTACGGTCTCCAATCTCACATTTGATCCACGCGCAACAAACGCTGAGACTTGTTACCACGGTCCGTCATGGCGCGCTGGATCGATGGTTTGGAAGGCCCGTCTGAGGGCTGAGCCGCCGTTGCGGACTCCGTCTGATCCGCCATGTCGGTTTTTCGTGCTGAGAATGGCTGCTATGGCATGTGAAATGAGAGAACAGGCAAATGCTGAACGAGACATGAAATTGGCGAACGGAGCAACTTATGCTTGGGAAAGAACAAGGCTTTTGACAGTTGACTCGTATACGGGATGTGGGCCGGGGCACTTGTGGTGGGGGTGGCTGCTGATGCTGATGCTGATCCAAGGCTTCAAGCTCATCCTTCCCAATCCATGCGTCAGCTCAGCTCAAGCCGCGCCACGATTTCTGCCCAACTCAGTGGACAGAAAAACTTTCTTTTATCATGAAAATGGGAGGTACCAAGTTACTATTAGAGTGTTTCTCATAAAGGACCCTTCTTTTGCCAATAGAGGTTAACCTTGCTGCCCTTCAGGGTTTCGAGACAGGGTGTCGAGCCGTGCCGCGCGGCGCTAGCCCTGGCCCCCCGCAGGATCACCTCAGATTTTAGTTTGACAGCCTGGTCACACTAGCTTAACAAGACGTGACTATCTATCATCATGCCAGGTCTGACGTGTGCACTGGCGGGGTAGATTGCAGTCTGTCTTTTATCCTATCTCTCAGAGCAGTGAGGCGCGCATAGCCCCAAGCATAGAGCCTCTCGGTGGGACCAGACCCTGCCTATTATTTATAGTTATTATCTCGCGTGATCTCAGCGAACCATCCTGGTCCTCTACAAGGCTGCTGATAATCCCATTTTCTCAAAATGCCCGACGATTTTAGAGAAAATGTGGGAGCAACAGGCTCGACTGCTTTTGCGCGTGCGCTAGAGGAATATATCAACAAACCCCGATCGGCGAGAAGCAAGACACCACAATTTCTCAAGAAACTGCAGGAACAACAACGTTCCGGCTCAACACTTACTGGAGATGCCGTCAAGAAAGACCTTTTCCTTCTGGACCGCCAGGCGACAGACCGTACAGCTGCTCGTGCCGCCCGCAAGATCTTGGGACCGGTTATACAGGTGCTTAATACCTACTCGGGAATCGTCGAAACTCTAGTCTCGGCAGACCCCATGCCTACGGCTATCATATGGGGCTGCTTGAAGTCTGTGATTGACTGCTCGCAGAGGTTTCTTGAGCTCTACGAGAAAATATCCGATCAGATCAAACGCTTGAACACACACATTACCGTGCTTACAGAATACGAGGATTTATTCGATCACTCAGCTACGATGCGGGAGCTATTACAAGCATCATACATCGACATCATTCGGTTTTGGCGGAGGGTTGACAAGGAGTGTAACCGCTGCGTGGCTAATCGTGCCTTTCGAGCGATCGCCCCCTTCAGTACAGAAAAGCTCGATAGTATTATCACGAGCATCGGAGATACAGCCGACAGTATGAGTCGTCTTATTCCTGCCGTTCAGGAGCGTCTAGACAGAGGAGAGCGAGAAAATGCAGCCGAGGAGCGTCGGCTTGCCGGTATCGCGCGAGAAGAACAAGCGGCGCTTTTCCAAATGTATGCCGAAGAGATGGAAAAACGGAAAGAAGAAAGGAAACTACAGAGGCAGGAGGAGGTACGAAAGTGGTTGCGGGACGGGACTATGCCGCTGAATGGAAGCAACTTTCGCCATCGTGACAGCAAGCTGGCGCAACGAAGCCCAGG